TAGAATATGGTGAAAAATGTAATTATTAGCTCTCTTTTCAGAAATTAAAGCTCAAATATTAGAATTAAATATGTTAAGCCTTTATTTCTTGAATATTTTGGCTTATAGATAAAGAGCTAAATTAAATATTACATAAGATCAATACATTTCAGTGTATTTTTTATATGGTAAAAGACAAAAAAATCTGCAGAATGTGCCAAATTTTTATTTGATTACTTGATTCATTGTCAGACTATTTGATTACTAAGAAAATTGTTAGTTGCCCCCCTAAATATTAGACAATGTTGTAATTTTCTTATTCGCTGAATTTTGGATTTTTATTCTTTGTGAGCTATAGAAAAAAAAATCAAAATAAAAGCTTGAAATATTTTACTCTGTGTGGTGAATCTATAATACTATATAAGATTCACTTTCTGAAATGAGTGGTGGATTTTTAACTTTTTTGTGATATTCTTCTTGTTTCAGAAATCCAAAACATTAAAAAAAAGTTTGCCTCAATAAAGGAAAGGATTTCAGATTTATTGTTAAACTAATGTTTTAAAATTTAGATTTGTGCTTGAATGTTTAATGGTAAAATAACTGATGACCATAAAAAGCCTTCAGTTTTGTTTCTCTGATTGAACTTAAATTTAAAAAAAAGTGTTTTTCTGTGCAGGAGCTGCCCAAGTATCTCCGCGGTTACCACAAGTGTTCGAGGGAGGAGGTGCACCAGCTGGCGGCTCTGATCTACAGGGTGAAGTTTGAAGAAGACAAATCTCATTTCCAGAATATTCCCAAGATCTTGAAGGACCTCGTCCCTCAGGACCAGATCCGACTTCTGTCCCCAGACGACTGGAAGAGGGTGAGCAGAGCAGTGAAACCCAGTGAGACCAGGTTCACTTTCAGCAGCAAAAAGAATGAAAAAGAAATCAAATTCAGTTGGTTAATGTGATTTAGATGCCATCATCTGAGACCTGAATTCATTTTATGTGTATTTTCAACAGGCTCTAAATGTTCCAGGACATCAAACTAAGTTAACCTGCAGTCACAAAAAAGTTCTTTTGAAATCGTTTCTTTCTAGGGAAAAGTCCAATCTGAATGAAATCCAGAGCTAACTCACTGCTGGATGCATTCAAAAACAACAGGTTTTGGAGTGGTCTAGTCAAAGTCTGGACTAAAATCTGACCGTAATGCTGTAAAACCTTCCAATGTGAATTAAATAAAATAATTCTGGCCAAAATTCCTCCACTCCTTAATTTCTGCTGGGAAGCAGAACCAGATTAGGTACTGTTTTTGTGACGTCCAAGTTGGTTCAGAATGCTTTTATAAACTTTTTAAAACTTCATTTTATATTTACGCAAGTTGTCTTGGATAATAAGTCTTAGCTAAGATTATCCAATTTGATTTTTCTTTTATTTTTTAGTCAGTTGACAGCAGAGATCCAGAAAGTCATGGATTTCTAGCACCTTTCCTAATGAATGATGAGATTATGTGACTCATGCTTTGGATTTTCTTCTCTCCTCAGTCCATCATAACGCTCTTTAACAAACAGTCGGGAAAAACACCCGAAGACGCCAAACTCTCCTTCCTGAAGGTCATTTACAAATGGCCGACGTTTGGCTCAGCTTTCTTTGAAGTCAAGGTGAAGATGCCAGAAAAGTACCGTAGTTGTCAAAAAAAGACCAAAAGTAATGTATTTTGTTCCTTGCCACATGTAATGTTTTTGATTTTCTGTAGCAAACAACAGATCCAAATTACCCAGAAACCCTCCTGATTGCCATCAATAAACACGGAGTCAGTCTGATTGAGCCAAAGACAAAAGTGAGGATTAAGCTCACGGTTTTATTTACAACTTTATGAAGATGTCATGTTAATCTGTGCTAATCCTTCGACCTGCAGGACATCCTGACCACTCATCCTTTCACCAAGATCTCCAACTGGAGCAGCGGCAACACGTACTTCCACATCACCATCGGGAACCTGATGCGAGGCAGCAAGCTGCTCTGCGAAACGTCGCTGGTGAGCGTCTGAATTCACTTAGTACGGACGGTTCTGACCGTCGGCGAAGAAACATGACAGAAAGACATGCAGACAGATACCCTGCCGGTGATTCTCAGGTGTTGTCCTCTAGTCCTGCAGCTAATTATTCCCTGCAAACCTTCTGTCTCTCCAACTACTCCAGGGATACAAGATGGATGACCTTTTGACCTCTTACATCAGCCAGATGCTGACAACAATGACCAAGCAGCGAACATCCAGAGGAAACAGCAAGTGATCAGGCCACACTCCTGAACTAAAACCTACCTTTCATTTTTCTGTCCTGTCTTAAAAACTCACCTTTTGCCTTTAAAATCACTCCATCAGGACTTTCCTGTGTTGAACTGTTAGAGCTGTTTCCCTCACAGTTTTCATGGATTTTAGATACAATCAACTTATCCGCCAGCCTTGCAAACAACATTCATACCCCAGGAAAATTAACACACTTTGTCACGTTACAACTACATTGCTGAGTGTCTTTGTCTGCAGGACTTAATGTGACAAACCAACACAGAGGAATGATGTGGAAATACTTATGTTGGGGGTCTGCAGCTTTTAATGCACCCCTGATCCAAACAGCTCAATCAATGGACATAAGCAGGATGTAATTCAAACTTTTCATTTAGAGATGTAGAGACAGAGATGCATCCTAAAGTTGCAGGATCCAGCATTTTCTCTGCAGTCTGAATTCCCAACTCCGACTAAATGATAGTTTTCAAAGTGTCTGCAGTCTGAACGATGAACATGAGTCATCATTCTGCAGCAGAAGAAGCCAAATGCAGTAAATCTGGATGTAAACAACGGCTGAAAATATAATTCTGAAATTTATGAAAGAAGTTTGTGTCAGTGAATCACATCACAATCCCATCACTCTTACATCCAAGCAGACTTCTCCACAGAAGTTGTAGCCAATTCTCCACAAAAGGCCGTTGCTATCAGCTGCGCTTTCTTTTTATTATTCTCCTTCATCCTTTAATGATCTGGTGATGAAGTCGGCTCCCACTCGTCAGCAGATTTAAAATTGATCCCTAGACAGCAGTGGCCATTATTATTTCCGTAAACAGATCGACTGCTGAGTGATCGACATCTATGTTCTTCTTCTGCACATTTGGGTCATTTTGTGGTCGTAAACTGTTTACACAGAAGTCTGATTGCAGTCGCATTTAATTAGCAGCATGAACAACCACCAAACAAATGGATTTCAGCAAAAGAATTGACCCATACATTTTTAGATTTTAGCTTGTAAGACATTAGAAAACCATCATTTTACTTAAACTTCACAATTAAACACTGCTCTGTGCCGGTCTGTCACACAAGCTTCCATTAAAATACATTGAAACCAGTTATTGTAACATGAAAAAGGTCTAAATTAATGTTAATTCTGAAATTGAAACGAACCAATGACCTTTACAATAAGATTCACTTCATTCTGGACAATGATGCCTAAGACCAACTATTTTCCTTTTTCAGACTGTAAATATTAACTCCCAGTGATTTTGTTCACATATGTGTTGGAAGTTGAAATTTTACACCTTTAACTAAGAGTTTTAAATTTAGTTCTACAGTGACAACCTGCATCATGAAATCAAAAGCAAAGCCATTCATCTCCCAGAAAAATGTCAATTAGATGTCTTTTTCCAGTCATTTTATGTATTTTGCATAATTGTTTTTTTAGATCATCTTTCCTCTCTGTTGGATAAAGTTTGTATGTTGTTTTAGATCAAAGGAAATGTGATTTGTTCTGCAGGTGTGCCACTAAATTAAAACGCCATTTTTGTTTCCTAAGGTTGGTTTTCAGAGAATCTGTCCCAAAAGGAAACCACAGAAATCTGTTTCTAATCTCATGTTTAAAAACAAATCATTTCAGAATTTGAGTGAAGTCAACATGTTTCACATCATCCATGTACAAAGTACTTTTATCAAAATATGTGACATAACTTTATGTAGTCATAAATAAATTACATTTTGCAAAGAAAGTTGGCTTTATTTCTCATTTAAATATGGTTTATTCACTTTTACCTAAAAACCATTCAAGATTATTATTTAGAAAAACTGCAAAAACACAATGCTTTCAAGTATTTTTGTCTATGTTCTAGTGAAAATATCTTAGAGCACTTTTACATAAAACTAACTTACTAATTTTGTGGAACAACTTTGCAGCTTTTCATGTTTAGAACATTTCTCATTTGCATTTGTTTCGTAGATTGTGGGTTTTGTTTGTTCACATTTACGCCTGTTAGCTGGTGTTTGTACTACTTTATTTCCCTGACTGTTTTACCCATTCTTGAATCTCTGTACAATCTGAGACAGAGATGATGCTTAGGCCTCAGCAGTCACCAATAAACACTAAGCTCCCAGCTGGAGAAAAGGACACAGACCTCCAAAAGGCTGTGCTGGTTACTGGGAGACTGAAGGAGAACACATACGTATGTATGCTGGTGTAAATTATCTGCTATTTACACCAGCATTTTTAGGTAGGGAGAGTCGGGACAAATTACCAGGCTTCAGCACAAGCATTTAAGGTCCTGGATAGAACAGTCTTGAAAAGGACTGTTGACCAAACTCTGCTTGTTTGAGTTCTTTAATAAAAAAAAATACTTTGATGTCTACAACACAGAAATAAATAGCTCTTTATGCTGCTGTTTAAAATCTAAAACATACACATCAGACTTCAGATATGATCAACTATTCAGACAGTTTGGGTTTTCTTCATACAGATTGCTTCTGTCAAGGTTTTGGCACAAAAAACTAAAAAACTTTGACCAGGGCTCAACAGACAGGATGGTACAGCACTGCTGAGACTGATGGTGGAGGAACAGAAACCTCCCATCCAAATAAGGTAATTACACATGTAAACATATGTTGGTATTTGTAGCATTATCTAGTATAAGATAATCATTCTCATTGAAAATCTGTCTTTAAGCAACTAAACCAGATTCATTATTGTTTCCATCAGTAGGAATCCAGTCAGAAAGCCCGGCTGCTACAGATATAAATTGTTTATTGATGTTTTTTTACACTTTTCAGTCACATTGTGAAGCAAAGCTAATGGCAGTTTATTATGGTGCAACTTTATCATTACTAAAGGGGCAGTATTACTTGTTTTCAAGGCACACAGTGCCATTTAATAGTACAATCAAAGTAACTATGTTACCTTCAGTTTTAAAAATGCTATGTAGGTCAAAAATGACTTCAAATGCATTTCACTTTGTAAACACCTGGAAATTAAGCCTCTGCCTTTGTAAGAAACTCTGCCTTCAGGACGCCATTACAAATGGCTCCTCTTCTAACCCTTTAATGTTTTTACCAGTGGTTCACTGAGAAGTAGCTCCTATAATGAGCTCAGCAGATACGCAGTTCCACTGGGTGTTTGCTAATTGTGGGGAAGGGCTGCTCTGTGAAGCAGAAGCTTAAAACCTTGAAAACTGCAGCTCCAAGGAGCTGCGCCTCGAAGGCAGGGCTAGGTCCAACCAGGCATTTTCCACAGCTGAATGGTTGCCATGGAGATTGAAGATTTGTCAAGCATGCAGGAAATAATCAAGGCAACACCCCATGTATGATTTTGATGAGGGAATAACATTATAACATGATGGAAAGCTCTAAAACATAGATTTTTACATAATACTGCCCCTTTAAAGTAAAAATAGCTGACAGAATTTAACCTGAGAATATTTGATGTTTGGGTAGAAAGTTTGGCATTTTCTTCTGGCGCTGACGTGATTTGGTTGCAGAAGGACAGAAACCTGGCAGGGTGAGAGGTTGCCAGATCAGCTCTGCCTTGAGGGCTCCGTCACGGTTGCCAGGTTGAGCATCTTCTCTGTTTGACAGTTTGAACTGGACACTGACCAGATGTCGCCCATCTCTATGAAAACATCAGAGAGAGAAATGATCACTAACACTTATGAGGTGGAGCGTTACTCTCCAGAAAAATCACGGCCTTGTTGAAAGATGCAGACAAGCACTACTGCAAGAAAGTGTCTTTAAAAAACCGGCTGAAGTTTCTGACTCCAAGTGGAGCTTTGTATTCGTTACTGATCCACCTACGCTCTCATTTCATCCATAAAACCGGTGAAGAATCCGTCCAGCTTAAGACACTTCAGCTGATGAGTTCAGCCTTCCTTACCTTGGCCAGGTCTCTGAACTCTGAACCTCTGGGTTTTCCAGGTCGGTTGCAGTTATTGAACCTGACAGAACTGATTGCTACACGCTCGATCCTTCTCAAATTAAATCAGTTCATTTGCGTCTTTTTGTTCATAAAACGCTTCTGTTGACTATTTGTAACAACAAAACTTTTGAAGGTTCTGTGATCACAACATCGCAGCATTTTCAAGAAAACTGAAGATTTTTGGTCTTTTTTGTCTCTTCAAAATCAGTTTAACCAGTAAAGAGAATAAGTCTAGAATTTATAATATGGTCAAAATGCTCACCTAATATTTGTGCACACAGTGAATAATAGTACACAATGCCGACAGCTGAGTTGTACTTTTATGTCACCTGGTTTGTTTGGCCTGCAGGCGTCGTTATCCTGCTTCACTTCTCGGTCCGAGCAGAAAGCCAGTCTTCGTTCCCGCCATCTGCAGTTAAAAAAAACTAAACATTTTTATCTGCATACCTCTTCAATTTCTGTCCCATAAGTATGCAGACGGGTAAAAAAACAAGTGTTGGTTCACCTGTGAAAATAGAAGATGACGACGACCAACATGAAGGAGAGGACATCGGTGAGAATCCACATCAGGTTGTATTCTTCAGGACTCTGACACACACAGAGGGCAAAAGTGTTGAATTAACTGTTTGAATTGTTTTTTCACATGAGAATATTAAAATAATCTGTGTAACTCATAATTTAAAGAAGTTAAAAGTCAGGCCCTAACTTTCAAAACCAGTCTTTCTTGTGACTTCACAGGGAAAACCTGCTCAGTTAGGGGAGCCAGAGCAGACCACCGGCGGCCCACCGTGTTGCTCTAATCTGGATATGCATCAGGGAAACAACATCTTGGAAGGCCAACCGGCAGGTGCAATTGGTTCACACCTGTTTTCACCCAGTTTAGTGTCGCCTATAAACTGAGCTTCATCCGACTTTACCCTCCCTGTCACTGGTGAATGAAATCCCTGTTTAAAATAAATAAACAAGGCTTAAAATACGCTGATGGAAACCCTGTAATTACTTTATTTCAGTATGCTTTAGTGACTAAATCAAAAACATTGCATTTTAAAAGTCACTTTTGGAAAAATGTAGATATGTTGAAGAGGTTTAGTCCCATTTGTTGCCAATAAATATGATCTTCAGAATAAAATCCACTAAGTTTTTGCACTTCAGACCTTTTAGCGACCAGCTCTGACTAACATCAGACCCACCATGAGGAGGAGCGGGGAGTCCAGGGTCCGCAGCAGCTGGGGGGCGTTGGTGGTGACCGAGTGGACCCCAGTGCACCAGGCCAGAGAGTAGAGCCACGGCTGGCTGATCACATACAGGTTGGTGCTGATGTTCACCGCTGAATACTTTCTGCAGGTGAGAACAGCAGCAGTGTTGGTAGAGAACCCAGCGGGTCCTCTCTGCTCCGTCACAAACACACAGACCTGGTGAGCTCAGCTGACATGGAGCTGTAGGGCAGGTTGAGTCTGACGATGTTGTTACGCTGCAGCTCCTCTAGAGGGAGTAAAGTCCCGGACGTCTGTTGGAGGTCGGGGTCCGACTGGTGGACCCAGGATCTCTGATCGGACGGCAGCCACAGAACCTAAACTTACAGACGTTAGTGCCTGCTGAGCAGCGTAACTTCATTCACCGGGAAGCAACTTTACATCAAAGACACCAGATGAAAAAACAAATCCCACTTCCACCTACAGCCAACCATCATTCTGATGATTAATTGGAATAAAATCGGACAGATGCTGCAGGTTTTTCATTTAACCACTTCCTAATCTCTTATGCTATTTTAGAAATACATTAAAAGACACAAATAAACAATTAAATTTGTTTTCAAATAAGCATTTTATGACCTAAACTGCAGTAACAGCATTCCTTTAGTGAACTCTTGTTCAATTTGAAGCAAAGGATACGTCTGCAGCTAAAAGACCCACTTTAAGATGGAACACATTTACAGACAAAGAGTTTTTTATCTTAAATGTAAAATATATTTTTCTACTGAATTACTGCTCTTAAGTATGTTGTTTGTTCAGCAATGTACCTTTTTAACGAGTCTCAATACTCCAGTTAGCGATTAATCATAGCTGAGTTTGTTGATGATGATTTCAATAATCGATTAATAGATTCATCATCATTAAATCGCTTGCTCTCAGTCTCTTTGTTCCTCTGCTCCCTCCCAGCCCATGCCTGCCCTGCTTGCTCTGTTTTTTGTCTTTTTCTGTATTTTTGGAGCCTTTCTTCGCACATCCTAAAAAAAACAACTACTTTTAAATGATTAATATTGTAACTTATCACAATGTACCAGCTGTCCTGTCCTTGTTTGCACACAAATGTTTTATTTTCACAGAAAAACAATTTTAATTCTGATTTAAGAAAAACTTTAAACATTAAATAGCCCTGAATGAGTTGTACCTGTGATGACTGGATGGACGACACGTTGTAGAGAACATCCAGGGTTCGCTGGATCCAGCTGTTACTGTACGGGTGGCCATAGGGCGGGCGGTAGAGGTCAAAGATCACCAGTTTCTGAGCCTGACCTGCCAGCTGCAGAAAGTCCTGCAGGCTGCAGACCGACTGGTTTCCTGCTCTCTGCCGCTCCTCCTGCCGCAGCGAACCAGCTGTTCCAAATGGATTTTGCTTTAAGGTACAAAAAGAAAAAAAAAAAAAAAAAAAAAAGAAATCAAAGCCCAGTTATTTCTGTGACAACACACCAATCGATGCGTTTTCCATTTGCTGGCAGACTGCATGTTGCTCTGGATTCAGTCATGAGGACAAAATGGTCAACATGTTCCAGCTGCACTTCAAGTTACAATAGAGCTGCTGAACTTCTGACGTTGCCTCCACACTCATTGACACTCCAGGTGAAGATTACCAAAAAGGGTTAAAAAAAGAAAAAGGAATATTTCATTTCTAAAACGCTGCACTTAAAAAAACAAATACTCTAAGGACATTTATTCATGGGTGGGTAAGAGGGGAATCCAGTGTGTAAGAAATAAAAATGTATTATAAATATAAATATTTCTCTGCATTTACAGTGGATGGAAAGTAGGAGGCAGTGTCTGAATCATCAAAGTCCATATATATGGATATTTGGACTTTTGTCCATTTATCCCACAGTAAAATTCAAGCATTTTTACAATAAGTTTTCAAACTTTTTCAGCACCACACTTTGGAGATAAAGCCAATACAACTGACCAAAAAAAGACTGCTTCAATTCACTAGTATCTATCATTTGTTACTGTTAATCATCTCATTGTGATAGTACTCTATGTTCTACAGAAAAAAATGTGTTTGTGTTTTTTTATCAGGTCTATGAAACCATCTGGTTTAAACTGTAACATTCAACCAAATACTGGCTTGCACTTTATTACAAAGTTGCTAATAAGGTTTTATACGTGTATCAAGCACTTCCCAGCCTTAGAAACACCAGATGGAGGTTCACCAATTTTCAAAGACAGGAACTCACGGAGAGGAACCAGGAGCCGGCGTTCAGGCCCTCCAGCTCAGTCCAGGTGAACATGGCAGCAGGAGCGCTGGTCCGGTTTGGGAAAACCTCCTGGACGTTGGTGGTGCGCTGCAGGTTGTGGTCGTGCATCAGGAAGGGCACACCGTCGTAGCTGCAACCACACAATAAAACATTCAATAACTGAAACAATGAATCAAATTAATTGTGATTAATCAATTATTAAAATAATCGCCCACTAATTTAGTTATCAATTAATCATTTCAACTGAAGTATACGGATTTAAAAAAGGCAATTTCCTGAAAGAACAACACTCAGAGCAGTAATTAAGCCACACCTGTGTAAGAAATATATAATTTTTTATTTAAAATTTGATCGTTTGCATGTTTAATGTGTTTCTAATTCTGTATAGAAAGGATTCGGTGGTTGAATGAAAAACCTGCTGAATGTGCCAAATATTTTTATCTGATTAATCGATTAATCATCAGAACAACTGATTCTTTACAATATTAGAATATTGTGTCTTTAGAATAATCAGTCACGGCATGTTTTTACAGCGCAGCGTTGACGTTTGGCTCATTGGCACCAAACGGACCTTATTGCAACATCCGTCTCCAGGCCGTCGCTTCCGGCTTCCACCGCCTTCTCGAACGACATCAGCGTGTTTTCTGGAGCGAGCTGCACGGCGGAGGAGAGGCAGAATCAGAACCCTCACATCCAGGAGGATAAATATTTAAATGAGTCGGTGTACAAACAGAGGCTTCAGCTCGAGAGATTTCAGAACATGTAAAAGGTCAGAGCTGCAGTTTGACTGGAACTTTTCAGAAACGTCTAAAAAAAACTAAAAGATTTGACTTTTGGACACTCGTTTCCAAAATATCTGTCCATTTTGATGTCTTACAGATAATCAGGAAACCCCCTCAAAAAATTATATTACATATAATCACTTTAAAAAAAGAAAAGCTTTTTAACATAAATGTTATGTTTTGGCAATATTAGGAGCTACACACTTATGGGAAAGACTAAACACTGAAGCCCCAAAAGGTCATTACTAAAAACAAGCTGAGAGTTTACAGAGCTTCATGCAGGCAGATCCATAAAAAATTGAGTGGAAGGAAGAAGTGTACCAGAAAAAGGAATAACTGCAGTTTTAAGAGGATAGTGAAGAAGACAGTATTTATGAATTTAAGGAAACTTTGCATTGATGCAGTAATTCATGCAAAAGGAGCCCAGACCAAGATTCAGTCATACATAGAAATGAAGTCATGTCAACTTTTAACCAGTTTGTATTCAGATTTATTTTAGATATATGAAGTTCTACAGCATTTAACTCTTTCTGGTGGGATCAATTGATTTAATTTATTTAATTAACAAAAATTCATAAAATCCACCTGGTTAATGTCCTCTTCTAGAGTTAAATTGAATCTTTTTCACAGCGCTGATAGGCGGCCAGCTCACCATCGGCGCCCCCCGGTGGCCGATCAGCGCCGGCGCGGGGCCCAGCGTTCCTTTCTGTTTGATGCAGGGAGAGTACAAGCCCAGAGGAACCAGGTAGAGGGTCAGCAGGATGGACAGGTAAACCCCCACGATCAGCCCCCGCCTCACTGCAACAGAAACATCAGGTTTTCAAACGCTGCATCATCAAGACGCTTCAGAAGTTGACGACGCCGTCTAACTGCTCAGATTAGGGAAGAAACAACAAACAGATTGAGATGACATTCATTTCAATAATTGTTCTAGTAATATTAGATCATTTCATATGTTCTGCATGTAAATTTGCATGCAAAATATATGAAGCTGTGAGTTTGTCAAGATGTCAAAAAGTAAAGTTTTCTGGGCAAAAAGTTCCAGAACTTTAATTCCTACATTTTTAATTTTAGAATAAATGAAAAACATTTAGTGATAATTATAGCAGATTTTTCTACAGCAGAGTATGAAAGGAAAGTAAAAACAAAAGGAAGGAAGGACAGAAAGAAAAGAAGAATTAGAGAAGAAAGGAAGAAGACGAAGGACATTTGGTTAGAGGGGTTAGGAATCCAGTCTGGAAAACTCTCCTTTAGTTGTTGTTTTATATATTTAATCCAGACCTGGAATCAACAGAACAGATCACAATGAAGATCAGAAAGTCTTTAGGAAACTGACAGTAAAGCCAGATCACCAGAGTGATTTCTATTTAGAACTAAAAATAACACAAATCAATCATTTTAGTGTTTGTTTTTAACCCGAAGCGTCTCCTCACCGCTGCTCTTCATGCGGAAGACGTGCAGAGCAACAGGCCAGGCCAATGATGTCATCAGCAGAACGCCGCCGAGGTGCAGGTACGGCGCCGTCACCTGCTCAGGTGATCAAACACACCATCAGCGGTGAGGAGGAAGAGGAGGAAGAGGAGGAGGAAGATGTTACCTGGAAGGAAAGTAGCAGAGTGGTCCATTCTTCTCCCCACAGGTCAGATAAGACCGCAGTGGCTGCGACGGAGAAGATCAGGCTGATCAGGATCCCAACCTGAACACAAACAGGAAGAAGGACAGTCGAAGGTCAGAGGTCAACAGACCTCTGACCTTGCTGTTTCATCAGCAAATGAGGTGGATTATTGTGTCCTGACGATCATATTAACAGCACAAATTGAGCTTTTAGTGTCATTTCAGTCATGAAACTGTCAAAATCCAACAGACTTTAATATAAGATGCAGTTTTGAATTTAATGCACTTTGCAAGCGCCGTCTGGCTTCTGATGAGACTTATGTTGTATTAAATATATTGTAATGTAAGATGCGATTTATTTAACTGATCTTAACTCACAGCGGTGCAGAGTTTATATATTTAGTTCAGGTTACCTTGTGACTCCAATGTAAATGAAGCTTCTGGCCTTCAGACAGTAAACACACCGCCAGAAGCTGCAGAAACCAACAGAACAAAAACATCCTGTGACACTTTACTCACTTCCTGCTTTTCACTCGCTGCAGGTTGTTCAATTTTACTCCCACGTATCTGGAAGCGCTGCGTGTTTCCCAGACATCTTCAAAATGGCTTCCAGCTCTGCAGAGTCTAATCAACCTGAATTAGCAGCTTAAAGTTGCCAAATCCCAGAAAATGAGGGACTTATTCTGTATTTTTAATGATTTTTTTTTGAAAACTCTGTTTTGCCTCTGATAGCAAATAAAAACAATTAGTACTTACAGAAAAATTCATAAGATAATCTGTGACACCATTAAACTGCCGTTTATGCTGCATTACAAAAACACAACAGTCTTTAACAAACAAGAAAGTTGGTCTTTTAAGTAACTGTAAAGTTTATTTTAACTTTTTAATCTTTCACAAAAAAATAATAAATGCGTGTAATTTAACTTAACATAGTTTCTAATGTTTGTTTGAAGCCTTAGGGTTTGAAATCTACCATTTTAGTTCACTTTAAAATAGAATATCTTAACTCAGAAGAAATATTAGCATCACCTGAACAATAAGGAAAAACTGCAGCATTCGCATGTAAATATCAACTTATTTACATGTTGATATAACATGTAAATCAAAGGTGATATCACCTTTTTATCAACTTTGATAAAAAGGTGATAACTACATGCACAGCATGTCGGCGCCTCACCATGAGCACAGTGACGTAGGTGAAGAACCCTGCAGAGATGACCAGCAGAACCACAGACCAGGGGAACCAGAACCCCAAATGACCAAAGTTAAACCTTCAAACCAGCAGAGGAGCAGAGAGAGGGTCCATTTAATACAGTCGGAATGAAAATGAGGTCCATTTAATGAAATGAAGCATTGACAGAAAATAAGTTTTTTGTTTTATCGACAAAGTTGTCGAAAGAAACAGAGAAAGAAAGAAAAGGAAAAAACTGAAAAAAAAGAAACAAAGCAAAGAAAAATGAAAAAACTAAATAAAAAGAAAGAAAAAGAGAAACAAACACAAAACAAAAGGAAGAAAAACCAAAAAAGGAGAAAAAGAGAAAACAAAAAATGAACACAGAAACAAAGGAGGAAAAAGAGACAAAAACAAGAGAGAGATGTGAAAAGCACGTAAAAAACAGCAATCTTAGTCAATTTTGACCAAATTTATATCAGTTTATAAATGCTGGTCTTTAAAAATCACCTTTTAAGCTCATTTCTGAAAGAAAGAAAGAAAAATCATTCAACCCTGAAAAAGTGTTTTTGAAATTTCTTTCTCTCCCACAAGTTAATAAGGTTAATCTGCAGCAGCAGCGCGGTGGGGGATTAGTACCAGCTAAATAACATTAATTTTATAAAACCCAGAACACAAACTGTTTTCAATCTAAATGTTTCAAGTATTCCACAAAATCCTCATAAATTACAACAAGAGAAGAACAAGGAGGTCTTAGTATTAGAAAAGAGTTTAAGTGTAGGAAAGGTTGACGCTGTTCGACCACAGCAGCAAACATCTGGCTGTGTTTAGGCCTGCAACAAGCAGATCTGGAAACTTTTCCAGAGGACTTGTGGAAACACGTCTTTGCTCAGTTTTAAAGCAGCAAGAGTTAATTTCCCAGGAATTCAAATATTGAATAATTTAAAACAAGCAGGATAACAGCATGAAGAGACGCAATAGAAGTAATCTGCTCCTAAACAAACACGCCCTCCTGCCCCTCCTCAGGTTCCTGAGTAAACCCCTGCAGGGTGTGTAAACGTATTGCACACAGAGAAAACGGTTTGACCCACCAGTCAAAGTCGTTGTAGTCATTCTTTGCTTGTCCCCAGAAGTAGAGGAAAAGCAGCGTCAGGCAGAAAGCTGCGACCAGCAGGGCGAACGACGCTCCCTCCAGCTGTGGACGCCACAACCAAGCAGGACGTTGACACAAAACCTTCCATCGAAATCACACAACTGACCTTATCTGATGGTTCATTTTATATTTTCATTCTCATTCTTTTTTACTATTTTGTTTGACCTTTTCTGGTTTGCTTTGTTGCTTAGTTAAGCATTTCCTCCTGTGTTTTATGATTCCATAATTATGGAAATTCACGACAAATCCACAGATCCCTGCATTTTTTCATACCAATACATGATTGTGAGTTTATTGTAAAATTTATCAAGTTTTATATGTCTGTCTTTAAACCTTTAGTTCTTGTTGTAGTTTTTTTTTTCTTTTAATTATTTTGTTAAAAACGCTGATAGAATTTGAACACAGTTTATAGGTGCCTAGAAAATATTTTAATAACATATTTGGGTCATCTTGTTTCTAGGTAACGAGCAAAAAAACAAATATCGGAGTGAATCGAAACAAATCTGTTTTGAGGTAGAGTTGAGAAACTACAAAAATAAAACAAAATTTTAAAATGGAATCTAAAACTGAAGTATTGATCTTATCACAGTAGCAATGGATCCAAAACTGAACTCTGAAATAATGGCGAAATCCTCCTAATCTTGTGACTTCTTGGTTTTTTATGAGTTTAAAATGGTGGTGGGAGACAATTGAAATGATTAAAAAAGGTAATTACAGGGTACGTAATTATTAGAATACAAGGAGTTGAGGCACTTTTGCATGGTTCTGTTCTTCATATTGCAGAAAATTAACTATTTCTGGACTCCAGTGGAATCGTCCTGTAAGCTGCCCCACAGTGTCTGACCTTGCTGCAGCAGCAATCTTCTGGCTGACCTCTGCTCCTCTCGTAGTGCCTCCAGCGACAGCCATACAGACCCGACAGACACCGCACGAAGGCCCCGTGTTCGTAGCGCTGCAGCAGTTTGGCGCGGAGGCCAATCAGGCGCTGCGAGAACTTGGACGCCATCGCTGGATACGTCATGAGTCAACCGCCATCCTGTTGACACACACCTGAGAAACAGAAAACACACCTTGAAGCGCCGCTGCAGCGCTGCGGTGAGCGGGACTGGTCGTGATTAAACGGATTAATCGATTATTGGAATAATCGACAACCAATTTAATGAGCAGTTAATTGTTAAAAAATAACATATTTGGAGATGTTATTAAGCCAACACTACAAAAAACATAGACCTTTTGTATTTAACATAAAACCATTGTCTGTAAGGACGTTACAGACCCAATATATTTGACACACGTCTCACATCAGTGATGTTAAAGTTGGATAAAATGCAACATGACAGTTCAGACTGCAGACACTTTTTATTAGTTAACATTTGTTACATAATGTTGTGTTTCTGTTTAGTTGTGGTGTTAGTTTTAGTTTTAGTTTCTTCATACTTAGGTTCTTTTTTTAGGTGTGGAATTCAAACAGGTCAAATTATTGAGATTATGTCAATTAGGTAATGATAATCAACAGAAGACACCATTTTCAAAAATTGTGTTCAGTTTTCTTCCAACTCTTACTGTGGCCATTTTGAGCTCCAGCCAGCAGGAGAGTGGAGCGCCGCAATGTGACGACAGAAACAAAAACAGGAACAATGTGGAGAGACGCATCGTTTGCTCTGCAAAAGCATGAATGCAAATAAGCTGCACCATGCCTGAAGCTTCCTCTGAACCACATCAAAATCTATAAACAAACTTTATTATCACTGCAGCTGAACAGGAGCAACACATTCAGAAATGTAGGATTGTCTTTGTCTCGTTTACTGCAGCAGCATTCGTTTTCAGTCCCTCAAAAGGTGCCGGTCAGATTCCAACTTGAGTTTTTCCTTCCAGCAGATTTCAGGTCAACCTCAGCAGAGCCAGACCTGAAACTTCATCCCTGTAATGTCCTATCTTTGTTTTTTGTTCTTTGAACAATCAAAAATATGATAGACCTTCCTACAGACAGCCAGAGGCAGAGTGGCAACAGTCGCTATTCTTATTGTACCGGAGGAGCAGAGCGGAGGACAAAGCCGCTGTAACTCATCTGCTGGGTCGACTCATCAGCATCCTCTCCAGTTACTGAAACATTTAGAAGCTAAAAAGGTGATTCGCTCTGCCCACAGATTGGTTCTGTCCATTTCAGTTATTCTGGTTTACAGCTATTTCAAACCCAAAATTCAACATCTCTGAAAATATTTCATCAGGCCAATAAAAAGGGATTTTTAGGCCATTTTATTTGGTCGAAATGTTGGTTGGGGCTCGTTTTGCATAAAGGAGATCAGGGTTGGGAATCTTTTACTATCTCACAATTCCATTAAAAATTGAGTTTGGATTAAAAATAAAAGATTCATAATGATTTCTGCTTTAAACTGTAGGCTCTTCCCGATCTATAACAATTTGCTTTGCAAGGCAGAATGACAAATAGAGACAAAAAGTGTCTCAGCGCTACATCTTTCTGCAGACAGCCTCCTCAAAGAGCTGCAATCTCCATCCAGAGGTTTTCAGCCATTTGACAGCCTCATTATTATTCTAATTATTTAATGAATAATCATAAACAAAAGCAGATAATTCCTCACTGAGTCGGATTACAGATAAAAAAAGATGCCAGTGGAAGAAGACAAGTTGAACTGAAGGTAATTTAAAGATAAAGGTAATTTTATTTATATCAACAACCTGAACACATTTCTGCATAAAACATGGCAACAAACTTCTGACCAATCACAGGTATGGCTGACCTTTGCCCCGCCCATTTCCGCTGTTCTTGTGTTGCTCACTCTTCATTTTGTGACCCTTGACCCCACACAGTGAGCATCATGTCAAACTCTGTCTTCCTGGGAATTTAGTAAAAAGCTAACTGTGTCCAAATGTCTTCACGAGGACGGACTGGTTCAGTCGTCTCTGTCTCTAGTTTCCTCCACAGACATGGACACTTGGACGCCTCACTGAGTGGGTTGGCCAGTTGCTGCGATACGTCAGTGTCCGCCATCCTTAATGTGGTGGATTGGCTGTTTTGATTAGTTTTCAAATTGTGTTCTTCTCCTTACTGCAGGTAGAAGAAGAAAAAAGAGTGAAATGTTTCAGGTCACCTGACATGACACGTCAGAGAAGAATAACTGCAAAGTGCTGTAAACGCTCACGCAGCCGTGTCTCATAAACATTCCAGCTGTGGACAATTCCTGGAAACATCAGGACGACTCCAGCATGGAACGAGCCAAGAACTCTGGGTCGGCCAAACGGGAGTTCACCAGTTAAAAGAGTCAAATATATAAATACAACAAGAACGCTTGTTAGTGGGCGAGATTTGTTACAGTTGTGGAACTTTGTGTACTCAGATATGATGAGTTCATCTCCTCCCTGTTGGCCTGATACCAGCAGAAAGGCCAGAGTTGATGATTTTGTCACATTGTACAGCTGGCCGGAACAGATGAGCATCATAAATGTTAAAAATTAGAGACGACTGTAAAAAAAGCTGTAACTCACAGGTGGCTTAATGTGGAACCACCATCATGTTTGGAATGGAAGAACATAATTGAGGAAATTCATGCAATGGAGAGTCTGACCTTTTCATTAAGACTTGCCACTTATAAATATAAAAGATACTGGAAGAAATGGATCATTCATCGGAGCCTAACACCAACTGTATAACTGATGGAATTGCCTTTTCTGTTCTTTTTTTAGTTTTGGTTGAATATCACTCAACTACTTCCTGTCAAACTAGTTGCTCTGTAAATTTTGTTAGAGGGGGGTCTAACTGTTCTATGTCTGTATGTGTTCTTGGAAAACTACTAAAATGATAAAAAATAAAGTAAAAAAAAAAATAAAATTAGAGACCATAGTCCGGCACTGCAAAAACACCAAATCTTACAAAGCATTGTGTCTAGTTTCTGGTCTGAATACCTCAGCATCACTTAATAAGTACTAAGATCACTTAAACACATAGAAACTTGTTGATGTTATTTTACATAAAACTGACAGTTCCATTGGCAGATTTTTATTATTTTACTTGTTTTAAGACTGATGTTTATTGCACTGCAGGTATTTGTCCATGCATGGTGACCATGGAGTTCCCTGAAACTCCTCAATGCCCCTTAACCTCAAAGTCCTTACGAGGCATTCTTTGTGCACTTTTTCCTTCCATTAAACTTTCTATTCCTATGCTATGAACAGAGAGGTTACGACAGCCAGCATCTTTAGTAATAGCCTACTTTACCTTCCTTGTTGCGTATCATTAATAGTTTGCTGCTGAAGGTCAGGAGTCTTCTCTGTGTCTTTCGCTGCCATTTTTTAAAATATTGTTTCAAATTAAATATCTCCTGCAGTTTTCCAAACGCTGAATTTTGGGTTTTTAATTTGCTGCAAAACATCAAAAATCAACACGAAGCCATTGGAAAACGTCACAATCTATTGGAGTTTCCGCTGGTCCAGATGAATAAAGAATCAGTTTTTGGTCCTATTTGTGAATTATGAAGGCACATGTGAACACTTTGACAGACATGTCTGCATTCCTGCTGCATTCCCTGCTTCCAGCACTGAACGCATCACGATTCCTGCAAACAAAACGAAACAGCAGAGCTGAACTGTGTCCGAACAGAACAGCTGCGGGTCACATGAATAATCTATTGAGATTAAATAATCCATCCCATGCTGTGTTTACCAGTCCAAATAACAGTCAGCCTCCGTGTTAGTAAATCATTCACTCATATAAACGCCGAACTTTTTTTTTTTTTTTTTTTAATAACTCCGTGATTTTTGGAGCTTTCTGAGGCCTTTTGCCATTTTAAAGCTTATTTATTGCAGCAGGTCTGATCGGCTCCCTTCATAACTGTCTCTGCAAACAAAGAATGGAGCCGCTGAGCTCCGGAGATCCGCTCAGAGAGAACAACCCGAAACCCGCATGGATCCCTGCATCTCCTCCCGCCTGGTCTCACATCTGTCCCTCTGTCCCTCTGTCCCTCCGGTCCGGCCCGGTCTTCCTACCTCCAGGCTCTCGGTGAGCCGGCAGAGACGAGCCCGCGGTGCAGAGCTCCTCGTCCGGCTGTCGCTGGGAGCAGATCAGCTTATCAGGAGAGTCAAGCCAGCGAGAGTTACCGACAAAACAACCGGAAGTACAAGACTTCAGACTTTAAAAGGGGAGGAAAACATCAGGTTTCCTTTACGTTTGAGTAAAGACCAGTAAACGCACGGTGCAAACTGAACACCAGGAGCGTCTGCAGATCTAAAGGGGGCCCAGTGATCGTCTGGGGTGGCACACCAAAATCCAAAATGTAATCAGAATTCAAGTTTTATAAGTTTATCATCACTTCTGAGTGAGCCAGGAGGAGTGAAAAATGTCCTGAGAAAAAATGGAAGCAAATCTGAATAATGAACTGAACTTGATGCTCTGTTTTAGACCTAGGATCTATTTGAATGTATCTGTGAGTGAATTGAAATTGAAACTTTTTGTAAAGCGCCTTCAGAAGTAAACTTTATTAATAAACTGAATTTAGTAAATCACATTTACTTTGGTGCTTCAAAAAAAATCTGCTCCTAATTTTTGATAAATATCTCAGAATTGTTTTCCCATTTTAAAGGAATAACCATTTTACTTCGATTTTTAGTTTTCTTTTTTCAATGAGATGTAATTCATGAAACATGTAAAAAAAAAGAAAAGAAAAAGGGAAGAAAGAATGAAAGAAAAAGGAAAAACAGTTTCAGAGCTAATAACAGTAATATTTCTGGTACTTTTGGTATCATTCTATTGTGGCAATACAATGCAAGTATTCAATGAAAAAAATATAAACATGCTGCAAACCAGCCTGCATCATCTATCAATAAAAATATTAATTTGTTTCAAATGTTTAGCCAAAGTTGTCAGGAGTCGTTCTGGAACCAGAAACGTATGGAGACAAACACTTACCACACCAGAGGTGAAGTTTTGTGAGTGAAAAGTGAAGAAAGAATCTAATGGAAGGAGAAAAGTTCTGTAGAACTGTCTGGTCCGGTAGCAGTGCTCCGAGGTTCTCTTCTTCAGGGAGACTTGGTCAACATTCAGGGAGCGAAGAGAAGATGTCCTGGTACTCAGTCATGTTTCAAGCCTTATATGGATTTCCTCTTCCTCTTCGCTTCCACTGTGTTCTTGGATTCAAGCTGCAGAAGCTTTAATGTAGTGGTGGTTCTAGACCCACATTACCACACAGAGCGGAGGCGGAAAATGATTGAACAGTAAATTATTGGGAATTAGTAGAGAGAAGAGAAAACATGAAGCAAAAGGCCTCAGACTGGTGCGTTTGCACCATGAGCCCCGGAACAGAAAAATATTTCATTGTCTTTATTAAGTGAACAAAAAACCGATTGTAGCTCCTAAAGTCCAGGTCATCAGAAGTCCAGGTCATGGACTCCTGATCACCAGCCCTGATTAGTCCCATTTTATCCAACTCCAGTTTGTTTGTCTAGAAAGTCCAATTTGTTGCACAATCCAACTCTGGTCTGCCTACAAGCCAGGCTCTGGGTTCAGATGAAGAAATTTCATATGTGAACGCCAACCGGACCGGAGACCGCTCCAAAAGCAGGAAGTTGAATACGGTGCAGGGCATTCTGGGTAAAGACAACCAAACAAACAAGATAAATGACTTGTGGTTTTTACCAAAGACAAGCAGAAGTCCTACCACTGCTCTGTTTTTGTTCACGTTTGGTAAAGTGTCTTCTTCAGAGGTTTTTGTGTTTCCTTCAGTGGTTCTTGGTGCAGCGCCCCCACAGGCAAGGAGGGATAAATGGTTTGAACAATTAGAAAAGTGAGCCAGTGCAGCTGAAAATGTAACACATTTTGCAATTTTGGTCTCCAATCAGGTGTAGCAACTCCCTAAAAATCTGTTGTGTTTTAACAATTTCTCAATTCAAATGCATTGTTAAAGTAAACTTACAAAGGTAAAAACATTAAATTGGTCAAAGCCTCATTTAGTTACGGTTTCAAGATAAGAAATTGTAAGAAACTCTCCAAACATCGATTGCTTCAAGGACCTGAAGAACAAGTAGGTATAAACGATGGACGGATGTCTCTCCATGTTTATCAACCTCACAGCAAACTGCTGCCTAGCAACAGAACCGAGTCAGACATGCACGAAAACCTGCAATAAATCATTCACTCATATAAACTCTCCCTTTTGATGTATGGTTATAAAAGGTACTTTACTTCACTATGTGCTTTCCTCTCATAGTGACACTTTGCTGTTACTCTGGCCAGGCAAACATAGGAGGCTGATAAAGAAGAAGCAGCGCCCCCTAGAGTCACACTAGGAATAATGTTCCTGATCGTTTGAGTTTCTCTTAGTCAACTTTCCTGCTCTTCACATTTTTACTGTGAGAAGAAGCTAAAATGAGTCGAATTAATCGTTTTTATTTCAAACTGGAGTTCATAACTTCTTTTAGGTTTGTTGTGGTAAGAAAACTGTTTCTAGAGCAAACCCAGACCCAGAAGAACAAATATAGGAGGATCTTTAAAATTCTTTCAAAGGTATAAACATGGATCTGGTACTCCATGTTTCTATCCATTTAATTACCTCATAGCTGATTATGTAAGTCTTTGTGTTCACTGACAGCCTGTATTCCCCTGTGGGCCCCAGAATTGAAGTTTCTCGTCGAGTTTTTCCTCCATTTCTGGCTCATCTGTAGCCGAGATACAAAATACAAAGAGCAAAGCAGATTTTTGTTGGATTTATTTTGAAAATAAAGCGGAAGCAGTAGAGATTTTCTATCAAATTTACATAAGTCATCCTGGTGACCCTGGTGCTCTGCGGTGTCATCCATCGCCACCTGTTGCCAAGGTGATGCAAACACACCATCAGTTAAATGCCAGCTACTTTAAAGAGATACGACGTTTTGATGAAATATTGTGTTTGTTTGTTTGTTTGTTTATACCAACAGTGACTCATTTAATACATTTCTTAAAATATGTCCAAAAACATTCCTCTCACAAGATCAATTTATATAATCAGAAATGGAATGTCATGGCCTGTTTCACCATGGGGAGGCTGCCTGCCTTATTGTGACACCCGTTACAAAAGGTCTGTTGGGTATATTCGTGGAAGGTTTGGTGGAAGGAAAAAGGAAAGAAGAGGATTGTGAAGCCAAACCATTTTAAGAGCGTTTTAAGAAGCTAATCACACTGATGAAATTTATGCAAAAGGAGCCCAGACCAAGTATTTGGTGCATATGGCCTCAGGAGGAGCACATTCAGCTGTGGAAGATTTTGAAACATAATCCTAAATAACAGATTTTTGGTTTTAACTGGAAGGCAAAAACACACAAAGAAACACGCAGAATATGTCACTTTGTGTATGACATAAGATTCTTAATTGAATTGCTTAAATAAATTAACTTAATGTTCAAAATGTAGTTTAACTGGATTTAAGAACATTAACATGAAGCTGGACAGAAAAAGAAAACTAAGTCAACATTTTGATATTTCACAGCAACATCCAGAGCTGTGAAGTTACTCAGTGCAAAAATGAATGTGGGGAAAATGCTGAGTAAGAACGAGACCTGCAGTAAAATCCCAGGGTCAAAGTTTAAGTGAACAAAGGTCACCTTAAACAGGTGAACTTTGCACAGAGTGTGACGTGCAAAGTTCACCTCATTTAAAACAAGATCACTGTTACACAACCAGCAGAAAGTTCACCTGTTTAAGATATCCTCTATAGTCACAGATAAAAACTGACTGGAAAAGTCAGACTGTTGTGTAGCCTTTCATATTGTCATTCAAACATTCAAAGTATTTCTACTCTTGCTTGAGTAAATATTTTAGCTGTTCCTCTGGGCTTTTGCAGCTGCTGCCATTATTAACCGAGACAGCTGGGATGTTTCATTTATTTTAGTTTATTGGGTTTGTCAGTGTGAACAGTTCAGATCTCCTCCAGCTGCTCTGTTTCTCAGTGAAGTTGTCAAACCGCTGGAGCAGGAATGTCCTGCCTGCGTTGAGCCTGTGAACGATTATCACATCAAGTTACCCGCGTTTCAGACGCGTTCACCCGCACTTCCGGTTAAACCGTCAAAATAAAACAGTCAACGGTCCTCTAAAACAAAGTAAAGTCCAGATATCTCTCATACAAGGCTGCATGTGCAATAAGTGAACCTTAAAGAGTAAAGGACAGAGGAGCCAGTTATTGTCTGTTCATCTTTTTGTTGTATTTTTACCCCTCAAAATATTGGTCAAATAATAAAATGAAAAACTAGTTTGTTTAGATCAAGACTTGAAACAAACACACAAGTAGGTTAAATTGAGTGAACTAATGACTTTGTTGTCGTCTATTTATTGTAATGATATTTTCTCCATGAAGAAAATTTGGAAAAGAAAATTGGATTATTCACTGAAAGAGCTGAAGTTATTTCCTTCAGTTGGAAAGAGTAAAAATCTTACTTAAAAAATTTAACTGGGACGTTCCTTGTTTTGTTTTTGTTTTTATCTCTGATAAGAAAATTGGTCCAACATCAAAATAAACCTAGTTGATTTAAAGTCCTGAAGTTCCCTTTTTCTGATTAAATGAACTTTTATTTGATCAAATAGTGTTAAAAACAAGAAAAAATGCTCCAAAAACGAGAATAGACAAATTACAAATATAATGTATGTATTGACTTTTTTATTATTATTTTTTTAAATTCGCATTCCCCCACTGCTGCAGTCACAATAAATGTATAGATATAGAGAAAAATAAAAGATGATGCATCAAACTGCTTAAAATAATCAAAGTTACTCACATGTTTACTTTTAGCCAAAGTAAGTTATGATTCTAATGTATATTTCTATCAGAGTACATTCTGGTTTGGATAATTGCCCATCAAATTGTTGGCCGTGCCTTTAATTTGAAGGGTGAGTCATGCTGCTTCCTGTTTCACAATAAAAGCTGACGCAGCGGAGACAGCGTGGGTCTCCCGGACTTTGACTCTCCGCCACGGATAACTAGTCTGACAAGTTGCGCTGGGTCAGACCAACGGCTCGTCCCTCTGGCTGAACCCGGCTGTGAGGCTCCGGACCTCGGCCATGGCGGACCTGTGGGTCTCTGTGGGTGTTGTGGCGGCCGTGGTGCTGCTCTGCGAGGCGAGCCGCCGAGCTGCGGCGCGTTTCCTCCCGGGTGTTTGTTGGCTTTACCTGCTGGAAGCGGCGTCCACCTTCCAGCTCTGCTGCTGCACCCAGGAGCTCAAACTGCTGGCGGAATCCGTCCGCCTGGACCTGTCGACCAGCTTGACCCTCACTTACGTCGTCACCGTTGTTCACTTGTCAACTTTCAGGAAAGCGACGTGTAACCCCGCCGCGGCTCTGGAGAGAGTCTGCCGCGGCGCGGCGAGCGGCAGAGGGGCGGCGCTCCTCATCGCCGTCCAGCTGGGAGCCGCGGTCGCCGCGCGGTCCTTCGCCGCCTCCGTCTGGTCGCTGGGGCTGTCGGATATGCACCGCCAGCACCAAAAGTTCGGGTTCCGGTGCTTCGACCCGCTCGGCGGGACAGTGCTGGAGGCCGCCGCCGTGGAGCTGGCGTGCGCCTTCGCGGCTCAGGCCGCCGCCATGAACATCCACAAGCTGGAGGAGAAACTCCGAGTTCACGTCTTCGCTGCGGTCATCACCGCTCTGGTTTACACAGGTGAGCTGAACCCCACAGGAAACATCCCTGGTTTTATCGGTTTCACCTTAAAGTTGATACGATTAATCGATTATTGAAATGATCGTCAACTAATTTATACATCTATGAATGTTAACTGGAGGAAAAACTACATGAAACATTCAGAGTAATAATTAAGTCAAACTTTTACTCAACTTGTCATGCATACAGTTTGTACTTAAAGCTGCAGTTGGTAACTTTTATTTATTTATTACATATGTTCAAACTGTCACTATCTCCTCTGCCTTCTCTCACTGCTGACTAGCAACGACCAATCAGAGCCAGGAGGCGGGTCTTAACTTTAATTATTACTAAAATAGACAGTTATTTCAATAATCAATAACTGATTAATTGTTTCAGCCCTAAAAAGTGAAAACAGCAGACGTGTGCAGAAATAACCCATCAGAAATGTTATTTGAAATGAATAAAATGGTGCACATGCTTGCATGGACAGTTGCTTGATTGGCTCCGAATATTTTTGAGAATAAAGAGCAGAGTGACTGCAGAGTGTAATTGTGAAGTTTTGTCTGTCAAACAGTGTTTGTGAAACCCACAAACGCAGCACAATTTATATACAAAACAAGAAATGTCATTAAAGAACAACAGAGAAAATGAAAATAATCTCAGATTTCAAACTGATCAGCAGAATATATTATGAATGAAATGATAAATCATCTTTAAAGGAAAGCTCCAGAGATCAGGAGTGTTTTCATTCCTACTGAATAGTTTCTCCGTCTCTGGGTTTCATGGAGTTTGTTCCTCTGAGTATCTTGTTTAGTTCTGGTTCTGTGACTTAGCAGGTCTTTTATTTATTTATTTATTTATTTATTCATCTTCTCTTTAAAGACACTATTATGATAAAACAATAGAAAATAAAATCACAAAACAGTCTATCTGTCTTGGTTTGCCATTCTGGCAATAGGCTGATGTAACAATAGATTCTTGTGCAGGTAAAATGATTATCATCAGCATTAGTTTGGTTATTTATGTTTTTACTAACCATGGATGAATGCATTATGTATGGTTTGGGTTTAAAGAGCATATTAATGTGCTTTTGTTTGTCTTTGCAGGTGGGAGTGTTTCTGGAGCCATGTTTAATCCCGCCTTGGCCTTCTCTGTTCAGTTCCCCTGCAGTGGCCACACATACCTGGAGTACTGCTTCATCTACTGGCTGGGTCCAACATTGGGTAACGATCATGTTTTCATTTGATTCCTCCTCTTTTACAGTGCTGTAGTTAGTGTTTTAGTTTGAACACACGGGCTGCACTGTAAGCTGCGTTGTGCCTGCAGGCATGGCGAGCTGCATCCTCCTGCTCGAGAAGATCCTCCCTTTTCTTTCTGGACAGAGCAGCGCGGAGATGGACGGCTCCGTCACACACAAAGAGAAGACGCAGTAGATTCTAGTTTCATTCAAGTGAGAGAACAGTCCTGAATGACTTTTCTCTGTGACTGTTGGGGACGTGGATCAGTGAGGAGAAAAAAACCCTTTTGGGAAACGTGTGCTCCAGAAGTAGATGGAAACGTTTTGCTTTCCAGGCCAGTGGGAGGAATAACAGAACAAAAACATGAACAGACAGAAACTTTAGCTCTCATTTAGGTCATTTATGAGGAGCAAAAATGAACCAAGAGATGAAGAAGTTAGATTTAAAACATGCTATGTTTTAGTGATAACTAAACACTCAATGGTGACCAAAAACACCATAACTGTTCAACATAGACCAATATGGCTGATACATTGAAGTTAATAGTATTAAAAATCTAAAAGAAAAAACTGCATTTCATATAAAATGTAGAAGTTCTGTTTTGATTACATATGTCTCGGATTGTTTTTCAATTGCAGGACAAACTAAACTTTAGCTTTCTTTAAATATAATAAAACTTGATTCTCTTGTATTTCGAGCCTTTAGCCATTGAAAACGTGACTTTAAAGTTTTTATCAGACTCTGTTGTTTCAAACATACTCATAGTTATTATATTCTATAATATTCTCATAGCTGGCAGTCCTGCTAACGTTCGCTAATTATTACTTGGGTTTGCGCAGTGCTGAAAGTATATACATTAGATTGATGGTAAATTTGTCCAGGCTGCCTGCATTGATGGACAATTTCTGAATAATCCGTATATATACATTTAGGTTAGCTAGTAAAATTATGTAATTTATTGTAATCCAGAAAATCTTTGGGAACCACTGCCTTAGAGAAAAATGTTTATTGTGTTATGTAATTATATGAGTGAACCTCTTATGACATGGTTTTTCATTTCATTTTGTTGGAACATTGTTTAGTTGTTTTGCTTAGTTTAATTAAATGATTACATATTTCTTAAAACCAGCAAACCAAATACATGAAGGTTTTGAAAATGCACTGCATTTGAACGCACGTCGCTAACAGACGACAGTTACGTGGAATCGCATGTTTTATATGCGTCAAATGGTTCCATAAATATTCTATTAATAGCATTTATGCTTTCTATGCAATATTACGAACTCGTATGCCTGCACCAAGTGCTGATAATCATTTCTAAGAATGTATGAACACACCAGCTGAATGCAGCCAGGTCAATATTTGGCGAGTTTCTCTTAAAGGATCAATAAAGTCCATCTACAAACACTAAAATGATAGCACATCCTCTGACAATCAGTTTTCTGTTTGTTCCAATCACAGTGTGGAAATATTTACTAAAAATGTAATGAAAATGTGAGTCAGTTAAAATTATATAGAAGCAGATGGCTGTACTCTGCCTGCCTTTCTAGAAACAGCTGAAACTGTGAAATATTATATATCTGACAGCACTGTAATGTTTAATTATCTTATTTTTAAGTTAATGAAGCACAGAAGTTGTATTTTTATTTTCTTTTATAAATTCATAACTATTTCTATCATTTTAAAAGCTTTTTGTTGAGATTTCAGACAGTAAGTTCATGTAATAACATGATGAGCTGCTACAAGTGAAAGTTTCCTGGATGAAGTATCAACGAGGTGCAGAGGATTGTTGTAAACCGACAGCTTGTATTGTTGTTCATCTTTTTCAAATTTAAGCTATTGTTAATTCATTGTGTTGCTATAAAATTACATTTTCTGATTTGCTGTTTTACTGTACGTTATGTTTTTAGGGAACATGGTTTTGTACGTGTGTAATAAAAAGGTGTTTATTTTTGATGATATGTGAAGTATTTTGATTGGAATAAAAGCTAAAGAGATTTTTTTGTCACTCATGTTTTGGGCTTTTTAAGTTTGTTTTTTTTTTCCTGATGTCTCTGTCATCTGCAACAGTAACATGACTTCCTCTCTTGCAACACTTACTGAAGCTGCAAGTGAATCTGATGGCATGACCTACTTTTTGGCTAAGTTGACTGATAAATACCTGATCACATTTGGGCCCTCAGAGCGTTAAAAATTCATGTCAGACATCATAGGTCCTTAAAAGGTGACATTACTGAAAAAAGTCAGTTACAAAGTAACCAAAAACACAAAAATCGAAGGCAAAATGATCAATGATTGTGGTTGGTCAGCATGGTGAAGGTGCTGTCATGCTGTGGGGTCGAACTGCTTATTATACCAGCAGCTATGCCTGAAAGTACGAAGCTGTTTATATTATTTAAAGGGCCAGTAGCATGAGGAAGGAATGAATGCTTTCAGTCTGGATTTAGAACTGCTGAAAACATTTGAAATGAAATGACATAAAAATAAGTGTTCATTTTACATTTGCAAAGTGGGGGAAAGGTTTTGGAGGAAGCTCTATTTTTAGCTATTCTGTTAAATTGTTAAAAAGTATGTTTTCCATATTTTTTTATCCCAGTGATGTAAATAATAGAAACTTGTGTTGTGTGAAAGAATAAGTTTTGTAAAAACACCTGATACTTTTTGATCCTATTTCAGTTTTGCTTTAGGTTGATAATATTTTTGTTGAATAATTCTCTTACTGTTTCTATGAATTTATTCATAGTAAAGTGTAGATATTTTCACCCAAGACTTTGTCACAATGAATGATCAAAATAACAGCTAATCCCCTCACTGAAGTCTGGATTATCCAAAAAAAGCTCCATCAAATCCTGCCAGTCACATGGTGCCTGTTACATAACATGAACATGTGGCCTTTATTTAACTTTTACACTCAGATTTAACTAAATGTCAAACCAAAAGCAGCACTGATGACTTTGCACTGTTCATTTTCAGAAACAAGACAACCAGCATGACATTTGGTACACACTGTTTGTTACTAGCAGATCTGCATGGAAACTATTGATCTCACAGGAACTTGCAGCATCAACACCTTCCTGGGGCTGACGTGTGCAGATGACCTCTACTGGCAGAAATGAGAACTCCATGTACTTGAAACTTTCTGTTTTAATAAACTCATCAAAACCTTTGCACTCTCAGGTCTTCAGTAACGATTGAAGTCGAAGTGTCTGGTAGAGCGTCTGTTTTCAGCTGCAAACATTTCTGTCCAAATCCTTTTTCACAGAGTTAGAAAAACACTTTCCACTGTCTCCTGTGATCCACTTACTGCCTTCAGTAATCCAAAGTCCCTGCAGTGACTAATAAACTCTAATCTATCTTTACACACCTCTTTAGACTGAACCCTTACATGCCGTCTGCAATGTCTGATATTAACAATACAGACAGTTTCACTGTAAATTCAGCCTGGTGCAGTTTGTACAAAATATTGTACATGTTTGTATTTACAATGCTGACATCACAATAACCATAAAGTGCCTTAGTGAAAACACACATGCTTCAGTAAACCAACCCTCAGATCTGGAGAAAGAAGCCTGATCTTTGAAACAACCCACCAGGTGTTAAATCTGTGGAAAATTCAGGGAGTTGTGAGGATTTTATTTGCACTAACAGACTTTATTAGCTGTCGTGTTAACACTGATGACTCCTCCCAGTTTTAATGGACAAACAAGCTCAATCTGAGGGCTAATCTACATCATGTATCTTGGTTTCTGTAGCTCTTTGCTCAATCAGACGCTCCTGACAGGACTTTTGACTTTCAGACCTTTGATACGTCATATTCAGTGGTGGACTGGACATCAGGAACACCAGGCCTGGCTGCTGCTCCATTCAGGATCGCTGAGGGATGTGATGGGACCCAACCTTGGGTTCAGGTCACATTTATTAATAAATGATCCACGCTGTTCGTGGGGCTCACTGGTATACGCCAGGCTAAAAGTCAAGTCAAAGTTTATTTGGAAAGCACATTTAAGTAATAATGAAGTTCAAAGTGCTTTGCATTGTAAAAGCATGATACAGTCACCAATTATTAAACACGCCAAAAACATATTTTGTCAAATGTCATAATCAAAATTATCAAGTAAATACAAATCAAATGCACTATATTGCCAAAAGTTTTTGCTCATCCATCCAAATGATCAGAATCAGGTGCTCCAATCGCTTCTTGAATGTATTGTGGTGCTAAGCCATGTAGCCATTTGTAAACTAATAACAGTATTTTAAAGTCTATTTTATGAGCTACAGGGAATAGACTGGAAGGATTTAGAACTGGGTGATGTGCTCTGCTTCCCTGATTTTAGTCAGCACATGATCAACCCACTCACATTGATCAGCAGTGATCAATATGACTGAAGATAAATGCCTGGATGAGTTTCTCTAGATCTTTCTGGGACATTACTGCTGTAAGTGGCTTTTTGTTTTTCTGAAGTGTCAGGTCAGAGTTCATCACTACACCTGCAAAAACTCAACAGACTGCAGTTGCACTAGGGAACAGATGGACACGTCTGAGGAAACAGACTGTGCACAGGGTCATATGAACGCCTGCAGAGATTACATTACATTTGAAAGTTGTGAGTTTTGCTGACTTTTTTACAGGAATTATAGGAGCCGCAGTTTGGCCCGAGTTAAAAGAGGATTACATTTAGCTTTAAGGCCAAGTTTCCAGCCTGGAATATTCTCCATGGTAAAAACCATAACTGATGTTAAACTTCAGAAATCTTGTATTGTTTGAGGGGAAAGACTCGCTACAATGTTTTATGTTAATCTGAAAAAAGTTTTTCAGGGCAAATTTGACTCTTGAATATTTGGGACTCAAGGTAAAAAGCCAGAAATGAGCTGAAACCAACTCTATGCAAAACTCTAAACTATGTGGAGCATTTTTTCATTGATCTCTGTCTGTTATGTTCGTTGAATGGCTCAACATGTTAAACACACAATCAAGGAAACACTAAGGCTTAAAACCCAGTTTATTATAAGAAATGTACAAGAGCCGATCCATAAGAAATAGCAGTAAACAAACAAAAGTATATAGCAGACAAAACACAATCCGTCTACTAGGAACTATGCACAGTGGACAGGGTTTCTTTCTTTCCAGCTTCATCATGAGGTAAAAAGGAAACAGTTAACACTTCAGTCGTTGGCACTGGTCTTTTTCACCGACCCCTCTAATTTTGTTTCTATGCAATACATATCAATAGATTTCTCAGTCCACCAGAACACATTTATTATACTTTTATATTTTGGTTTTCTAAATTCTGTCCAGCTGAAGCCCAAATATCCTAACATTTGTGTTCACTGTAAGCAGCTTGTAGAGGTTTTTCTTCTTGGAAGTCGTGTTTCCGGTCAACAGAGCAACTTATTCTGTGGAGGCGGCGCTCAAGAGTAATTTACAAAAATTTTACAATATTCTCTCTGAAGTCAGGTCATCCCAGCCCCCTTCACTTGGTCAGCGCATGCCTATGACACAACGTCCTCAGCACCAACAAAACAGGTCAGGAGACACACATCTGTAAAACATGCCCAGATTCTTTTGATTTTGCTATAAAAACTGTTGTGCCAATATACTTCCCTACAAAAAAACAAAAACTAATAGAAACCCATGCAATCCCAAAGAATTGCCCAATATATTTCCTTTTCCATGATTACAAAATGCCTCTAAATATATTACAGCAAAAACTACAGATATACACACAGACTGGTTCCAGCAGAGGTCAGTATAGTCATTGGTTTTCATTTTTCATGTCCATTCCTCCTGTGAAAAACTTTGCAGTTTTACTTCGAAGCTGCTCATTACACCGATTTTCCATCATGTTGAACCTTTGGGGATAAATCCAGAAAAACGCGACTCGGGTTCAAGATTATGAAAACAAAAGAAGTGCTGGAAGGGCGAGGAAAATAACGTTACCATGGAGCCGCATGATTTTAAACATGCAATGAGAGACAATGTACATAAAAATAAGACACTTTACATTTTTACTCAAATAACGGTTTAGATATACAAATAAAATAAAAAAAATACCGAAAAATGAAATATGAAGCAAGTTCTGAGGATTAGGAGGGATAATAGTTTAAGTTTCAGCTCACCACAGGCGCTGAAGGCATTACACAGAATGCAAATAATTACACAATGTATACAATATACAAAAAAAATCTACGCTAACACTCAAATACAAAAGTTCAAAAAGAAGGGAGGGGTGAAAAAAAATACAGGTTGGTCACTCGGATACATTCACACCTTGAACACGAGACGGATGGAAAACGGATGGTGGGAAAGGAGAACGCAGATTTCCAGATGCTGGCCAGTGTGATCCAGCTGTTTTAAGGGTTAGCTTATTCATGATGTGATTTACAGAGAACGATTAGTCAGCTAAAAAACAGGACAAGGCTAAGAAATCAAAACGCCACTTTACGAGAAAACATTTATTTTTGGAAGCTAAAAAATGTCAACTGGGTGTTTTTATTTGAATAAAAAGTTCTTCCTTTTAGATATTTAGAACACATTTTAATTTACAACCCCCCTGAAATACACCTGGACTACCAGTAGGGGTCAGATCCTCTAACAACTAACTGCAAATTTAAAGTAAACTTGTAGTTCGCAGATTAGAAGTTGTAATGTCTGTGGAAATATTAGTTAAGCCAAACATTGTAAGCTAGAATGTTTGAGCAAATTCCAATATTTACTTATGAATGTTAAAAATCTCTAAAAGACTTTGCAACCATATATGTTTCAGAGGGAAAGCTGGTGCACAGATAAATCGGCCGGTTCTTGCATATGAAACCGATTATATGCCAAACAAAAACAGTGATTTACACAAGATTCCCAAAGTATCACTTACTATCATTCAGAATTGTTTAAAATGTCCCAAAACCGATTTCATGAAAACAAATTTGTCTTTCGGCCTCCATTTTCTTAAAACGTGATTCTTAGTTTGTGTTTCTGAATTGCAAAGCAGACTGGAGTAGATTATGAGGATCTTTCACTCATTAGATTAAAGCAGAAATTATTGTTTTGAATTTGAATTGAATCATGGTCTCAAAAATAACTAATAATATAAAATATTTTCTCCTCTATTGTTTAACTCCACCCCACTGTTATCAACTTGGCGACTGTCACAGCATCAGCTGTGCAAGAGATAAAGAAAAAGAAAAAACAAAAAAAATCGGCATCTCTTTTAAAAGATGATCAATCAGCCAGGAAGCTGCAGTCGGTGCATCCTTAGTATGGAATGATACTTTAAGTCAGACAAGCAATCTAACAGTAACCAACTGTTCAAAGTACAAACTGTTTCAGTGCCAGATTTTATAAATGTGTGTTAGTGCTTCAACAGATACAAATCTACAAAAAAAAAAAAACAGCTGGGAGGAAAAACGACGACAGGTTTGGCAGTGGAGGATCTGATGATGTGTTGACGCCGAGAACGAAGCTCCATGTCGAGATAAAAACCACAACAACTGTTGGAAGGGGGAGGGAATAATAAAGTTAAGCAATATAAAAATACAATACCACAAAAAATAATAAAAATAATAAACGGTACACCATTTCTGTTGTCTTTTTACAATTGTTCGTTATTGCAGACGTAGTCCACCAAGTCTGTGACTCCTAACAGGTCGTCCTCGTCGTCGTCCTGCGCCGCCATTTCCTGTCCTGCCAGTCCGTTCGGGGCGGCGGCGGCGGCGGCCGGTGTGGAACTCACAGTTTTAGGCGTCTCCAGGTGTGGAGCGCCGACGCCGTCCAAGCTCTTCATCTCGCTTTGTCCGTTTGCAGCGGGCTGCTTGTCTGCCGGGCGACTGTCCAACGAGTTTGTTCCCTTTGAATCTTCCTCCTCCACCTTCGTCTCCTTAGGCTTTTCCTCCACCTGCTGCTCCTCCTCATCATCGTCATCCGAGTCGATGCGGTTCACCCGCTTTCGGATTGGCCGATCCTCCTCTGAAGAGTCGTCTGAGTCAGAGTCCGAGTCCGAGTCTCGAGACACTCGCCTGCGTTTCAGCGCCAGCCGCCTGCGCCGCTGCCGGGAATCTTCTTCTGATGAATCGACTCTTCGCTTCACCTTCAGGTCCTTCAACTCGTCATCAGAGTCTCTGGAGAAACTCGCTGGAAGGAAGAAAACAACGGGTGAAAAAAATAGTAGGGCTGAAATGATGAAATGGATTAATCATGATTAACTGATAAAATTTTAGCTAAAGCAAAGCTCTTATTACATCTTAAGCAACAAAATAGACATCTTGTCTATTTTTTTGTTTGAAAAAATTCATTGAACTGTTTATTTGTATTTTTTATGCATTTCTAACTTTGTATCAAATACGTTTATGTCTATAAATGAAAAATCTGCAGATTGTGGCAAATTTTTGTCCAATTAATCACCAGAATAATCGATTAATTGTCAGATTGAACTGGGCTGATCTGGGCCCGATTGGCAGCAGAGACGGTTTGTGACTGACCGTCGCTGTCGGAGCTCTCGTGGCACCGCCTGGGTTTTATCTTGGCCCGGTTGGTTCCGGCCTGTGAGCCTTCGGACCCCGACGTCTCGCAGTAGTTCACCTCCTTCTTGTGGCTCCGCCGGGACCGCCGCCGACTCATGTCCAGGTCGCTGTCGCTGTAGTCACTCGATCGTTCCGTCTCTGCAGGGGAAATCAAGACTCAAACTGCTAAATGTCTTATGACAAAAATCTGGAACCAAGACTTTAAGGCACAGATTTTTTTTACATTTAGGGATCTTGTTTTATTTTATGCATAAATTTAAACAGATTTTTCACTTTTCTCTTAGTTTTTCCTATAACTCTGCTGGCTTGATGGATGAAGAATAAATAGTTGAATTTATGGTTTTACCTGACAGGACTGGAGCCTCACTGAGAGCTGCTCTTTGTTCTTGTAATGCTCTGCGTTAACTGCAGTAGCTACTTCATTTCAGCTCTAACTTTAATATCTAGCTGTTTTTATGGGAATGTGAGTCTTTCAGATCAATTTGATTAGCAATTTGGATCATATTTTACATTTTATTTCATAATGTAGCACGGGGGTGGGCTGGTCTTGGCAACACTGATATTTTCTTCATAATTAAGCAGAGATGAAAACTTGGTATTCCAGACCCAAGCTTCCTTTAAAAATCATATGAAAATCTGTTTGGTTTGGTCAGATTTATCATTAAAACATCATTTTTATTGATCCCAACCCTTTTAGCGCCACTGTTAATCAACAGAGGTTTCATTTTCATTCAACCCGAGTCCAACCCGAGTAAAAAACCTCCAGTCTTCCTACCAATGTCGTCGTCCTCCTCCACTTCGTCATCCGTCTCCTCCTCTTCATCGTCTGAGTACCACTTGGGTCTCCTCCTCTTCCTGGAGCTCTGCCTGCGTTTCTGCGGCCTACGGCTCCATGACGACGCGTGGCGCCGCCCGCCGTGGTCGCTGCCGTTCGACTCCGCCTCCGTTTCTGGCTCCGTCTCGTTGTCGGAGACGACAAACTCTTCCTCCGAGCTGAAACACAACACGAGGAGTTCAGTGGAGACAGGAAACCACGGCGCTGAGGGCGAGACCGAGGGGCTAAAACGTACGTTTCACTGAGGCGAAACTCTTCCTCGCTCTCCTCTTCGTCCACGGTGCTGTCGCTGTCCAGGTCGTTGAGTCGCCGGCGCTTCTTCCTGCGCTGGGCGGCGTTGGGTCGCGGCGGACGGCCGTTCTCTTTCCCTTCCTCCGCCTGCAGGATGGTGGAGATGTCCTTGCCTCTGTGGCCCGTGATGTTCGCCATGTCCTTACCCCGACCGGCTCCTGCGTTCATCATTATTATGTAAAAATACAAATACTAAAAAGCTGCTTCTCACTTTGTTATCTGAAATAACCATCCTTCCTACCTCCACCTTCTGCTTCTTTGATGTCTTCCTCGATGGCCTCCTCGATTGCTTCATCAAATTCATCAAATCTGTAAAACAAAAACAGACGTTGGCATTTAATGCATCAGTATGGAGCTTAACTTCACATTAATGAGTTTCACACTTTAAAAAGTAACATTTTAATCACCATCTTAAATATGGAAACAATTTCCAACATTTTCACAAGGATAGTTTTACTTAACAAGAATCAAGGTTAATAACAGAACTTAAATCACATTTACAGTTTAACCAAAATTGGTTGAGGGTCCATACGCTTTTCCACAGTAAAATTAAAGGATTTTCAAGTTTTCAAACTTTTTCAGCACCACACTTTGGAAATAAAAACAATAACAAAATAGAAAAGACCATTTTAACTCGCAATTACATATAATGTGACTGTGTTAATATTTTTTGTGGTAGTGTTTTACAGAAGGAACAAGGTAAACCAAAATAAAATTTGATGTTTGAAATGTCTCACACAGTGGTGTACGTCTCACATAAAGAAAGTACATCCACTTTCTTTAGTAATCCCACCACATTTTATTAAGCATGTGCGCCCCCTTCTGGATGCTTTCTGCAGTAAAATAAAGCTGCTATTCCATTCTGTAAATTTCAAGATGTTGCACAAGTTGCATATGTTTTTGACAAACTTCCATATTTCTAAATGAAATCTGGGTTATGACTTATGTTCACGTTAAAAACTTGAAAGAGGATGTTCTTTCTTCTTCTGTTGCGTAAATGTTGGCCTCACACCTGTAGCTGATGGTTTTCTTGGCCCTCGTCGATCTGCGGCCCCAGCTCTTACTCCGCTTTGCTTCTTTCTTCTCCTTGATGATGATCTCGGGTTTTTCTTGCTCCACCTCCACCTGCGACGAGTTTAGCATCTTTTATTTCACAAACGTGAGCAGGTGAGCGACTTGGCGTCCGGCCAGGCCAGGTTTGTACTTACAGAAGGCGTGATGATGTTCTCGACGCTGATTCCCACATAAATCAGCCGTTCCTTCCTGCACAAGTTGGACACACATTAAGCACACGCAATTATAAACAGCAAAACAAAACTGATGATTTTCAAACTATGATTTGTTTTTGTGGTTTTTATGTTTCAAAATGTAATTTTAAAAAATGTGCTTTTGTTGTTTATAAAATAAATAAGATAAACTGAAATTTCAGATTTTTGAATTTCTTTTTAAAATTTTTATAGTTAAAGCAAAAACAATTTTATATTTTATTGGTGCACCATTTGGAAATCATGGATTGAACAGGGGATGTATTACTTTTTCACACTGTTCAATGTTCAATTTTTTAAGTTTTGAAAAAGGAAAGACAAGAAAAAAAGTTTTGTTTTTGTCCTTCTTGCGAAACAAACAGCAAACTACATGTGGATTCTTTTGCTTTGTACATGTCATTAAACCCTAAAAAATACATTTGAAGGTTTAAGCTTAAATCTAAAGCTTATAAAATGTGCTTTTTTATCATCTGCATGTTGCAGATAACTTCAGTGATTACAGCTTAAAACAGGAAGCGCAATATATGTGAACTTATTAAATGCATCAAATGAAAGACGGTCAAATATGGAGTTCTAGAAATGGCAAATATTTAAAAAATAAGCAACTCACTAAATTACTACTGCAGTGTGATAATTATTTAAAACAGTAAACTAATACAAATTTATTACATTTAAAATCAAATATGTAATTGATAAAAAAATAATTTATAGCAGTTTAAATCATTTTCTGGTGTACAGAAACATATAAACCATGACAATGGAAGCCTGTAGTGGGTTAGTGGGAGAGCAGAAACGAGAGCGTTTATTGAAAGGTCCCACCTCCTCTCGGCCCGCTCCTTCTTCTTCAATGAGGCGTCGAGGTTCAGCAGCTGCTCCTCCAGTTTGTCGCAGAGCTGCTTCTGCAGATGGAAACAAAAGAACACCTATCCCTCATTCAGAGCTCTTTCTCACTGGTTTCTCTGGTTCGAGACGATCTGACAGGAACGTACGTGCTGACAGGGCGGGCAGAACCATTCTCCGTCCGGGATGACCATGAGGGGCGGCCGCAGGCAGGCGGTGTGGTAGCCGCTGTCACACGAGTCGCACAGCAAGATCTAGGTCACAAAAGATTCTGTTTGCATCCAGGCACATTTTGTTGCTCCGTTGTATATAAATGTTATCGTTTTAAGGATGTTTTTGTCTCTTTTTGTTCTGTAAACCCAGAGGAATTTATTTCTCCATGACATTCAATCAGGCACTCAGTTTTGGGATTTTCAGTCATCATGACAATTTATGGTTTTATCTGGTGATATTTTTACCCTGAAATGCAGTTTCATACCTACAAAGAACACTGTTCAATATTACATGTTTAAGTTTTGAGAAAGGAAAGACTTCGCCTAATCAGTGGAAAAATACTTTTAACTGCATCTTAAAAATCCCCAAGATTGAAATGACATGATCAGTTTGTTTATTCACATCTTTTAATATATTAGTAAAAAAGACTTTAGTGGTCAAACAAACAATCTTCAGAATGTGCTGACTTTTCTCTTCTGATTAATCAATTAATAATCAGGATAAAAGATTAGTAAAATAATTGTTAGTTGTGGATCTCAGTAAATAATTTCAAGGCAAATGATTACAAAAGAAAAACAGTTTTCTGACATAACATAAAGAATTTCATTTTTGTTGTGACAACACTTGTTCTGCGTTTTGTCTGTTTCTCCTTTGTTGTGTTTTGTGCTCTTTGTCTATCTAATTGGTTGATTTGCAAAATATTGCAGATCAATACCTCTGTTCGCTAATCTGTACTGTTTGTTTTGTCTGCATTAATTGGTGTTTAAGAAAAATAAAATAAAATACATTTCAAGGAATGGCTGAAGGTTAGAAAGCCAGCAGAGGCCCCGCCCACCCACCAGCTCAGGATGGTTTGGAAGACCACAGTGTTTGCAGGGGTCGTCGTTTGGAGGTAGATCGTCGTCGGAAGACGTGGAAGAGTCCGAGCTCCGCCTCTCCCGGTTCCGGTTCCTCCTCTTCCGGTTTCGTTCGACCTTGTAGTCTTCGTCGCTGTCGTCTTCCTCCTCGCTCTCCTCCTCCTCGCTCGATGACTCCTCGCTGTTCTCGTCCTCGTCGTCGGAGTTTTTCCTTTTCCTGCGCGTTCGAGTGTTGGACCAACGAGTTCTCCGTCTTTTTCTCCCCTGAAGATAAAACAACTCAATTTAGTAACAAAGAAAAACAAAAATCCCTGAATCAGTTTAGAAATGATCAGAAATAAGAAGCAGATATTGATCTTACTTTGGGTTTTGGCTGGCCCTCCTGATCAGTCTTTTTCTCTTTGGGTTTCTTCTGAACAGTCTTCACCTGCACCTTTTCCTCTTCCTCCTCCTCTTCTTCTTCTTTCTTGTCTTGGTCTTCGTCACGGTCCTGAGGAAGAGGAGTGGGTAGGGCTTTCTCCGTCTTCTTCTCCTGAACCTCCACGGCCTTCTGCGTTGGCCTGGAGATCCTCGGCGACCGCCTCAGACATCGCCCCGTGTTCGTGTCCGACTCCGAGTCACCGTGGCGATCCTCCCTCTGCAGCTCAGCTCTCCTCCTGTGCGCCGGTGGCTTGTTTCGTCGGCGAGCGCCTCCTGGTGGCGGAGAGCCTCTGTCGCCGTTCCGCACCTGTTCCTGTTTCCTGCCGCAGTCTGCAGGCGCGTCGCCTGCTGCTCCTTTGGTTTGTTTTTCCTCCGTTTCTTTTGAGGACTCGGATTCTTTGCTTGAATTTGTTGGACTCGACTCAATTTTGTTCTGCTTCTGAGCTTTTTCATCCGTTATTTCACTTTTTTGAGAATCTTCTTCCTTTCCTTTGTTAGCCAAAATTTCTTGATTTTCTGACGGTGGGTCCTTGGCCATCAACGACACTTTCTCCTCTTTCTGTTTAGATTCTGTTTCTTTGGGGGATTTTTTCTTCTCGGCAGGACTGGATGGTTTATCTGTCCGTTCACAGGGTTTCTGTTCAGAGTTTTTCTCAACGGTTTGCGTCTTCGTCCGATTGTTTTCATCACCTGATTCTTCTCCTGTCGGCCTGGAGTCGCATATCATACCATCTTTACAGTTTGAATCTTTCTTTACGTCTTGCTGATGTTCTGAACTCACCTCTTCGACGTCGTCACTCTTCCTGCTGGGTGTACTTGACTCTGATTTGTCCTTGGATACATGAGGCGCTTCTGTTCTCTCTCCTGATTTGTCAGTGATCATTGGTTTGTCTGTTTTTGCATCAGCACACTGAATTATCGTAGCTTTAGGTTCAGCAGATTTCTGTGCAGCATCTTTATCTGAAGCATCTTGTACCGTAGGATCTTGTATTGTTGAATCCTTCTCAGGCAGAGCTTTCTCCACAAGACTTGTTTTCATTGCATCTTTAGCCACAGGATTCTTTTCTACAGGATCTTCCTCTGCAGAATCTTGTTTTGCTGGATCTCTTTCTGCAGGATCTTTTATTGTTGGATCTTTCGTCAAATTTTTGGCCACAGGGCCCTTTTCTGCAGTCATTTTTGTCATCTGATCCTTCTTTGCAGACTCCATCTCTAAAGGATTTTTGGCAGTTAAATCTTTCATTGTTGAATCTTTTGACACAACATTTTTTGTTAAATCCTTCTCTGCAGGATCTTTCTCCACTGGAACTTTTGTCACCAGATCTTTCTCAACAGAATCGATTTCACCAGAGACAATTTTTGTCTGATCTGTTTCTACAGAATCTTTTGTCGTCAAATCCTTCTTTGTAGGGTCTTTCTCTGCAGAAACTTTTGTCAAATCTTTCACTACAGCATCTTTTTCTGCACAAATTTTCTCTCCAAGACTTTTTGTCATTGAATCTTTTATCAACTGATCGTTTGCCACAGGATCTTTCTCTACCGAAATCTTTGTCGGATCTTTCTCTTCAGGATCTTTTGTTATTGAATCTTTCTTTGGAGGATTTTTCTCTGCAGGATCCTTTATCATTAGCTCCTTTATTGTTGGATCTTTTGCAATAGGATCTTTTTCCATTGAATCTTTCTTTGCAAAATCTTTCTCTGTCGGACCCTTGCCTGCAGTAACTTTTGTCACTAGATCTTTGTCTGCGGGATCTCTCATCGTCTGATCTTTGTCTGCGGGATCTCTCATCGTCTGATCTTTCTCTGCGGGATCTCTCATCGTCTGATCTTTCTCTGCGGGATCTCTCATCGTCTGATCTTTCTCTGCGGGATCTGTCATCGTCTGATCTTTCTCTGCGGGATCTGTCATCGTCTGATCTTTCTCTGCGGGATCTGTCATCGTCTGATCTTTCTCTGCGGGATCTGTCATCGTCTGATCTTTCTCTGCGGGATCTGTCATCGTCTGATCTTTCTCTGCAAGACCTATCATCGTCTTATCCTTCTCTGCGGGATCTTTCATCGTCTTATCCTTCTCTGCGGGATCTCTCATCGTCTGATCCTTCTCTGCGGGATCTCTCATCGTCTGATCCTTCTCTGCGGGATCTCTCATCGTCTGATCCTTCTCTGCGGGATCTCTCATCGTCTGATCTTTCTCTGCGGGATCTCTCATCGTCTGATCTTTCTCTGGAAGATCTTTATTCGTCTGATCTTTCTCTGCGGGATCTCTCATCGTCTGATCTTTCTCTGCGGGATCTCTCATCGTCTGATCTTTCTCTGCGGGATCTCTCATCGTCTGATCTTTCTCTGCGGGATCTCTCGTCTGATCTTTCTCTGCGGGATCTCTCATCGTCTGATCTTTCTCTGGAAGATCTTTATTCGTCTGATCTTTCTCTGCGGGATCTCTCATCGTCTGATCTTTCTCTGGAAGATCTTTATTCGTCTGATCTTTCTCTGCGGGATCTCTCATCGTCTGATCTTTCTCTGCAAGATCTTTTATCGTCTGATCTTTCTCTACAAGATCTTTTATCATCTGATCTTTCTCTGCAGAAGCTTCCTCTGCAAGATCCACGTCTTTAGTTTTGATGCTTTCCTTCATTTCTTTCGCTTCTGATGAATCCAACTCGCCAATACTCAACTCTTTCTTCGACTTGGGCGCGTCCGTTTTCACGCAGGATGACTTTCCCTCCAACTCTGCAGATGTAACACCAGGATTAGCTTTATCTGTTTCTCTCGCTTTGACGTCTGCTGGTTCGGAATCGTCCATTTTCTCCTCCTCTTCCTGAGTGGATGATTTGTCCCCGACTTCACACACCAGCGTTGCTTCTTGGGGAGGTTTGTTTGTTTCTCTGTTTTCCGTTTTCTTCTCTTCCGTTCTTGTTGAGTCATCCTCGAGTGATTTATCGCCGCCTGCAACAGCAGGAAGGTTTTCCGTGGGTTTATCTTCACTCTTCTGTTTCTCTGGTTCTCTGTCCACTGGAGGCAGAACTTCGCCGTTCACCTGATCGTTTATTCTCTGGACTTTCTGCTCTGGATTTGACTCGGGAACAGACGGATTTTGTGCCGTGATGGTGCCGTTTTTCTCACCAAAGTCCTCGCTGAACTTCATTCCCCGTTTCTTCAGCGGGATTTTGGCCTGCTGGTCATTTTTTAGAGTTTGCTGGATCTCCTCTGACCCGCTCTTCTTCACCTCCTCTCCCTTTACGGCGGTGCAGGGCGGCGTTGGGTCAGTCAGAGGCAGTTTGGAGTCTGTCGCCTCCATCGGCTCCTCTTTGATGCTCTGAGCCTTCGTGCTGATGGTTTCTGACACGAGTTCTGGCTCCGGTTTAGCTTCAAAGACACCATTTAGTGACAGTTTGGCTTCTGGTTTCAACTCTGAGTTTTCTGTCCCTTCATCAGACGTATCGTCAGTCCTTTTTGTGTCACCTTAAAAACAAAACAAAGGATGAGAGATGGGTTTGGATTCAAAATTAAAAATCTGAATTCCAATGCAAATCTTTAAATTTGCATTGGAGTGTTATATCCGAGAATGGAAAGTTTAGTGGAAGGAAAAATTGTCTAAATGAACAGCAATAAACTTGGCATTTATTAAATAAATGGAATGCGATTATTTTCTTCCACTAAACTTTCCATTAATATTTGTGTTCCGGCTAATAGACAAAAAACAAATTCATCAAGACTCTATGTAGGATTATCACAATAAATCGTCCCAGAAATTATGGCGATAAACGATAAAATTTTATTTTGAGACCACTTTCAACTTGATAACAGTGTAGGCTTATTAGTTCTGTTATATCAATTCAAAGATAAAAAACTATTCTAAAAAACATTTACAGTAGAACTGGAAAACATTTTAAAAGTAAACAAACCAACAATATTTAAAATGGATTACAAAATCTGTGTGACCAAAATTGCATTCTGAAAAATAACCATCCTTCATCTTAGACAGGAAAACATGCAAAAGGGACAAGTAACGTAAACTGTCTCGTTCGGCTGTCAAATGCTTGCAGCGTTGTTCACCAATATTAAAGGGGCAAGTCTCTCAAAAGACAGTTGTCTACGGAGAACATTATTGCGCCTTATAATGCAATTAATTTATCTATTGCTTATTGTGAGAATAAACTAACTATGCAGTGAATTTTTCCTCTATTGATCTCCAAATGTGCTCCTATGACTGATTATTTTATGATCAGCGTGTAAAAATGAGGCTTCAGCAGTCCAACCTTTGTCTTTGTCCGTCTCCCCCTCTGCTTTACTTTTCTGTTCCAGGTCTCTCTTCAGCAGCTCAGGGTCGATTTGTGTCTTCAGGAGAGCAACAACTTCAGCCAGGTCATTTCTGGTTCTAAAGGAGGAAAAATAAACACACTTCCCTGATCAGTCTGCAGACATCAAGACCTTGTTTTACCGTGGTTGGAGCATTTAGCTGCCAGCTGACCTGACGATGCATTTCCACGACGCGCCGTCCAGGTCGTCCTGCTCCTCCACGTAAACCCGCACGTTGTCGTCCTGGTCCAGCTGGAACCAGTACATCTGCCCGTCCTTGTCCCGGCCAATCGGCTGCAGGCGCATTTTGTCCGGATCTTCATCGTTGATGGCGGTTTTGAACTTCACGTTCTCGTCAAACTGGATCTCACACAAATACTGAGGCAAGCACAAGAAAAATAGGGAACATGTGGCAAATGATGCAAAAAAAAGTTACAAGAATACAGTAAAAATATTACAAGAATAAAGTTATAAGAAAATAAAGTAGAACTATTCAAAAAATAAAGTCCTAATATGGTAAAGTAATATTTTGAGAATAAACTCATAATTTTCTGACTTTATTTCTGTAATTTTATTTTGCCATTTTGTTTAGCAAGTCCATTATATTCAGTCGTTGCTGCTTCATCCTTACTTAATGTCAACTTAAACCCAAGTAAGACTTTAAGTTGACATTAAGTAGCTTAAATTCTTCAAAGATTAAAGATGCTGACATTTTTATCTTATAAATCCAGATAGAAGTAGATTAGTGAGGAAGAATATTTCCAAAATAAAAATCACAAAATCTGTGATTTTTATTGTCAGAAACAAAGAAAACACAAACAGCCATGAAATCATAAAGGGACTTTTGTGGCAGATGAATCCAAACCTGCTGAGTTTTATCAATTGAAATTAAATTTAGTTTAAATGCATAAAGAAATAACTTGTTCTGTCGGCCCAGCAGACTCTCACCTTGAGGATATCGGTCTTGCACTCCATGGACAGCTCCTTGTATCCGTTCTGCTCCAGCTCCCAAGCCCAGGTTGTGTTGAACTCCTGGCATATCTGCAACAAAAACAAAACCGACTCAAACTCCTGGGAATAAAAACCATTAAACTGTTAACTTCAGTAAGCTTTTATTACAATTATTTCTGAACAACACAGAAACAAGACATGCAAAGTTTCATAACTTTGAACCATCATCCAACTGCCTCTTGATTTAATTTATGAAGAGAAATTGGGAAAATGTTGATTTTTAGAGCAAAATCTACAGCTGAAAACAGAACTCAGCTTTTTTATGAAACGTCAAGTCTGAGGTTTGTGCTGCATTTACGTTGGTCTTTACATATATTGATGAACGAATAGTCACTCTGGAAAAATGGACAAAAGATAGTAATTCATCCTGGTTAGCGCTCAGGTTCAGGTTTAGTTTCAGTTTAATCTGATGGCAAGAAGCTGAATTCTATGATCTTCAAACAAATGTTCATTTCAGATGTGGAGTCAACCTCTTTTTTGGGGGCCAATTTCAGTTCAGTCAGGACTCAAGTTTATCCAGCATGGAATTAGAAAATCTGAAAACGATATTGTCAAAATACTCACTTGCCAAAACAGTCGAGAAGCTGCGATGCACAGAGAGCAGCTGAACTGGTTTCTGTTATTCTTGCAACAATGACAGTAAAGATTCATCATAAAAGTGATGTTGGATTATGGCTGCCGAACATATTGTATCGCAAAGTGCAATTATTTTAGTCATCAATTACTCTGACGATTAATGGGATTAATTAAATGGTTACATTGTGCAGATCTTTCATTTGACTAAAGTTTATACTAGCCACTATCAAAAATAGATTAAATTACACATAAATCATTCAATTTCTTTTTAAATGAGAAAAAAAAAATTCACTCATCCCGACAATTCAATACTATTTTATCATCTTTGACGAGTCAGATGAGAAACTCAGAATCCTACACAAAATTCACTTTAAACAAGAAAGTTTGTATTTTGTTACATTCAGTAAATTTCTAAAAATAGAAAATTTTTCAGCTTATGAACCAGAGGTCCAGTTGAAGTAGATGGATGGAAACTTTATTCATTCCTTTGGGATTTACTCTCAGGGAAATTGTGATTCAGTCTCAATACATCAATACTTATTTCTATTTTATTTTTTTTTTTTTTATAGTCCCTTTGTTTCTACTGTACTCCTGTTTGCCCTGCTTCCTGTCTCCAGTGAGGAGTTGAAGAGTTTCATTGTACGAGGGACAAAGGAGTTCCTCAGTCTGTTGGTCCTGCACTTTGGAAGAAGCTGAACCTGCTTTCCTGGCTGCTGATGACAGAGTGCAGAGGGTGGCTGGTGCTGTCCATAAGAGCCTCGAGTTTCTGTAATGTTCTCCTCTCTGCTGCTGCTGCCAGAGAGTCCAGCCTTGTATGTAAATATTACATAAACCAGCATGAAAACCACATTTCTTTTCCCCCCCCCCAGTCTTCCTTCTGCAGGCATTTAAAAGGATAAAAGCAAACTTCATCCTTTTCCACTAAACAGTCTGAAGGCTGAGCGTTTACCTTGACGAGGTATTTCTCCCATCTGTCTGCAGAAACCGACTTCCCAATCTTCCTCAGCAACTTGACGTGAAGATCAACCAGCAGCTTTGGAACTGAGGAGACAGAGCAACGTGACCTGGATGACAGATTCACCCCTGAATCTGAGCAGATGAACAAGTTTTTAAACACGCTGACTGCTCCTCACCGTGGATTCTCCGACCTGAAACTCTGGGCCGATATCAATATTTGGTTCTAAGAAGAGAAGTTTATTTGCTAGACAATTCAAAGTGCTTTACAAGAGGAAAATGTAAAGGAAGATAAACGCCTGGATGAGTCTCTCTAAATCTAAAAACAGCAAATCCAGATTACATAAATCAGTGAAAAAATAATGAAACATAACAGAGAAAATATAAAAGTTGAACTCCGGCTAAATTATATGTCTTAGACTTACAAAACTATATAATTAAATAAATAAGAATCTTTTGGTTATTTTAAGAACCATCTTTTTATTTTTTTAAATTTGAAAAAAAAAAAATATGAAAGACTATTTACCCTAATAATTAGATACATTCTTATGATTATATGTATGTATAAATATATAAAAAATACACACTACAGAAATAGTTCTTATAGTTGCATCTATAAGAAAAATAACTACTTTGCTGATAAAAGTTTTAAAAAAATAAACAAATAAAAACAAAATAAGGCAACATTTTCCAAACACTTTAGTGATGTGAACAACTCTTAGGTTTAAAATATTATTAAAAAATGTTTTTACAGAAGTTGAAAAAAAGAAGTTCCATCTATAAGAAAAAAGCTGTAAAATTGAGTTGCACTACAGAACAAATCTGAATTTTAAACATCATACCTACTTATTAGAACCGCAATGATAATAAAAATGTCTACATTTCAGTTTATATCATTTTTAAAAAGAGCTTTGTATTTGGATTATAAAATATTATCACAAGATCATTTAAGATTGAATTTTATTACTGATCTATAAACAAACTTTCTAACTTTATATAATTTTTAATATTTTTATTAAATACGTAAACTTGACAATTTCAAATGAATACAAAGGACATTTGCCCTTTTTATTAATTTACTTTCTAACAAATGAGAGAATTCGCTCGTTTTGACTGAGACGACCTGTTCAGTTAAATGAAATCTATTTCAATCAAATCATTTTGTTTGAGCAGTCCATGAAGACCAGAGAGAAATTTACAGCATTAAAGATCGATGACTGCAAGTCGATTCCATAATTTACAAATAAACATTTTACACAAACTTAAAGATGAATTAAAAACTCATTTCAAAGCATTTGTCTGTAATTTTGGGCTGATTCGCACTCAAAAAAAGGACGATCAATTTTAAAATAAAGACAAATCAGGTAATTTTGAATGTCTGAATTTAAAATTCTGGCAATTTTACACCAACAGACATTCTAACATTACAAGCTGCAGGTTTTCAAGAGGTCATGTTCTCTACCTGTTGCTGTAAATTGTTTTAAACAATAACATAGCGCCCCCCTTAGATGATTTATTGCCATTACATGTCGGCATTTAAAAGTTGCTCTTTGGAGAGGAGATAAACTCAGTCTAATCTAATGAACACATCGCGCTGCTCTGAGAAAATGGGTCGTTGGGTCAATTCAGGACTTGTCATTACGATTCATTTAATAAAATAAAGTTTCCACAGTGCAGCTTGAGCACATGTTAATGAGAGGTAGAAATTAAATCCCAATCAGCAGCACTTCAAATAGGAAGAGCACGAAAAGCGTCAAGTTAGCCACAATAAGCACCGGAAGACAACCTATCGACATTTTAAACAATATAAAAACACATTTAAAATTGATCAAAATATTGTTTACAACGATTAACTTGCCTAAGTAATACAAGTACTTGCTAAAGTTACTTGTAAATAGGAAAATACATGATGAGAAGTCTGCTTGGGTATTTAAATGAGTTTAATTTTGAAAGCCTAAGCCGGATATCGTCACCCTTGCGGCTAACTTAGCCTCAGCTCAGCTATCCACTGCCTGAGAATATATTTAACTGTAAATAAAGTGCATAATCCAACATCCGTGTAACACTCTGACCGATTTATGAGCAGCATACAGCTTTACACTGCTCATTGCGAGAACTCGCATCACGCTCACGGACACACAGACAGTGTTTTTACCGCACATTTATGCTTGTGTTGTTGCACGAGAAGCAGATAAAGGCTGGGAAAAAATTAAGCTCAATTCAAAAGCTAAAAAGTGACAGAAAACATCGAACAAATCGACATGTTTGCGTTTTAATCAACATCAAAATAAGCGGGGAGACGTTTAAAACCTTGAATAGCATGGCTGGGAGGCGGTTGAGTTGAGTTTAAGTAAACACGAAGGTTAAAAAATCCACACAATAACAGCTAACATTAGCGGTTAGCACGTTAGCTCAGTCCCATTATCATTAATGCAAGGCAGGAGCCTCTCCGCGTCCTCCGAGCCTCCTGCTGCGGGCTTTCTTGCCCTACCTGAGGATGTGTCCTGCAGGTATCTTTCCAGCTGAGGGAAGGTGAGCTCCGGCAAGTCCAACAGGGCTCCGTATCGCTCCAGGAACGAGCAAACCACTGCGTAATTTGGACACAAACCGGGGGGAGAACTCGCTGTTGCCGCCGAAGCAGCCATCTTTTCCACACCAGTGGTCAAGCCCCTGCGACGAGACTGCACACGACTTCCGGTGTTGTTACAAAATAAGACAATACCGGAACAAGCGACGTTAAATACAAGACAGATGCCATGTTTTTTGGGGGGTTTTACACGTAAATGACGTGAACATTTGTTTTCTTGAAAACAAATGCCTTTTAAAAATGCATCTTTTCAAATAAATTGTAATCTATTCTCTTGGATTGCAATGATATATTTAACCATTCATTCACTTTTGTTGTTGAGATAGAAAAAACCCAAATTGTCCCTTTCAGGATATTAGGATTTGATTAGATTAAAAATGGCAACAAGTGTTTGACTAGTTTGACTAAGTATTTAAGTGTTTCCTCAGTAATGCATTTTATTCTACATGTTTAATAAGTGTCATATAGCTGACTTTAGTGGGTGATATGTAGTTAGTTGAAATTGGAAGCTTATACACTAAATAAAAAAGCACAAATCCTTTTTCCACGGTCTGAAGTTAAATCAGATTAAATTTATCCTGTGTTAATGTCAATCTGAGTTACCAAAACAATTTCTATTCACTTTCAATTTGGAAATAACGACCTTTATGAAGTAACATACTTCTCATTAAACCCACATTTCTGCTTTTATTTACTTTTTGAATTGGTCTTATGTAATATTCTAAATTTGTCAGGTTTTCATTTACTGTTAGAAGATAGTCATTGTGATTAAACAAAATTAAGGTGCTAACACATCAGGTTTTGTTCTAATTAATCTATACAATGCATCTCAATTGGTGCTGGAGTTACTGAAATAAATTGAGTTTTCAATAATCTAATTTAGCTAAATAATTTGTAAATAGACAGTTCCTACTGAAAATTTAGAGCAAAAACTGTTTTTTTTTTGGTACAACTGCGTCCTTTTTAATTTCTAAAAGGAGGGGAAAAAAAACCAAGTCTCCAGTAAGTAATGTTATTTATTTATTCTAATCACTTAAAACGGTTAAGTTTCAGATACCAAACATTTAAAGGGAACTGACTAATTTGTATCACATTGAAACAAATTTTATTATCTCTGTATCTAAAATAAACCATTAATTTAACATGAACTTAAGCCGAATATGAAGGGTTTGCTGGGGGGGTCCCTGGTTACAGACCCCAGTCCAAGACCAGAGGTGAAGCTTGGAGCGTAGATGGTCCAATTTTCTCTTCATTGCAAAAATAAAACCTGCAGAAATGTTCATCTGTTCATCCCTTAAAACCAAGCAGATATTTGGAAGATGCCTGAAGTTCTGAGATCTTTATAGACTTCATTATATAAAATCTATAAAATACAACAAACCAGAGTGGAGTCTTGTTTGTTTCGTTTAAGCTATCTTTATTTCACATTTATTTGTACACAATAAATACAGTCAAACATCCACTGGTTTGTAAATCTGAATGTCTGCAGAGCCGACATTAAACATGGGAATTTAATCAGTGAACTGGGCGTTAAATCAGGACCAGTAGCAGGTTTAAAACAACAATAACAACGTCTCTGATGGAAACGAGACGTCAGTCTGATTTTATTTTAATACAACAGGGTAAACGCAAACTTCAAAAATAAGTTTGATGTCATTCAGATCTCAAGGAGATCAATGAGAACACAGCAACGAGGCTGACAGATATCTCTTTCCCTCTGATCTAATTATCTACTGTTTAAAAAAAGGTCTTTATGTCCGAATCTAATGAAACAAACAGAGAAAATGCTATTATTATTATTATTATTTTTTACAGATATCCATCTCCAAGTTTTCTGTAAACTATTCATGTTTCAAAAACAGAAGCTGTAAAGACACTAAGGTGGCTATTTAAGGCTAAATAACACAAAGAGCTGATAAAATAAATGCTTTTATACGAATACGGCTTTCAAACAAACCTCAAACATCAACAATACTGAGAGGGAACAAGAAGACGTGAAGAAAGTGCTTCGCTATGAAACGGGACAGCTAGCACCTGCTAGCATCTGCAGCTAGTAGCTGCTAGCGGTGGCTAACACTCCCAGATGGTAAAAGAAATTAAGATGGAACAATCTGAATGATCTGCAGAGTTTCTGAATGGTTTCCATTGAAAAGGAACTCCAGATTTAATTCCTATAATTTTAAAGATAAAAACATAAGAAAGGAAGGGATACAAGAAAGAAAGGAAGAGAAAAAGGATACAAGGAAGAAATCTGGGAATGAGGGAAGAATGGATGCAAGGAAGGAATAAAGGACATAAGGAAGGATGGAAGGGAAGCCATTAAGGATGGAAAAGAATAGATGGAATTAAGAATCGAAGGAGGGAAGCAAGGAAGGAAAGTTGACAAAAGGAAGGAAAAAAGGGACAAAGACAGAAGGTTGAGATTAAGGACATAAAAAAGGAAGGAAGGAAGCTGAACATTTAGGGAACAAAGTCTGGAGATTTTTTTTTCTTTCCTCTTATTTTTTCACTTTTCCAAAAATGAAAAATCCTGAAATCATATTCCAGATTTTCTTTCCTCAGACTGCGAAGACATCCCGAACATCGCAAAAACATCTAAATCTGGACGTCGGGACACAAAAACAACAAGACGTTACACTGTGTGTTTACGCTACAGCATTCCTTAAACTGCTTCTAAAGCGAAAACAAGGGTATAAAAAAAAAAATAAAACAAAAAAATCAAAGCGGAAGTCTCTGAAAAACAAACAGAATTGCCACTTTTCCCTTGGTGTAACCGTATGCAGTTACGATGCGCTAAAGGCGGAGAGGGCCGGCCTCGGCCGTGCTGGAGTCGGGATCAGATGAGAGTTTTATTTTATGGGCGGGTCATGTGATCAGGAGGCTGCTAGTTTATCAGGAACGCCAAAAAACGATCAGCGAAAGATCGCTCTGAATTGCTCTGACTGGGCGCATAAATATGTAAAAAAATAATTTGAATCTGTAAGATAGAGAAGTGTGACATTTAACATATTTCAATAAAAAAATAAATGAGGATGATATTCTAGTTATTTAATTTTCTGACAGATTTGGAATCAGTTCCATCTGATTTGTGCTTTGAAAAATAAAACTAAGTTGAAAGTAGAATTTAAAAACATGGTTTTGGCCAAGAAAAGCCTGAATGTCCTCAAAATATCCATAAAATGAATAAAACTTTAATGTTTATCACAGTATTAATCAGCTTGGGGTTGAAAAGATGGACAGTGGGGAAGTTATCTCTTCTTTTTCAGCAGGAAAACAAATGAATATGAAGCCAGGAGGTGATTAGCGTCAGCAGCTGAACTCTGCCTCTGATATTCATTAGTTGAGTACGGAAGCTCTTCACTGCCAGGAAAGAAATTCCTGTGCAAAATCTGTTGTAAACGAAAAAACATTCTGGTTTAATCAATATTAAAAATCCAAACTACTAATACAAGATTTATTTAATCTTAATAAAACTAAAATATCTTTTAAACAAGAATTTTGTCAGAGGAATGTATTTTTTATGTCTTGTTACAGCGTCAAAGTATTTCAATTCAACATTTTTTTCTTCTTTTAACAACAAAACTCACATTATAATATTTTTACTACTTTTGACAAGTGCCATTTATTTGACATCTTTTTCTCATTTTATGGAGAAAACCTTTTTTGTCTTAATATTTTTCTTGTTTTAACAAGAAAACTCTGTTGTTTTATTAGATTTTCTTTTTTTCCAATGAGAAAACTACCATTTTAACGAGACACTCTTTATGGACTCATTTCCATGCTGGCATTTAAATACTTACTTTTTTTTTTTTTAAAGAAATTTGAAAATGAAATGAATCACAAAGTATTGTGAGAATCTAGAATTTTCTGTTACACTGAAAAAAAATATTGACAACTAAGCCGCATTTTTAATTACGAACTTCAACGTTTTCCATGGACTTTATGTGTTGAATCTAAAAGCGACTGCGCACTTCCAGACACAAGATAAGGATGCAAATATAAATCACATATCATCATAATCAACAATTTAAATTATTAAAAGCTGAAAAGATAAAACATAATCAACATTATGGAATTAAGTTTGTTTTTCTAATGAGCTTTATGGTAAATGCTTGTTCTGCATTTGATAGTTATTGTAAATTTACTGGTTTGAATGAGGCCAAACTTACTGAAAATCAGTAAATTATGTGGAGCTAATCACCTCCAGGAAGTCAATGTAGCTTCAAAAATGTTTCTTAAAGTGCAATCCACTCTGCTGCCTACGAGTTGTTCCCTTTTCTGTTAACTTCCCTTAATTTACCAGGAGTAAATGTCATTTTTTTGGTAACGTAAATATTCCAGATACAAATAAAGCAGGTGATGTTCCTCGTTTGTGTACACAGAGCAGGAAAAACAGACGATAAAGGCACATTATTCCGACCCGCTGAGGTTTCAGACGTCTCCAGGCTCTCAGGGCGTCAAGCTTCCTCCGGTTTATTTGGGGGTGTCTGTGTCGGAGCAGTTTCACACCAGCGTGATCTCCACCTCCTCCCGGCGCTTCACCTGGCCGCGAGGATGCTGCTTTGGGGGAGGAGGAGCTGCACGGACCTGCAGCACACACAACAGGACCGGCATAATCACAACAAAGTTGCTTTTCAAAATACAGGCATGATAAAAAAAAATAAAAATACACCCTACTCTCGGTTTGAGAAATAAAACTACTAAATAATACTACAAGGCTTGCTTTCTCTTCCCACAGTAAAATTCAAGCATTTTGAAGGTCAGCTTTCAAGACTTTCTAACACCGAAACAATAAAAAAAGACAGTTTCAGTTCATTATTATATTAAGCCATGTGTATGTATATATATATATATGAGCATATAAAATAAACATATGTAGGAGTTTTGAGTTTAACTACTGCTCTGAGTTTTGTTCTTTCACTAAATGTCTGTCTTTACTACAAATAATCAATTAGGCAGATATTATTTCAGTAATCCATTAGTCATGATTAATACAATTAATCTTTTCAGTGTTTGTCCAAAATAAACAGTGAAATCAAACTTTACAACACATTTAGTTTGTTATGCGACTCTTGTTTTCTGGCGCCATCATCTGGTGAGAGTTGTTACTGAACTGTCGCTTACAGGTCTGATGCTGCCAGCGCCGCTCTCCGGGTATTTAGGAGGTTGAAGGGATCCTTGAACTGGACCTGCAGGAAAGAAAAACATTCAGATTGTTCATATTTTATCTGTGTGAGCTCTTTATTTTCACCGCAGACACAGCAGCTGATCTTACTGTGATACGGGCTCTTGTGTGGCGCCGGCGGAGGCCGGTGGTGTCCGTTGTGGTAAGATGGCGGCCGGCCAACGGGAGAGGCTGCGGCGCTGCACGGACTGGACCCAGGAGAGGCGGCGGTGGGAGTCTGCAGGGGGCTGCTGTGGAGAGGCGCTGCCTGGAAGGAGCTGCAGGGGGAGCGGTCGCTGTGAGCCGCGGCCGAGGGAGAAGCCTTGAAACACAAAACGTAGCATCACAAACCAGCATGCTGCAAACGGGATCAACTTCTGCCAATTCAAGTTCTAAAAACAACAGCAGCTCCATTTATACCCGGATTTTTACACTTTAGAAAATTCAAACGCTTTAAAAAAAAAAAGTTACAACAAAAAAATGTCTGGCGTTATTCAAATAAAAATAATTGCAACAATTCTAACTGACTGAAACAAGAAAGTTTTAGTCTGATTTAACTTCAGACATTGAGAAAAAAAAATCTGTCTTTTTTTTATGTGTATGAAAATAAAGTACATAAAGTTTTCAAGCGCCCATATGGGCGGGTTTTAGTATCAGCAGCCTACCTGCAGCACTTCTTTATGTCCGTCTCCGTTTTCGATGACTCCAGTGAGATCTTCCACCAGGACGGCAGGGAAGACGCCGACGGCGCCGTTAAACTCCCCCTCCCAGAAACCGTCGTCCTCATGAGTCTCTCTGCTCAGGATGCGGATGATGGCGCCTTCGGGGAACGAAAGTTCTTCGGCCGTTTGACCAGCGTAGTCGTACAGAGCCTTCGCAAACGACACTGATATAAACAGATTATTGTTATTTTATATGCTTGTCTGATGCTGATCATCAGTAGTGTTGGGTTTGTGAGTCTCACCGCTGGAGTCTCCGTTGATGGAGCTGGCGGACAGTTCGGTCTCGGGTTCGGTGGAGTTGCTGGAGGAGTGGGAGCGGGCGTCCAGCGAGGCCAGGGACTGCAGCATGCTCAGCAGGCTGTTGGAGGACGGCAGCTGCAGGTATTTTTCTGGGACATAACCGACCTGTCCACTGCGGTTCCTGGCCTGCAGAAATAAAAGTGTCAATAAATATATATCTGTAAAAACACAGCCATGTTTCAATTCAACTGCGGGATTCCTGAGCACCCAGGTGTGCCGGGCAGCTTTCACTTCTTTTTTCCTGTATAAATAATAAATCCTTTATATTTATGCAGAGAAATCTCTTTTATTATGCTATTGAGCAGATATATAGCCAATTTTTTTTACCTCCTTTAAACATCCTGAACGAAACAGGAATGCACAAACTTTCTACATACAGATTCATAAAAGCTTAGCAGTATCTTACCTTGAGCCAGTCCTCCATATCTCCATCATCGATGACCTCCAGGATTTCCTGTTCCTCGATGGTTAGTTCATCTGGCTGAGACGCCTGCAAGCAATAGATTAAACTGACTTCAGTTTTTCTCTGTTATAATTGTTTACCTTGTGCTTTTTGAGCTGCTCTGTCAGCTCTCTGTTACCTTGTAGGAGTAAAGCACTTTGCAGGTGAGAGGATAGTTCTTCAGGGTGCTGGAGGGACTGGAGCTGCTGTCGTCCAACACCTCACCGCTGTCCTCTGTCTCCTCCTCGTCTTCCCGCTCCAGATCAGCAGTTCCCTGAAAAAAATTACATCTTCACTTCTGCTGAATGTTACTTTAATTAAGCACAAAAAACTCCACCAACAGTTTTTAGAGCCATTTCCGTAACAACAGGCAAAAACATTGAGATTTGCTTGAATAAGGCAGGTTTGGGGTCTTACAGAGAGCGAAGGATCATGGGTATTGAGGTTGTTCCAGCGTTCGTTCTCCAGTTCCTCCATCACCTGGTTCATCGCGCTCTTCAGCCACGTTTCCACAGCAACTCCCGCCTGCCGCAGGAGGTCCAAACGGGCCTCAGCCTTCACTTTCACAGTCTGCCATTAAATGATAAATGGCCATTTTAGTTGCATACCAATGTGGCATTTACAGCTTCCACAGCAAAGTTAGCAAAGCAACCAACAATTATTTTAGTTATTTATTAGTGCACCGATTATTTTGATGATTAATCAGAGACAAAACTGGCACATTTTTCAGATTTTTAATTAACCACTTGAGCCTTTTTATAAAAAAGAAGATAGAAGAATACAAATAAACAAATAATTGAATTCCCTTTTAAATTAGAAAATAAAATTATTCTTTCCTAAAATGTAATAACAGCATTTATTTGGTGTACACTGATCCATTCATTATGTTTTAGATTAACCTATCAGCAACTGAATTGCAAAAGGTTCTTAACAGAGAATCTTTTCCGATGAAGAATTTGAACCAGAATTTGAAAATGGTGAGGAGTTCTGCATAGAACATGTTTTCAGAAAAACAAGGGTTTTTAAAATAAAAGTAAACATTGTTTTTATATTTCTGATTTAATTGCTGCTCTGTGTTGCTTTTTTTCAGCAAATTACCATTTTTAGAGTCTGTAAACTAAAACCATAATCTTAAGCTATTTGTACCTAAAGAGGAATGGTTTAGTCAACGCACAGCATCAAAACCGAGTTCATTTAAATCTAGAATAAAAGTCCAGCTTTTTATTAACAAGTGGAACATCAATAGTTTTAGTTTTCCAACTGCAATTTACTCCTTTTTTATATTTTCACCACATAAAACAATTAGAATTGTCTTGTTGCTGAAATGCAATGTACAAATAAAGCGGCTTTGGCTTATATTTTTCTCTAATGGAAATGTTTGACATTCCACATGAATGAATGAAAGGTTTATTAGACCTGTAGCATGTCGCTTTACCTCTCTAACCAGTAGATGGCGTACTGGAGACAGTATGCCTGAGAACAATTAGACTATAATTTGTTTATCTAGAAAGGTTGATTCGTTTGGGAGGTGAGAATACAAATTTGAATTCCACTAAACATGTGAACTCTGATCCGCCTAAAAACCTCAATCTCGATCCTGTTGAGCAGAACTCTTGCACGGTTGAAAGGAAATGGACTGCAGGGCAGGGCAGTCTGTGTCATAACCATAACAAATGCGAGTTTCCACCATTAGCGGAAAAAATGTCTCATAGTCAGATGTACAGTTGCACAGTGCCGTACCAAGGGAAAAAGACTTTGCCATCAACACATGACATGCTAAGGACAAGTGGAAGTTCAGGAGACACGAAGGACAAGTTTCCTTTGTATGATGAACTAAATGCTGTAATTGGCGCTCGATCCAGGAGAACCCTGCTACATGTTGTACCAAAAACAGCCTCCACTCTTTGTCTTCTTCAAAGGTTTTTGTGTCGTTTCCTTCAGAAGGTGTTGGTGCAGCGCCGCCACAAGCGACAGGGGGATCCGGTTTTTCAGTTAGTTTGAGTCGTTTGACACAGTGTAGTGTGAGTGCAAACTACAGTCCTGGAAATGTAACAAATGTTGCAATTCTGATCCCCAATCAACCCGAGTCTACCAGACTATCAGGTGTGAAAACACCCATAGAGGAGATTTTATCATTTCACCTCTGACCGCCGGAGACTCTGCCGGGCCACCTCCATCTTGGTCTCCGCCTCGCCGCCACTCTGCTCAGACGAATCCTGATTCCCGTACTCCTCCAGGGCCTGAAAGCAAACCACGATGAAACATCGTCATGGTTACATCACAGACATCCACAGTGTGGACAACAGAAATGTGACTCATCCGACAATAAAAGAGGTGATAAAACTGACCTGACTCATCGCTCAGGATTAAATTTATGCTTTAATCGAGCATAAATTTACAACATCTGGGTTTATTTTTTTAACCAAACTAACATGTTCTGCTGCTCAACAGGAATAGGGACAGATTCCAGTTCAGTGAAGGAAAACAACACGTCATAGTGGAGCTCAAAGGACAGATATCTGTTAAAACTGTAAAGAAAACTGATTTTGCTGAGCAACAACATAATCAAATTTTGGTGTGAGTTTCTTTAGATCCACAAATCTAAACCGCATGATTTCCCATTATTAGTGCAAATCTTGCAGAAAAAATAAATCTTGGAAATACTAGCTCTAAACAAATCCTGGATTTTTACGGCCATCCTGGACTTTAATGGCCCAATATCGCCAGAAAATCCCAAACGAAGCATGTACAAGTGTTGATTCCAAATGCAAAACATAATTATGTTGCTTTGGTTTTAAACATGAGCTTTTAATCCGAAGGTGACCAATATTGTTTTTGCTTGGTAGCTATATTAGCAGCCTTGTATGTTTTTAATAATATACTGACTAAATATGGGCTGAGTCGTGTATTTCATTGATGTACCATTAATAATAATGCAAAGGACTGTTATTTTTCTATGTCATAAATACATACTCTGCATGTCAATAAGATTTTCAGTCTCACACCTGACACAGAGAGTAGAGCACAAGATACTGAAGCTCCCACTGACAGGTGGAAACAATAAATAATACAAGTTTAGAGTAATTGTCTCCTCGAGTCGGGTGAAGAGTCTGTGTGACGAACAGGATACAGTTCCTCTGGGCTTCAATTCAATTTAAAAGTACTTTATTTACGTCAAAGGGAAACTAAATGTTGCAGCTCAAATCATCCAAAACTTTAAAAAGTCATTGTGGGTGGTGATGTGGGGAAAAGGAGGGATCTCCAGTAGCAGTCTTGCCAGAGAACGAAGAAGCCTCTGACTGAACACTGTTGGTGTATGACAGCCTAATGACTGTTATGACATGCTAACAGCTTAATATCCAGACAGCAGAGACGATACTCCACCATAACATGTCCTGAGTGACGCCATCAGTTGTTGGAAAGCTTTGCTAATCCACCTCATTTGCTTTTGCTGCTCCTCCTTAAGTTTCTGACTAACAGTTTGGTTAGAAAACAGAGCAGAAAGATGTTGGAATAGGGAATATGAGATTAAAAAAAAAGACCCATTTCACATCCACTAGGTTAACTTACACTACAAGGACATTAGTCAATGCAGTTTGTGATATTTGATACATTCTGTTAAAGAAAAAAAAGTGTCAATTTTAGTGCTTTATTTGCTCCTTAACCAAACAGAGATTAAAACCTTTTTACAACACAGTTTAAGAGTTCACAAAAAGTGAAATGGCCATTTGAATGAATTTGCATTCATCTGCCAATGAGGCAAAAAAAAAAAAAAAAAAACATCACTGACTGCTAAAATGTTAAAGATAAAATATGCAATTCAAAACTAAATCAATATAAAAACGATTCCCTCCGATTCTTATCATTTGGATAAAGTAATCAGTAAAAACTGGAAATACTAACATCATTCTATATTCAGATGACTTTTAACGATATTTATATATACATTTGTCCAGCGGATGTTTTATTTCTAAGCTCTATTGCTCCACATTTTAGCTCAGGCACTTCAAATTTAAAAATCTATATCAGACCAAACATCTGAATTTGAAGAAATTAATAAATAAATCTCATATTTTTTCCTCATTCTTCTGTTTTTTTTTTTCGCAAACAGAAATAATTGTAGTGATTCTGACTATAATTAGTCAGAATCTCCAGACAGGGAGAAAAAAAGTGGCGATGTCTTCAAACAGTTAATGATAAAAGTGATATTTTTACAGGACTGCATATGAGACACCAAGGTGTGTTTGATTTCCTCCTCACCCTCTGTGTGTGGATAATGCTTTTGTATTCTCGTGCTACGCGGCTTGCCCACTTCCTCGCCTCTTTATCCAGGCTGTGCTCCTCGGCTGTTCCGCTCTCTTTCTGCAGCTCCATCACCTGAGACATAAAAACACCAGCATGAAAAAGATTAAATCCTGAAAACATGATCAAGTTGACAAACTTAAAGTATAATTTTCATGTAGAAATCTTTGCAAAGATAAAAACCCCCAAAAGAAGCAGCTCTTCCAAAAAAGATATAAATGTATTCCTCTGGAGGGCGCTGATGCACATGTGCAAATCATTTTAGGTCATTTCTATCCTTTAGTCTGATTCCAGACTTACAAATCGCTGCCCACAACTCCAGCCTGGAGCTTACTGGCATCTGCTTCTGTGCATGAAAACCAAACTGAGCTCAAACATATTTTATGTTTTTCTCCTTCCCGAATAATAATGATGATAAAAATAAATAAAAAATAGGATTTTTGGACAACACATGCATAAAAACAGAAAAATGGTTTTAAAATATAAAAAGCTTCACACACACACACACACACACACACACACACACACACACACACACACACACACACACACACACACACACACATATATATATATATATATATACACACACACAATGAAAATAAAAAATATATAAATACTAAAATTTTATTTTAGTATTCTATAAAGAGTGAGCGAGTTAGTGAGTTACTCAGAAGGTTGTTGCTCTGTAACCAAATAGAAAAGGAGTTAGTTGATCCTACCAATGTAACTTAGCTGGTTGTGAGAGGCTGAGAGACTAAAGTCTTTCCCCTGCCTACATCCCCCAGAATGCTGTGCGGTTCTGGATTCAGTGGAATTATTGCACATTCCATCAGACGTATCATCTATTGATATTAATCACATCTATCACGACATACTGGTTTAATGTTGTTGCTAGGGCAAGGTAATGTTAGGGTTTTATAAAACCCTAGTTTCATAAAAATAAAAAATATCTTTGAGTCAGAAAGATTAAAAAAAAAAAAACAGGGTTAGTATTCTTTAGGAACAGGGTTAAGATGTAACAGTGTGTCTATGGTGCGACTTTTCTCTTCGTTACATTTTGAGTAAATAAATCCACATGACATCAGGGCAGTGTGTGCATATGTGTGTGTGTGTGTGTGTGTGTGTGTGTTGAGGGAAGAGGCCAGGGTGGTGGGGGGCTGAGGTCAGTGCACTCTGATGAAACACACACACAATGCCTCCTTTTCACAGATGGCCCGTTCACAGGGCCCGTCCTGCTTCCCATCCAGCTCTGTTCCTCACCGGATCCCCTCGTCTGCAGCGAACGGCGCTGGACAGGGGGGGGAGGAGGGGGGGAGGAGAGGGAGGGAGGCGCTGCACCACTAAAGTTTTCTTTAGGAACAGGCTGCTGCTTGTTTGGCCTCCAATCAAAACAACACAAGCATTTGCAGTTCGAACAAATTGTCCAGTGTTGTCCAATGGAGCAGCGGAGAAAAGGAGCACCAGTGATGGGCGATCTGCTGCTTCTCTTTCATGAGTCGTTAGAAAATCAGGGGAACATCTGAACTCCAGGCTCATCTTAAAGGAACATCCTAAAATATGTTTGGACCCAGTGTTAGTTTAAAGCAGGGTAAAAAAAAACACATCCAATCAAAGTGAAGTGAATGAGAAAAAATGTGTGAAGGAACAGTGAAGGGGTTCATAGCAGGTCCAATAAAACCATTTTAGGATGGATTTGATTCACATTCTTCATTTCTGATGACCAGTCAAAACCACAAAGAGTTATCTAACATAAATACTGAACTTAACAATAAGCTTGAAATGAAAACTTTGATGGATGGATGGATTGAAGAACAAATGGATGGATTCAACTTGTAGCTGATGAAAAAGAAGATAAAACCTGGAAATTCAAACATTTTTCATTCTTCTTGTTCCAACATTTTCAAACTTATTCAACAGCTGCACCTTTGTGTTGCAACAATCATGCAATTAATAAAGCTCCTCGCTGCTGGGTTTCACTTCCACCACAACATGCCAAAAAACCCTAGGAAACCCTTTCGGAACCATGTATCCTTTTTACTTTCTGCATTGTTTAAGCAGAGTGAGCGCTCCCATCAGCTGTTTCTGAGCTCAGTGTAAACGCTTCCACATGCTGCATTGTGTTGGAATTTCCTAATAAAAAACATGCAAAACATGTTTGGATCAATCCAAACAAAGACAACGCAATTCAAACGCTTCTCGTAATCCACTGATTTCTAGGATTTCTTGAAGTTGTTTTCATTAACAACCCAGTTGGATGCGTTTCCTTATATTGCTATAAACTGCTGTTGGCATTAGTTGAATCATTCATATTTTCAGGATTTTATGTCCCATTTGCTGGTAAACATGATAAATATGAAGATTTCAAAACACAGCCGGAGTGATTGACACCCAGTGGAAACTTTGTTTACGAGAGGGCGAGATTTCTGCGAAACGTTTCCGTGGGGGGAAAGCTGTTTACAACTGTCAGTACAAACTTTTAGCGGTGAATAAATCTGCAAACATCTGCTTACAAAAGTAATTTCAACACATTTTCTCTCAGATCCTGATAAAATTTTGCATTCTGACCAAAAAGTCTGATTACTAGAGTGAAACAAACACTTTAAATTGTTGTATCAGAAAAGAAACAAATAGAGCAACTATTTTATATTTTTCCAATAAAACCCACAAAGTAGAAAAAGGGTAGTGTGTTTCTAATAATAAAAAAAACACTGAAGCTGGGAATCTATTTTTGTTTCAAACAAAAAGGTTTAAGGTCTGCAAAGTTTTCCTAATACTTTGGATCTCAAAACATGACAAAGTTAAAATAAATAAATAAAAAATTACATGTACACTCAGAAAATTTGAATAGCGTCAAAAGAAAATACTCAGAAAGTTGAGTGAAAGGAGAAAGTATGATGAAATAGGCTGAGTTTTTATCCTTCGGAAGCCATAAACATCAAAACTACAAGAAAAAAATGCTTGAAACATTTCACAAAAGAAGAACTCAAAGCAAACATAATGGAAGAAAATGAAATCATATCAAAACAGGAAATGAATGTATTTCTGGTTGTGCATCAATATGCTTTCTGAGGTGTTTCTGATTTAAATCTCACTGTTGCAATACTTAGCAATGAGAAACAGCTGGTCCCAAGTGAAACAATGCTCTTCATTAGACTCTTCATGAAGGCCGTCGAAGCTTCAGGCTTATAAAAACAGAGGCACAGAGGTTTCTCCAGAAAGTCTGGAGTTATTCTCACAGTAAGAGGGATTTATTAAGCCCTAATTTATTTTAATATTTATAATATTTATTATTTATAATATTATTGTCATTATTTTTGTTTACATTGTCTGCATTTGAAATAGAGGTAGGTTATAAAATCTTTCCATTACTCATTATTGCTTTAGTTATGGATTTATTTCAAACATGATAAAAGTATAAAATCACACACATGAACCAAGAATGCAGAAGACATATTTTTGTACAATAATCTTAACATGCTCAGAAACCATGTCAAGATTAAAACAGCACTTAATTTTCATGCAAGTTAAGTGCTGTATTTCAGTGCTAATTTTAGCTATTGTTACTTTGTAACTAGTTTACTTCACGTTTCTATTTTCTGATATAAGCACAGGAAATCTTGGTAACAGTTTTTGTTGGGTGGATATTAATAGGCTAGCTTTTCCACTGTTATTTTGCAGATACAGTACATGTAGCTATTCCCTGCCTTTCTGAAATGTTCTTTTCTCTTTCTCATTTCGAAGAGCAAACTAATGAAAGGCCCAAGAAAACGGAACTTTTCTGATCACTCAAAAAGCCAAGCTGATCAACTTAAAGAGGCATTAAAAATATTTCACTTTACAAAAATTTCAAGCAGCTCCAAAAAGTGTAAAACTTTTTGTGATTTTGTGTTTTAAGAAATTGAATAAGTGTTCTCATATTAAAAAGTTTGAGTAATATACTAAAATCCACCAGCTCAGGTTTATGGCTTGTTTTGGCTCGTTCCACCGTGTCGGAACGGGTCGGCACAACCGTTCACAGCTTCGGCAAACAACAGCTGTTGTTGCTGTCGTGAAGCGATGACCCAGATTTGGTCCTGCAGTCCGACAGTCAGCTTTTATTCCCACACTTCAGAGAAGTTGTGCAGCGGCTAACTGTGTGACAGCTGCACATGGAAAACAAACAGCGTGAACAGTTCAGCTGATTTCACAACCAACCTTTACCACTACAGGTAATCACTGGGTGTAAAATAAGAGCTACAATCCAGCAGCAGATGATGGTTTATTGCCAGCGTGGTCCGTTACCCCTCTGGGGGTTTTCCATGGAAATCTGACCAGGTCACATGTAACGTATATATATCGCTTTAACTGGGGCAACTGCTTTAGCAGATCATATAATTACCAAATAAATAATGACCAAGTGCAAATTGGCATGCTCCCTGATTATGCAAGACAATATTCAGTGGAATAAATTTTATTTTCACGGTTTGAACCAAATGAAGTACAAAAACTTCTGCATCAATGGTTGAAAACCTTGGATCCCAAACTGTACAAATCAAGATAAAACTTTATTCTTTCTTGAAGATAGAAACTACTTTAAAGCTTTGTGATTGGTTGAGTTAAAAATATAATTTTTTTGTAGTCTTTCAGTGAGATGATTAAAACTAATCCTTAAAAAAATACAGGTGTGATTCAGCAAATTATAATACACATGCATTCTCCTTTTTCAGGGACTTGAAGGACCGGTCTGGAGTTTCCCAAAATTCAATGTCAAAGTAAATATTTTGTGTCTGTAACAATGGCAGACAGAATGGCAGAGGAGAACCGCTTTAAATATAAGTATATTAAAATTTGGCTGCACAAAAATTTAAGGTAAGGCTGGACCGTCGCTCCTGGATGGGTGGCTTTGCTAACATCAGCCAATAGCGTTTCAAGTATCTCTGCTTCCCAAGCTGCATTTTCTTTAGAAATGTTTAAATTTGCTCTATGGAAATTTCCAAGATTAATATCAGAATAAAGTCAGAAGTACCTACCTTAAACTGAATTGTTTTCATTCCAAAAGCCAATGCTTTTCCAGACTCAAATTTCTAGATAGCTTTCTAGTGATATTAACCTTCCTAATACTCAACCATAAAATATTCACCTCAATCTGCTGAGACTCAAGAATGAAACATGAGTCTCAAACTCGAGACTCTGACTCAAGTTGCACTGAAGTCCCAAAAATAAGATTTGACTTGGACTTGTGCCCTAAAGACTTAAAAAAATGACTTGTGAAGACCTCTGGTTTCCACACATCCTGAATCAACAATTTGCCAAAATCACCTCATGTTTTTTCTGATTTCACTCCCTGTTTGGGATCTAGACCCCCTCAGACCAGCTCTACTTCTACATCTGTAACTCTTTTACTAGTCTAATAAAGATTGAAGCATCAAACTGTAAAAATACATGTTTAAAGCAGTTTATAAAGTTACTTTTACCCTTATTTTGTTTGTAAAAATTCCCAAAAATAGCATTTTTGAGTCATTTCTACCAAACCCTGTCCAACTTGAATCTGAAGTTGTTTAAAGTTGAAAAACTCATTAAATGGACTTTTTTCAAACTTTGAATGACAGTAGATTGAGTCTATAAGTCAAAAACTAAAATAATGATGGCTAAAGTGTTTAAAATTAAAGTTATGATGTTTTAGTCAAACATAAGAAGTGTCACTAAAATATAAACCAAAGTAAAATTCATATTATTATTTTCCTTTGAAAAACCAAACATAATGATAAATTGTCAATTTTCCTTATTTATTTTTCTTTTATTCACACATTTTTGAAAAATGGTCATAGAAAATCCTAGACTTTTCCAGACTGAGAAAAGCCATAAACACCACAAACAGAAACAAATACTGTAAATACATGTAGTAAATCTATGTGTATTGTTTTTCAGTTTCAGTTGGGTATCTATCTGGTACAGTTTTGTGATTCAACAATGAATAAATGGTGGAACTGAACACCTCACTTGCAAAATAAAATCTTCCCTCTGACTTTTCCTGTTCCGTTTTTCTAGCTGCAGATGGAAACCCAGATTCTGACCATTAGTTCTGCACATAAACCTTTTGGGTGTGTACAGGTTTAAAACAACACTGGAGTCGTTCTGTACACATTTGAGGCGACCCAAAGAGTCCTGAAAGCATGAATACATGAATCTTTACACACCTATAGGTTAATATGTGAGGTTTTGGCAGTGCAGACCTAAAGAACTGAGCAAGCTTACAGAGAAGTGGACAATTCTAAAATGTGCATTGAAATGAATTACAGTTTTAATTTTCTCATGACGGAGATGACTGTAAAGTTGGAAGGGCAGACAAATAACAGAAAACCAGCATTTACCTTATCTGAGTCAACGGGCTGATACAGGAAATCTGAGGCTTGTTGAAACATAGGATTCTTCTGCACAAACGTCTGCTGGTGAAACTCCTGGAGAAGCTGCACATTACAAACAAGAAGCAATTCAAACACTGAGTAGATGTCAGGAGGTGCCAAAACTGGGACCAAGTGCATTAATTATTTTTGGACCTAAAGAGGAACAGACAGCTTTAGTCATTACAGCTAGAAACTAGTAATCAGGCCTGAAGTCACATTTTAGGGTTCATTCCAACCTAGGGTTCATTCTAAGGGTGGAGTGAATCCTAAGAGTCATATAAAAACAGTTACAAAGTCGGCCTTTTATCACCTGAAGAACATATCCAGCATTAGAGAACTAATGACCCAGAAAGATCTAGAGAAACTCGCCCATGCGTTTATGTTTAGTTGCATTGATTACTGCAGCAGAATTCAGTCTTTTTGCTCCTCTAATCTGGAACAAACATCCAGAAAACCACAAAACTGCTGAAACAGTGAGTCACTTTAAATCAAAGTTGAAAATATTTGATTAATAAGAACTGAAACATTCATGACTTTCCTCTAGACTTTACAACTTTCCATCACTTTCCAACATGTTTAGTCTGATGTTTTGATCATGAGAAGTGTTTCAAACTACCTTGTTGCTGAATTGTGCTCTACATATAAACTTCCCTTGCTCTCCTGCTCTGATGATTTGCTCATACTGTGGTGAGAAGAAACAGAAATTCCCCTTTGGGTCCAGAGATGCAACGTGACCTGAACAAACCTGAGCGCCTTTGGAGCGTGTAACTGAGCAGCGGCAAGTAACTCAAACCGCTTCAGTTCATCAGGAGAACCTGAAGCAGCCGAGTTCAGCTCAGGTTCATTAAACTGATCGACGTTTACACATTTTCATCTATTCAACAAAAACTCTTCACAATTTACCACTGAATTCATTTAAATTACTATGACTCAAAGATTATTAAACTTGGGATTGTTTCACTGTCGGTCATAAAAGCATCAAAAATACACTTTAACATCGAAAAAAGCACTGTGAATTAAAAATAGAGAAACTTTGTGTTTTCTTTAAGATGTAAAATTAATCTAGAAATGACTTTTTTTTTTTTTTTTTTAGAAAATGTGCTCTATGGCCTCATTAATTTTGTTTTTAATACTCATGGTTTTAATACTCCACCACCCAAACCAGACCCAGTTTGTTTTGGCAAGTCAAAGTTTCAAATGATAAACAAATGTAAACAGTCATTCATACCATTTTAAATTCTATCTTTTAGAACACGATAAAAGCAGGAAAGGTATTTTCTTTTTTACCCTGAAGCCAATCTGAAAAATAAAGTCAAATTCAATGTTTTCCAGACTTTAGATCAAATACATAAATGTAAACACTTTGGCTCATTAATATTCCAGTATTAGAATCTGTTAAATAACCTTCACCTGGGTGCAATAAAGGCTCATCTTATGGTTACAATCAGCTCTCTTTCCTGCAGCTGTTGCCCTCCATAACTACAGTGAAATGTGCCCACATGTTTGACCTTTGACTGTTTTTCTGAGCTCACCCAATATTTCAACCACAAAGCTGAAACACTTTAGATAAGGCGGCTTTGTTGAGAGTTAAACTTCAACTCATTATGTCAGAACTGAAGCACTTTATGCAATAATTTATTTTTAGATAAATATTAAGTGATGCTCTGTTTGATTCCACGTGTGGGCAGAACGAACTCACCTCGGCTGAGCTGCTCAGCAGGTGGCTGAAGGAGTCGTGCACCGCCTGGTACGTTTCCAGCTCGGTGTGGCAAAGTGAGACCAGGTAATCTTTAACCTGCTCGTAGATTCGACCGTCTAACACCTGAGGAAACACGTGAGGAAAACAGAAAGTGTTGTAATCTCTGCGGGACATGAGGATCCGCAGTCGTTCAAATCCGGTTTGAACCGGCGGCCGCACCTTGATGCAGTCCAGGAGGTCTGCGCTGTAGTAGCGCTGCAGGTGAGCGTTGGAGGCTGCCAGGGTGAGAAGATAGTCGTTTCTGGCATGAGTTGCTTTTGAGTTGCATTCACTCCTCTTGGCTTTCAGCTGAGACAAAACCACCAAAAACACAGTTAGCTGAATTAACAAGCAGGAGCTTTTCTAAGGTGTCAATATCCTACCTTTACACTGGCCCTCTGGAGACTGGAGCGCGACTGGAAGAGACTTAGTTTTGATCTGAAAAACATACAAATCAGATGTTGGAACTTGCAATAGAAATATTTATTTTACAGTGAAAATGTGGTTTAAATTAAAACAATTAAGCAAAATTTCTAACAGCTAGTTGAAGCGAAAGTACAGGTAAGTGATTAATAAGGAGTGCTGAGCAAAGTTGCTTTTACTTTTGACTCCTAAAAACTCGGGATGCATATGGAGAGAAGTTGAACATAAAGCACACTGAAAAAACAGGAATAATAAAACCTTTCAAATTGAAAAGTTGTTCAGAATTCTATTTTCAAATCTTTTTCTATTATTTTTTTTCACTTTCAGCCACAAAAACACAAATGGTCCATCATAATTAAATATGAAAAACCAATTGATATATTTGGCAGATTTTGGCAATTTTGCAAGCAACTAAAAATAAATGCTTGTATCATTTTTTTTAGCTTCAATTTCTTTTCAAAACAATTATTTTTAACAATCTCTATGACCCCAATTTACCTCTACACTGACACAAATCATCATTATTGCCACCTATGATGGCTGATGTTGGTTTTATTTTTTTAGAACATATTGGTACTAATATTAACCGATTAACTGATGTTCGTCTCCATCTTGTTGCTGTTTGTAGACATGAGGGGTTTGTGGGGCGTTTACCTGACACAGAGAAGCAACGGAAATATTCACTAACATTGACAGAAAAACATCTTGATTGCTATATATTTGTGTCACAGAGGTTAAAAAAAACTGGAAAACTATTTTTTTAAGAAACATTTTTCCTCATTATTTGTGTGGAAAGAGACTGTTTTGAGATAAATTAAGGATTTATGTGACATGTTTGTTCACAGCTTCCAAAAGAAAGTATTACTGATACAAGAACAGGATATTCTGCTGCAGGTAATTCCTCCTGAATGCATTTCTTTATGAAGTCAAGCCGCAGCTTTTTAAAAACGTTCCCGATGGGCAGAAAAATGTCAGAAATGCAGCGAGTCTCGGTGCCAGCTGCTTATGTTGTGCCAGGATGATGAGCAGATGGGCAGCTTCCTGGACTCGTCTGAGACATTTTGTCTGTTTGAAACTCATGAAAAAGCAGATTTTATATCTGCAGATCTGGCTGAAGAGCACAAGTTCTGGCGTGTCCAGCCAGGGAGTGAATCAGTCGCTGGGAAGTGTGAATGAAATGGGAATTTTATGAGAATTCTGCACCGTGATGTTCTAGCTTTGAGCATTTTGGAGTTCAACAGAAAGTAGTTTTAACAAATGCTTTGCTCTGTGAGCATTCGAATATGCTGGTTTGGATCTGTCGTACTTGGCCTCGAGCTCGGTCTTCTCCCGGACGGCCTGCGCCATGGTCTCAGCCTCTTGGTACTTCTTCCTGCTCTTGCTCAGCTCCTTCACCGAGTCTTGCAGCTCCGCCTGGATCACCGTCAGCTGCTCGATGCACTGCGGGACCAAACACATTCATGCAAATGATTAATCCACCTGGAAAAGCATGCAAATGCTCTTTATCAAAGTGCACATAAAACAGCTTAATATGTGTGACATGCAGGAGACACGGAGGCATCACCCGAACGCAGACGGCAAACAAGAGCAGCTTTGTGAGGTGTGAGCAGTGAAATAGAGAGCGGCTCTTCTAATGTTTCTGAGCAAAAGGAACAGCCTTTCACGTTCTGTCACACTGCAACCAGGCCTGTTGCAATAAGCAATAAATCAATGAATCCCATGACAAATTAAAACAAGCTTAATGATTTCCATTTGCATAAATTAATATTTTTATATTTTCTCTCTGTTTATCGAAAAAAACTTAACTGTTCATCAGAATTTAAAGTTTGATATTTGAGAATGTGTTCTTGCATTATTATGCCATTACTATTATATTATTTCAAAATGATCTCAAACAACAATATTATCTTTTATCAAAGCAGTTTTTATCTGTTTACAGCCAAGTTACATCAATCAGTTTCTCTAGTTTTTGCAATTCTGCAATTGTGGAAGTTCTTGCAAAATCAGCAGATTTTGACATCGCAAAAGCGACTGAAAATACTGGAGGGACTGATTTCTATGTTGTACTGGTCATATTTTCAACTGTTTTAATATTTGTTGATACTCTCACCAGATACAAATATCAGTACAGTTTTAGTGGGTTTTAAACCTCATTAATTGGAATTTATTGTGGCAACGATAAGTAAAAATTCTTACTATAACTAGAAATTTATCATGATAAATGATAAACAATACAATACAAGCCCACTCTAATTGCAAAGTAAAGTTTATTTTAAATCATGTTAATATAAACAACTGAAAGTAATCTTGTTACTTAATTGTGGAAAATACATAACAAAGCCCTTTTAAGGCCATGGAGATGAAAGGTTTTCTCAAACATGCATGAAGTCATCAAAGCAACACTCCAGGTATGTTTTTGATAATTCCAAGATGACATGAAGCTCACAAAAGTCATTTGTATTATATTAGCTCCTCTTGAAGGTTGTATACATAAACCTTCAACTGGAAAAAAACACACTTGTTTGTATCTGCTTCTCAAAGCTGTGGGTCATGACAGATTATTTCACACAAACTACGCTGTATTTTAGTGACTCTAATTAACACCTCTTTAATCTTCTTTTTCCACTGCTTTTATTAGCCGCGGTTGCTCCCAAATGATCGCGTGCCTTTCAGTAAACTGCTGAAACCTCCCTCTTTAAACATCAGTGTAGCGCATCATGAAGCATAATGGGTAGAATTAGGCTAGTTCTGACATCTGGGACACAACCTTTAAAGACCGGGTCACAGTTTCAACCTCATCTCAGTTCTGCTCTGATGAAAGAAGCAGAACCCAGAAACAACTTTGTGATTTTGTGGGTGTGCTCTTCAGTAAGAAAATTGCTTTTTGTGGTTGGTTGAAAAGGGAACGATAACATATTTATCTTACTTCATCTTCCGTTATCAAATGTGACACACAGTGAGATCACCAAGTGTGAACGTCTTTAAACATCTCCACAGTTTAACTGAAAATTTAAAGTTTGTTTAAAGTTTACCTAAAATAAAAGTCTTAATAGATCCGGGATTGGAGCATTAAAAAACTTCAGTTATTACAGCTACAAACTCGTGATCAGGGCTGAAATCTCAAAGCTGAACTTTCAGAGTCACATAAAGGCAATTACAAAGTTAGCCTTTCATCACCTAAAGAACATTTTCAGGATTAAAGGATGACTGTTCCAGAAAGATTTAGAGAAACCCAGCCATGTGTTTGTCTTTAGTTTTAAAATCCTTCCACTGGCTCAATGCAGCTCACAAAATAGAGATTAAAATCATTTTGTTATTTCATAAATCACTGAACGGCTTAGCACCAAAAGAGCTGTCGTTGTATCAACCTTCCAGACCTCTCTGGACTTCTGCATCTGCATTCTCAGAACCAAGCATGGAGAAGAAGCATTCAGCTTCTACCCACCATAAATCTGGAACAAACTTCCTTAAAACGGCAAAACAGCCAAAACACTGAGTTCCTTTAGATCAAGGCTAAAAACTCAGCTGTTCAGAGCTGCTTTTGATTAATGACTGGAACATAGATCAATATATTTGATGTGTATTTGCTGAATCATTTTGATGACGACATTTGACAAAACGTCATGTTTATTGCATGTTTCATAATTGGTCACCGTATGACGCTTTTATGATATAAAGCTCTTAAAACTTTATGTCACTGTTGCTGAAACGTGTTCCAAATAAACTTGACTTGACCTAAAAAAGCCAGGAGTGAGTGAAACCGCTGCAGTCGTGTAATTAACCTGAATTACCTTCCTGAGCTGCTGCTCCTTCTGCAGCCGTGCCGTCTTGGCTGCGTCTGCGACCTGAAGCTTGTAGTTATCGCAGGCGCTGAGTCTGGACTGCGTGGCCTGGACGGTGCCCTCCAGGTACGCTCTCCACACACAGAACATGTTCCTGAAGAGAAAGAAGGACAAACATGTAGGAAACAATGACTCCTGGTTTTGAGCAACTGGTTTGTGTCATTTCTGTGCAGTCAGCGAAAAGCACACTGGGTAATTTTCTGTTTGTTTTTGTGTTGTTTTTTTAACCTTACATGCAAAATGTTCATATTTTCTGTGCAGAAACAAAATTTTGAGTTAATAAAGTTAATGAGTTATGATAAAGTTTCATAATAAAGTTATGAAGTCATTTAGATAAAATCTCAGAGAACAACCTCCAAGATATTCCTTCTTTCTGACACTTCAACACAAGATGTAAAATAAAATCATATTTCATTTATAGGAACAGGTTTTATTGGTCCTAAGTTGAAATATTGTGTTTTAAGGAACAATTTGAAGCAAAATATTTTAAATCTTAAGAAAATAAATGTAGAGTACTAAAATTCACAAACTTAAAATAAAGCTTCTATAACAGTAATAAATGTACTGATAAAGTCAAACGTCCTTGAGTGGCATATTACTTCTCATCAGGAAGAAAGGAATAGAAATGGCAATAAAAAAAAACACCTGCCCATAAATGTTTGCGCAATAAGTTCAGGTATGAAACTAAAAAACATAGAAGCACTTCTACCTTATGACAGACAGAAGCAAACAATCACAGAAAGCACAGTAAACTGAACCAACCGGTGATCTGCTGGTTTTTCTGCAACGATCTCCGGCCATTCCCTCTTCAGATACTGATTGGCCAACTTCTGTAGAGCCTGAAAGAAAGAAAGAAAGAAAGAAAGAAAGAAGAAAAAAAAAAAAAAAAACAAAGACGTTGACAATAAATGTAACCATATTAAAGTTAACCATCATTGTAACCGCTTCAAACCTAAGCTGAATTTTAGTGGTCAGCTCTAAAGTTGATAATCATAAAGTAGTTTTGTTTACTAGCAAAAATGTCTTAAGACAAAGAATAAGACAAATTTTATTGCGGTAGTTAATTGAAGCAGCTTTGGTGTGGAGCATTGTGACGCATAATGTTGGAATCTGTGGAGTCTCAGCTTTTGTTTAACCTGAATTACCTTCAGGTTAAACATCGGCACAGAGGTTATTTATTAGAATCATTCATTTTGGTCAATGCAATTCATGTTTGTGGAATTTAAAAACAGAAGCAGAGTTGTGATGGCTTTGTGGGGGCGGGCTTTCAGACAAACCGGGAGTTTTTAAAGAAGCATAGTCTTAATTTCAAGGTCTTAAATCAGGAAAAAAAAAGTCCTTTATGTCATATTTGATAAATTCAAAATATTTTTAACAACTGAAGGTAACATATTAATTTGATTATGCTATAAAATGGCACTATGTGCCTTGAAAATATACATCCTGCCCCTTCAAATTACTACAATTAGACTAGCTTAGGTTCCTTGCTTTTTCTTTAATAAAAAATACTAAGACTTATTCAAAATATATACAGCGGCTACCTGGACGTGTAAAGTGATATGAAAAATGCTCACAAATAAGAGCAGCAAAGGCATACAACACATTTTAAATACAACACTTGAGCATTTTGAATCAATTCCTTGTAGAATTTATTTTTTCTGCACCTCGAGTAAATACAACCAAACCAAATGTGCTAACCTAGCGCAAGCGGGAAAAATGGATTGAAATCCTCCAACTGCTAAAATCTGATGCCAACAAATATGTAAAAAAAATATTTTTTATAAAAGTTACATACCGCAGCTTTAAAAGAGTATAAATCTGCTCTTTCAAAATAGTTCACAATTTGTTTTGGGAAAGTGCCAGAGATTTCACCAAAAATAAATCTGTCCAGCAGTCTGAGGCTTCGCTGTTCAAACAGACAGAACTGACAAAAGCACAATGCGTTTGCTTCACTTCTGGCTCCAAATAGAAACAGGTTTTCTATTTAATTTTACTTTTTCTTCTTAATTTTACTTATTTTTTTTAAAGAAAACAACTATTTTAAGGCCCAACAAGCGCTCATCTGTCTCGCTTTACCTCTACAGGACAGGGCCGGTTTATGCGGTCCTGAAGCCGGCGAGGCAGCAGCCGTGAACTCACTGATCTGGGCAATCCGGCTGCCAAAGCTTCAAAGTTGCTACAGACGCCATCACTGTGGCCTCAGATAGAGGGACAATCACGGACTAAGCTGGACTAATGGACGCCCTGAATGGCAGAGGAAGAGCCACACAGAGGAGGGCTTCTTAACCGCAGCGTGTGATGTGAATAGCAATGGATGACAGCCGAAGCCGCCTGCAGGTGTAAGAGACAGATGAAAATAAGAGACGGGTCTGAAAGGAGGAGAGCTGCTAAAGAGAGCAAACTGTTCCAGAGACGGTGTGACCTACTTCAATTCAAACACTGAATAAACAATCAGACATAACCAACAGATTAGGCTAGTTAACACTAGAAAAACAGCCAGCTCCTCCCTGAAGGAGAACTAATTATCATTTTATTAATTGACAAATGGTGTATTTAGTGGCTCTGAAACTGTTCTGCCTAAATTTCTTTAAATGCTTGGCATATTTAGTTGAGTTCAATAAACTAAATAAAAGCTGATTTGATAAAAGCAGGCAACAAGAAGCTACATGAACCGAACAGAAGAACTGCCCTGTGAAAGGGAATATAAACTCAGTATTAATCACACACACAGCGCCATAACACAGCAGAACCACAGGCTCATCTCCTCCGTTCTACGCTGCATTGATGCAGTAATTCATGAAGCACCACCCACATACTGAGAGCAGATACTTTAAACTACTTTCATAAACTGTGCATCAGCCCCACATTTATACATTAAAAATATTTTTTTGGTCTTATGTATTTATATTTTATAATTAGCTTTAAGCCACATTCTCAAAAATCAATAAATTTTAAGTTCTAATGAACCTTTAACACTGGAACTGAAAGACATTTTAAATATCCAAAATAAACTTGAAAAAAATCCAACAGAAACAACAAATAAAATGAATTAAGTCTCTGGAAACAAAATTGTCCTTCAAAAAAAAAGAGCTTGTTGAGACCAAAGCACCAGACTGAAGACTTTTATCATCCAAAAATGATAAATCATGCAAATGGAAATTATTGGGCTCATGAGATTGCTAAGCAATGAGTCTTTATAATATTTAATAAATATGGTAATAAATACATGCTCTTGTGATGTTAAATTTAATTACACAGATGGACACAAAATAAAAGACAGAAAAAAAAATCAGCGTTAAGATGTGGGTTGTTTGGTTGAAAACTACAAACATGGCGCCACTCTTTACAGCTCTGGAACAGATTCCTCACTGGGCTGAAAACCAGAGTCAACTGCGACACAGAGGAATTTCCAAATATCCCAATCATGTCTTCAGGAAGAGGGGGGCAGAAAACATAGAACCATAAAAAAAAAAAAAAATCAACAAGACAGCAAGGAGGAAGTCAGATACCGGACCAGCAGTTGGAAGCTGGGATGTTTTTTATGAGGCTTGTCGACTTTCATGGCTTATCTGGCCACAAGTGAATCAAAACCGTGTTTTTAAATGCCACATCCTCGGCCCAGATGTCAGATGGTGTCTTTCGAGGGCGCAAACAAGTATTTATTTTTAGCGTCCCAAATGACAAGGCGCTCCGGCGGTGGCGCTAAGAAGCGTCGGCATTTTCATTTACCTGGGCGTAGTCCCGCTCCACCGCTGCCCTCTTCTGACTGAAGGTCCTGCAGAAACGAAAGAGAAACAGCAGTGATGATCCAGAACAATTAACTGTCAGACACCACATCAAACAGAGAGCTACTGCTGGTCATTTAAATGTGACTTTGCTGCCTTTAATTTATAGATTCTATGCAGCTTGGTGAAAAAAAAATGTATTTTTTTGCACTTGAGGTGCAACAAAACAAGTTTAACATCACATAATGTTCAGGTTATTGTTATAACCCAGTGGCTGCCTGAGATAATAAACCACAACAACTTGGAGCCATGGTGTAAACTCTTATCAGAAACTTTCAGTGCATAAAATGGACTTTAAAGTAAAGAATGTAAAAATACTCTGTGGGATAAAAGCAGATGTAGTTATGGTCTCAGAAGAGGGAGGAGCTTAGCCAGTGGTGTGTGTGAAGGGACAGTGAATGTTACTATAAATTTGATGTATTTGAGAGCATTCACTTAGTTACAACACAAACTATGAGAAATATTAATCAAACCCACAAAGTAATTAAAGTTAAATGAACAAGTAACTAAACTTAAGTTCATTAACTTTATGGTGCATTTCAAATTAATATTTACAATTACATATTATTTACATTTATTTAAATATAAAAACATCTACTTTTTAATATTAGTCATAAATATTTATTTTAAAAATATAAATAGCTTCAAGTTGTTATTCTTCTTAATCTAATATAAATTAATAGTTGAACTTAAGACCCAAATCCACTATTCAACAACACAACAATCAGTAAGATCATAAAAATCAATCAATCAACGTCACAACCCACCGCTTCAGTTCAGATGTTGCTGTTAATGGGTGTTAATGAGCGGGCAGAACTGGAGGCCCGGCTGGAGGAACATGGGGAACCTTGCAGTCCGATCTCATAAACAATACAGCCTGTGTCTTACCAGCTGCCTCTCCGCCCGTCTACAGACTCGTCCAGATCTGCACAAGTCGACCAGGATCTCTGATCAAAACAGTCCCCAAACTCCCATCCTCTTTGTTTGCTTGTGAGCGTATGTCTTTTTTTTTCTTCTTTTCTTTTTCTGATTTAACTTCACAACAGCACATGAAACCTTTCAAACAGTTTGCCTCAATCCAAACGTTTTGTTGGCTTCCTTGACTTCTTGAGTTTGTGAATAGACTTTAGTCCACATCGGCCCAGAATGCATTGCAGGGGTGAAAAGATGGAGACCTCCGCAGCCGTAATATATAACAAAGCTCTACAATTTTTGAACTATTTATGAGTTTTTACATATCACAAACAACTTTTAGATTAATTGGAAAATTACAACATATTCGGGCCAATATGTTCAGCTAATCTTGGGTCTGTTTAAGACTTTCATGGTTATTTACCTCTAACATGCAGACATCACATTCTGCTGTTGAATATTTGCAAAGTGATGAAGGTTTCATTTCCACTAAATGTAGATAACGGGTTGCTGTGTCATTTTGTCTGTTTCTATTGTAAAACAAAGCCTTACTCAGCTGTACTACATGCATATTGTGGGGTCAAAAATATTTACTCAACCGAAACCAAAATGCACATTTATTTGTGGTTTCTGGCCACAACTTAAAACAATCATGAAACAAAACCAAAACAGAGCTGTGAAAAGAGAGATCTCAAATATAATTCAATATTATATCAATATTTATCAGAAAATCTGATTTTTATGAGTGACTGTTTGCTTGCAAACGTTTCAAGAGCTGAAATTCTAACAGTTCTCCCGTTTTTGCATTTAGTTTGTAACAATGTTTTCCTACTTTAATTTCCTTTCACAACCACCACAATTTATGGTCAGATGGTTAATTGGTCAGACTGTAAAACATTTTCACTGAATCCTCTGCCTCAGAACGTGCTCATTCTGGTTTGTTTTTGTTCAATTAACACGTTCCAGCAGGTTTCAGGAGCATTAAAAACAGATCAGACGACGCTCTGAGAAACCTGGTGGCTTTAAAAGCTTTTCTGGTTTGTTTATAACGCAGATGTAATCGGGATAATGACAACTCGAGCCAGACTTGTGAAAACGTCTAAGAAAAGAAGCGAGGTCAGTGCCCTGGGAAAAACTCCTGCAGCAAAATCATCATTAAGTCATTAAACGTGTCAAGACTTGGCCGCCTGCTCCACCCTGACTCTAAACAATCTGCCGTACTTCCTGGGAGCTTCCGCCTCTTCCTCTCCGCCCCGTTTCCATCGCTCCCTCTCTCTCCCCTCCTCCATCGCTTCCTGCCATTTTCCCATGCAGAGCTTTTGCTGACAACCACGAGCAGCTTCCAATTTGCTGAATCACTTCAGTGGAAAGAGGAATGTTGTTTCTGATTGAGTGAAGCTACAGAACCTCCCGCGGCGAATGACTTGGGGAGGCGGGAACATCTGGCAGCTCTCTGTGACCTTAACTTCCAGCTGCTGAGAGGGCCGGAGCGCCAGCACCGACCACAGTCAGGAAGCGGGGAGCCAGAGATCAGCAGCTTAGCACAAAACATCACCGCAACCTTTTGGCTTTTTCAGCCTGGAAAGTGTTCCACGTGAAGGCAGCTGAAGCTTCCTGCGTGGGTTTACAGGTCCTGGCGTTATCCAGCCTGATCTGTTTGAGTTATACATTTCAGACACAAACAGTTGATCTCCACTGAGTTTTCACATTTTAATCACGTTAAAAAGTTGCAGATGAAACCCTGTTAGATACTTTAAAGTGGAAATGCAACAATCTGATATTAATATCTGTATTCATCCTGATACTGAATACAATTCTAGATCAGGCTGCCTCTCGTTCCCAATCCATGAGGACAGATCTATTCAGTCTAATTCTTCACTTTGTGCTCTGTGTATAACAAAAACATTATTTTCTTTATATTATTTTTAGGATTTCTAATTGCACTTCCTGAACCTTTAGAACGAAGGTTTGCTGCAGTTTGTTTTTGTCAGATTTTTTTTTATTTTTCATTGGCTAACTGCACTGACTGAACAGATTCAAGTTGTGTTTTTTACATGCTTCACCAAACTTGTGAAGACACAGGCGCATTTAGGAGAGCTGTACTGGCACAGACATATCAAAGAAACTTGTTTAGGGAATCTATGTCTATTTAGGAAACAAAAAAAAACATTTTAAGTCAATTCAGGGCTGTTCTTCTGTATTGGATTGTATCAGCCAATACTAAACCTAATATATCAGTGAAAAAAGTGGATGGATGGATCCCTGGTTTTCACATTAAAAGTTTGAAACCCTATTAGATACTTTAAAGATCTGGTGATTTATTTAGACCTTGAAGTTTGGATCAATTTTACACATAGTTTGTAAAAGTGGAAAAAGAAGAAAAAGAAAAACTACCTCAGACTACATAGTGCTGTAGAAAAGTCTTGGTTTCTTGCAGATTTACTCATTTTGTTGTTTTCTTCCACTTAAATGCTTCAGATGCTCAAACAAATGTGCATTAAAGACAAAGTTAAACGAATTGTAATTCATGATCCAAACCCTAGTGTGAACCGGCGTGCTTACCTCAGGTCTTCCAGCAGGTCACATTCTGTCTGGTGTTTTATCTGTAACTGGCTCATCTGCTCGGCTTGAGTGTGCTTCAGCTCCTGGGTGAGCCTTACCTGGCAGGGAAACCAAACCAAACCAAACCAGCTGTGATATGAAATGGCTAACAAACCTCCTGAAGGCAGGTTTCCATGACACTCCAGATGCCAAAACGGTAAAAACGCCTCAATTTCACAGCAAACTGAATTCAGGCGGACTGAATCAAACGAGAGGCAGCCGTAAAGTTAAGTTCAAACTTCTTCATGCAACCAACAGAGACTTGTATCTAAAACAGATGACTCAATGTCAAGGACTTTATTAACATTTCATCAAAAATGTTAAATGTATTACCTTCCACTTAACTCCATTAACTTTAACCTGCAACATTTTAAAGACATTAAAATGTCTTATCAACAGACAGACACGTCTTACCTCAACTGAATGATTTTATCACACATTAAGAACTGTTTCACAACATGATTGTTTGAAATAAAAACCAATAAATAGAGTTAGAAAAAATGTTAATAAAGCACTTAATAGGACGCCACAGTTATATGTACCTAATAGTTCAGTTTAAAGCTTGGCTGGTTAATAATCAGACAATTATAAATACAGAGCAGCATTCAGCACTGAAATGTTATTTAACACAGCTAGTCCAGAAGCAAACAGAAGAACCACATGGCAGTGACACAACACTCAGAGCTGCTTCAGATGAAAACAAACCTCAAATATTTCAAGAGAAACATTTTCTCTCTTCTACAGCTGCAAGATGAAACTGACAAGAAATTTCTCTTGTGTTGAAAAGTGGATGAAGGCATTAAAACAAGAAGTTTTAACTGGAGTCAGACAGACTGCAGCCTGTTGGCTGGTTGATGGTATTTCACATTAAAGGGACTTGGGTCCACATATTTGCTGTAAAGGGGCTCTAAGGATTTATGAGTGAAAATGACCAAAACAGAGAAAACTGTGATAAACTGAGTTACAGGTTGTTTCATAAAGGAAGCTTTAAATCACAACATGAGGAAATGGCATAATCATACTCATTTATAGATCATATACTCCCCTGAACTTTTCATAAGATCTCAAACTGAAAGAAACATATTAAAATAGATGAAGTGGCTTAACGTTTTGAAAAACTGAAAATATCTGGGGTTCTGAGTTTTGATGCATTTAATACACAGTGGGGGTGAGGATGATTGAAAATCACACCATGACTCCTGCATGCAGTTACTTCTACTGGATCGGAGCAGAAGCTTGAGCTAGTGAATATCACCAGCAAAAACAATAATCTGAGGTATTTCAATAACCATCATGAACATTGTTGGACAGTTTAAAGTAGGGATTTAAAATATATCTGCATGAACATTGTTATCAGACAATGTTCGTATTAGTGTTTGTGTTTTTCTATATTATTTAAAGATTATTAGTTTTGGTCCAATAAGTGAAACTGGACTGATATTAACAACCAATTCTTTCTAAATTTCTTTTGCCATTTGTGTTTATCATTTATCAAACGTGTTTCCATTTCCCCTTTTTCAGAAAAGCCAGAAACCAGCTCAAACAAAAACTTTTTTTTTTTTTTTTTGCAAAATTGAGTGTTTTTGTCAAAAGTAGCATCATCTATCAACCTCTTCTAGTGTGATACTTCAAAAGAAAAAAGCAATGTGAGCAATGTGATCGCTTTATTTTTTTTTTGCTTTGGAAAGTTTAGGGAAATATATAATATTGATAAATATTGGATATTCGACATTATGGCAGTGTTAATATCAGCCCAAATTGACATATCGGTGCATCCGAGTTAATTTAACATTGATACAAATCTGGTGGTTAATAATTCAACAATTACACAAAGTAATAAAGTGAAGCAGTGCTAACTGTCATTGCTGATCAGGAAATAGTGTGTCTGTCTGACTGGAAGTGACACAGATATTACACAGAGCTCAGACCAGGTGTGATTTGAAGTGTAATCAACAGCTGCTCTGAAGTTAAATATTCACTGTGACATCTTTGCAGCAACTGCTGAGGAAAAAAAAAATCAGATAGAATATACTTTGATTACACATAAAAGGTGCATAAACAATCGACTCTTTTCCCCTGGATGGCTCAAATCATGATGTTAAATGCTGAAAATTCCGATTTATATCCCCCGCTTTTCTTCCAAATTTGATTTTTTTTTTTTTTTTTTTTTTTTTTTTTGATTTTTCAGCCTTTCAAATCAGAAAAAAAAAGCATTTATCTGCATGGAATTTTATTTTAAGATCTTTAGCAAATACAAACAATTAGGCAAATGCTTCCCATACAAAGCTGCACGCTGACTATTACTGCAGCTGCACAACTATAACCAGGTACACTCTGTCAATATGTCTGCTTGAGAAATTTTTAACAACTGTTTGGTCATCAGGCATTAAACCACATGTCCAAGTACAAAAACACTGTCGGGATTGCTTTAAATAAGTGTAGATTTACGAGCCTTCAGTGAACTGGAACATATTTACTGAGAGGACTGGGACGAAAATGGTCTGAGCTGTTATTGAAACATGATACTGTGTCCACATACTTCCACAGAGCCTGATGTCTGCAGGGATTTGTGTTTTTAAGGCTTATCTTAATGATAAATCATGCACTGCGATGCTTCCTGCAGGGTATGTTACACTTGAAATCATTTACAACCCCAACATACTTTTGGAAACAGCAGAAACATCCCAAAAAGTTTATAAATTGACTAGACTACAGGTTATAAACGTGCCAAACATCACAGTTAAAAGTAACAGAGCATCTCAGTTATTATAAGTCAGAAATAGTTTCTAGTTCGGATTCAGCTTGAGGGAAACAGTTGAAGAACAGTTTCTCAGTTTCAGAGGAACGAAGCACGTTTGATAAGCGCTAAAAAAAAAAAAAAAGAAAAACAAGGGAAAACTTGCAGCGCATCAAGTGTTTTTAATAAGTTTTCTTCCTTTTAACTCCCTGAAACTAACGACTGCAGTGATTTCGGTAAGGAAACCAACAGTTTATGTGTTTTATGATGTTCAAAAGTGGAAGTCCATCGTGTGAACCAGGCTAGTAGCAACAAAGCGTACATTTCCAACCATTAAATATGCACCACTACGTCGAAGCAACGCTAGCTTAGGAGGCTACAGCCGCGGAAAAAAGGAGAGAAAAAAACCAGAACGAAATCTCACCTTTCTCGGTGGGGGTTGCATCCTTGGTTCTGGACATAAAACTGATCCAACAAGTCCAAAAGTTTATCCAGAAAAGTTCGTACGAATGGTTTTCGGGGCAAGATGGAAGCAGACGGATGGAGTTTCAGCCCGGGTCAAGCAACCATAGCGGGTCCAGTGAGCAGCGAAGTTGAGTCCCGTTGAAAACACTGTGGCCCCGGGGAACAGAAAACAGCGCGTCCATCCACCGCACAGCTCACTATTCACTTCCGGTTGACGCCACAAAATAAAGGCCAGGGTCCGCTGTATTATAAAACTTTACTTCCGCAAGGATTTTTCAGAGTAAAGTTAGGTTTGGATGAACGACGGTGCCGTAGGATCAGTCTCACAGAGACCTACTTCGGGTTCTTATTTTACTGTAAACCTGTTGTATTTTACTGCCAAGGAATTTTACATTTTACGGAATTTTAGAAAAATAAATAAGGGCTGCTGCGCATATTATATTATTGAACATTATAGGCATATTGCATTGTCAAATAGTTAATATAAAAAATGTAATTGCTGACTAGACTTTGAGTGCTATCACTGGTATTTGGACAAGTTTATAGAAATTGTATTTATTTATTTATTTGTTACCCCAATTGTTTATTGCATTATTTTTTACTCCAAATATTTTTATTTTAAAAATGCCACTGGTTTTCAAGTTTTTTACAACTTGAATTTAGAATAGAATATAATAGATTAGAAAGCTACCTATTGCTTTATTTACCTGTTAACAATAATTAAATAATAAATTAAACAATAAATAATATTTTCCTGTAATCCACTGTAAAATATTAAATAGTAAATGGTTTGTGCTTGTTTGTCGCTTTATCAAACACACAGGAACCCAAAGCGCTTTACGCTTCATTTAAATGCCTTCAAATCTAAAGTAATGCAAAAATATCGAAAAGAACACACAATTAGTGGTCGGGTTCTCTTTACTATTGGTTCATTTAAGTGACGTAAAAGCCACTGCCTCCCATCTCAGTAAACTCAAGTTACCATTTACATATCTGTCATTTCCTGTCAAAATTTCAAAATAAAATCCATCTTCGCTCTATTTTTTTTCCATCACAAATGTAAAAGACAAAAAACAATCTCATTCAGTTAGCCACCAAGTAGCCAACAACCTATAAATTATGCATGCATATTGCAATATATATTTATTTATTGTTGCGGCCAAATTTTATATAATTTTATACATTAAGCAAAATTATGACAGTTTGGGGAATCAAGTAACTGTGAACAAAACTCTGAAGACATAAAATAAATGCCACAGATAGTTTTTATAAATACTTATAAGATGCAATTAACAGCGTACACTGCCTAATGTCTTTTATACTCTTGGAAACTAGTTTGCGGAGTTTAACGTGTCTGTCTCGTTTCTCTAAAGCTTACGTCTTTACTTTCATTTTGAAGGGCAGACATGCGGAAGCGGATGTGAATCTTTCCAGCTTAACTTTCTCTTGACCTCGCTGTCAGATAGTAGACTTCGCGCATTTCCAGTCGTTTTAGATTGAATATGAGGTTTCGCTCGCCTTCACCTCGGTCTCCCCTCAGCTCCTGTTAGACATGAACCACTAACTGAGCTCAGAACCAGGATGTACGCGTTCAGGCGGCTGCACGGAATCGTGCAGACTCTCCGTGGATCCTTAACCCGTGGGTCGCTCAGCTGCACTGCCGTGACACAAAGACATCCAGGCCGATGTGGAGGTCTGACTTGCTGCCAGAAGCTGAGCACCGGTGGATCCTCATGGAACGACTTCATTAAAGGTGGGAGGCCTGAAGGACCTGCAACAGAAGCGGCAGTTACACAGGAGTGAGCCGAATCCCATCAACATAAAGTCAAGTTTTAAATGACCTCAGTATGTGAAGCTCCTCGCAGAGTTGATGTCACAAGTAGACTTTTTTTTTAATATTTTAAACCTCGCAAATTATTCGTCGTATATGGTATAGGCACAGTAAATACATTAAGAATTGTTTTCCTGGTATCCTTTAAAGCTCCATGGAAAGGTACTGATTTTCGATTTTTTTAAATTCATTGATTTATCCAGCCAAATTGGAGACAAGTTAGTCTCCAATTTGCATTCTTTTTAATATGTTTTTAATCAGTGATCAAGGTTGACAAAACTAGACAAGTTGACAGCAAAGGTTCTGTTTCTAAATAATGATTTACATAAGAAGAAAAGGGGAAAATAAAGCAAAGATCAACTTTTTTAAAAGTCAATGTTGAATTTGTATATTTGCATTTCCTGCTATTTGTGGAGTTTAGGAGGTTTTTTTTCTTTTTAACCCAAAACAGTTGTTCAAACAAACCAGAGAAACACTGGTCGGTAACAAGATAGAAGATTTGTGAAAAACACTCAAAGACCTTCAGAAATATCTATGTTTAAATATTTACATAAAGTCCGTGGAGCTGGGTTTTGCAGGTTGCTGTGAAATTTCCCACTTTCTGTTCAGACCTGGAAGCCCAGTTGGCAGAGATAAAGAAGAACGCGGCAGACAGTCTGCCGGGCAGCAACTGGATGCCCTTCGAGATCAACCCCAACCTCCCTCCTGAGACGGCGGACATCGTGATCGTTGGCGGCGGCGTGGTGGGCTGGTCCATCGCCTACTGGCTGAAGCAGAAAGACAAGTTCTCCAAACAGATGCGAGTCGTCGTTGTAGAGAGGGACCAGACAGTAAGGACTCCGTTTCTGGGGGGATTTCAGAACATCTTTAAGATAAGATAAAATCAAAGAGGTCGTCTGCTCTGAAAAGGAGGGGGAAATCAGTCGTTGAGCTTTGACACAGAAAACAAATGAATATAAAACCACTTTTTAACCCTCTGGACTGTGTCCAGTATTCCCAGGCCTCCACGGTTCTGTCTGTGGGAGGAATCCGCCAGCAGTTCTCCCTGCTGGAGAACATCCACCTCTCCCTGGAGTCTGCAGACTTCATGAGGAACATCAACGTAGGTCAAAGTTCAGAAGCATTTCAGTCACCCAGTGATTGCTGCAGAAGGACATTTTGTGGAAATATTTTGGGAGTGGCAATGTATAAAGAGGAAAGTAGTTAGAAAAGTTGTGCATAAGCAGGCGAGAGCTTCAAGTAAAAGTAGCGGCTGCTTGTCCTTTGTTCTATTTTAAGTCTGGATCGAATCATCTCCTCTGTTCCCATCAGGAGCATCTCGGCGTTCTGAATGAAGATCCCGTGGATCTGCAGTTCAACCATTCGGGTTACCTGTTCTTAGCCAGCGAGGAGGTGGCTCACATCATGGAGCAGAACTACAACACCCAGAGGTCCCTGCCTGACAGCGAGATGCGCTCTGGATTTGGGATGGTTGGTTTGCCTTGCTAATCATCTCCACGTGTGATTCCAGGTGTGCAGGAGCTAAAGTTTCCCTCTTCTCTCCGCAACAAGTGAAGGAGAAATTTCCGTGGATAAACACAGAGGGCGTGGCACTGGCTTCATACGGTAGCAGAACATGATTTATTGCATCTAATTTAGCAATCTGAATAAAGAATAAAGAGCACCAGAGCCTGAGCTAATTTATGACACAATGTTTAGTTTGTACGATTTAATCAACCTCAGTTTGCCGTGGTGCTTTGTGTTTGTGGTCGAGTCGCTAGAGGCCAATCAAACAAACAACTTCATCACTTAAAGCTAAACTGGAAAGGAAAACAAACAATAATCTAACATAATAGAAGTGACCTGCTCAAGGTCTCACCTCAAGAAGATTATGAATCCTTTCTTCTATGGAGTGGTGGAAAAGTTGGCAGATGAGGACAGGCTAGAGTCCCTGTGGATCATGATGTTTGCAGATGACATTGTGATCTCCAATGACAGTAGTATAAAAGCACCAAAACTGGACAAGTGGATGTACCAAGCATCCAAAGCAACCCGAATCCTAACAGATCTTGTGAGCTGCTCTGAAATCTTTGACTTAGACAGACTTCGCTGAGGCCATGAAGCTGCCTTATTTACTTTACTGCCCGCAACGTTTGCATCGTGCTGTCACTAAATGCAGTTTGTAACATTTCTCACACAAGTGAGTTTCCCCATTTTGGAGGCGTTACTGATGCATAAATTTGAAGAATAGAGATAATTGGGGAGGTGTTAACATGCTTAACTGCTCATTTTCTGCCAAATTCAAATTCTTTTCCTAATTGTAGCAACAGTGTTTTTAATGCAAGGATGTTTATGTTTTTGAAACTAATTTAACCTATTGATCCTGCAAAATGAATCATCCAACCTGACTGAGGCTGATTTATTTTTGTAAAGCATGAGTTTCGTCTCCAAACATGCAAAGCTGGTCAAGACAAACCCCAGAAAGACTCACAGCTTTAACTGTGGTTCCACAAAGTACATTGCTAAGCCAATTGTGTAACAATCCTTTAAATGCTAGTTAGTGGGGGTTTTTTTGTTTGTTTTTTTAAATGTCACCCAGAATTATTTATTAGTTTGGGATAATTGCAAGTTTTTGGATTACTAACTGGAAACAGGCTAACTTTGATCCTTTGGCTGTTGATGAAACCATATTTAACTTGGTTCTGCAGCTGGTTTAGCTTGACTCTGGTGGTTTGGTGCTATGCAGGGCTGGAGAACGAGGGCTGGTTCGACCCGTGGACTCTCCTGAACGCCTTCAGGAGGAAGGCCATGTCCATGGGGGCCATTCAGTGCTTTGGGGAAGTCGTAGGTGAATCATACCTTCAGATGCTGGTCACATTTCTGGTTAATTTGTGTAAACGCCTCCTTTTGTCCCACCAATGTACCCTGTAGTATTAACATGACAACAAGCTGGCGTATTCCTTTGGATTAATACAAACATAACCTAAAACCTGAAATGAGAACATGTCACATGTAATATGTTAAATCTTTCATTGTCTGTTTCTCATCCACAGATTTTAAACACGTGAAACAAGTTATGATGACAAAAACTGGGGAACAAATAGAAAGGACGACAATAAAATCTGTCAAAGTAAGTGGAACATCCAGAACTTTCTGAGTTAGTGATAGGAAACAGTAAGAGGTTCTTTGTAATTTGGTTCAAAAGACTCACTGAAGACTCTTCATTGACCCTCAGATCACACTGAGGGTCAATGATTCAAGGGTGTGAAAACATCCTTACAGAAAAGTCAAGTGGAAGAAAAAAAAGTGTGGTAGAAAACCTTCCACAAGCCTTACATTTTAATTAGGAATAAGAATCCTAGAGAGAAGTTCAGACTTCATGTTGCTTGAAGTCCAAAGTGAATACTCTGATGCTCTGAAAGCAACCTGGACTTCCTGAACACTTCCTGAACAACCTGGACTTCCTGAACCACGGCATGCTCTCCATGCCACGCCGCATGGAGCCAGTAATTCATGTAAACTTTTCATCATTTCTCTGTCAGAGGGATACAAAACTTTACCAAGTTCAAAATGTTAGTACACTTTGATGTAGACAACTGACTTGCAAGTAACTTTTCAGCAAGATAAGAAAAAAGTTCTTGTAAGTTAGTTTTGTCTTATTTCTGTTAGCACTAGAAACTGGGCCACAAAACCCTGGTAAGATTCTGTTCAGCCGTGTAGATTCCTGTGCAGTTTCTCCTGACCTCTTGCTGTTGTTAAGGTTAATGAACACAACAGTGCAGGTCATGACATCAGTCGGTTCGCGTCTCGCAGGTGCAGATGCCAAACAGCCTGGAGTACCAGCCGGTGGACTGTGGCGTTGTTGTGAACGCAGCCGGAGCGTTTTCTAGGAAACTAGCAGAGATGGTGGGAGTCGGCATCGGCTCCCTCGCTGGATTTTCAGTCCCTGTGGAACCTCGGAAGAGGTCAGTCTCCAACCTCAGCCGCTTTTTCAGGGTTTCCTTTTTGTTTCTAAAGAAGTATTTAGTTATGTCTTAGAATGTAAAGAGGGAAGGTGTTTTTGTTGTTTTCCAGGTATGTGTATGTGGTTCACTGTCCTAATGGCCCAGGCCTCGACTCTCCCCTCTTAATCGACTATTCCGGAGTTTATTTCCGAAGGGAAGGTTTGGGAGGAAACTACATCTGTGGAATGTCGCCTGAGGAGGTCGGCTTCATCTCTGAGCAGCGTCTTTTTGTCTGAATTATAACTGAAAGGTTACCTCATTGTTTCCCTCTCAGGCGGAGGAGCCGGACACCAGTAATCTGGAGGTGGACCATCAGTTTTTTCAAGACAAGGTTTGGCCCAAATTGGCCAATCGAGTTCCAGCTTTTGAGGAACTAAAGGTACCCCAAGGCTCAATTTTAGGTCCCATACTTTTGTTTTGCATGTTTAAATGTATTTTTGATCTTAAATTCTGAAAAGCAAGTCATTTTTTGTCACTTTAAAAAAAATTGCCTCTGGTTTTAATTTCAATTTCACAAAATGTGATAAAAACTTTACACAAAACACATTTTGGCTGGAGTTTGATAGTTTCCCCCAGAGTCCGATGCATAGATATGAACACACACCTAAAAAACAAAATAAATCCCTGAAGTCTATCGACCACAAGTCCAAAACATGAAATAAAAACAGTTTTCCTGGACTTTTTAACATTATAGCAGCATCTCATGGTCCAACTTGTTGCCCTTTATTCCTGCCAGGTGACCAGCGCCTGGGCCGGTTTCTACGACTACAACACGTTCGACCAGAACGGCATCATCGGCATTCACCCTCAGATCAGCAACATGTACTTCGCCACCGGCTTCAGCGGCCACGGCCTGCAGCATTCGCCGGCGGTGGGCCGTGCCGTGGCAGAGCTCATCCTGGACGGAGAGTTCAAAACGCTGGACCTGAGCGGATTGAGCTTTCAACGCATTCTGATGCAGGAGCCCAAGCTGGAGCGGAACATCGTGTAGAAAAGGCTCAAATTAGGAAAAGTCAAGTCTTATTTTTTTAAATTCAGTATCCTGTAAGGAAGACGCTGCAGCGTTGGAAACATGGAACACATGTTTTTTTGTCATTTATATGCCTTTTTCTTAATTTTTTCAGTGCATGTGAATCACAATTGACAAACCAACAAACATTGCAGGCAAATCTGTGAAAGTGAAAGCAGCAGAAAGCAGCTGCACCACAACACCGAGAAGAAACATCAGCAACAATCACTTCAGCAACACAAGTGTTGCCCCCGTCACAGAGTTGTAAGGACATTTCCAAACTGTAGAAATCCATCGTTCTACACAGATAAATATTTCAGTTTTCTTTAAATTATGCCAAAGTATAATGCTCAAAAGAATCCTGATGGTTTATATGTTAAGATGTTGAAGTTAATTACAGGACAGTTAGAAAAGGTCTCCATAAAATGTTACTTTATTAATATTGTGAGGATTTATGGTGTAATGTTTTGCACCTACAATGCTTTTCAGAAAGTGTGCACCAGATGGCGCTATTTAGCCATTTAATCACTTTAAGCGTTGGTCCTCCCTAACATTGCATTTATTTTACAGTTCATTTTAAGACTCTTGAAGACCAAGGAGACAGGAACGTCTGGCTGTACAGGTTCCCCATGATTTGTTTTACTAAATTCAAATGTTGTATCTTGATGTCCAAAAATGGAAAAGATCTCATTTTTATCTTCTTCTACTGCTGCCGAGCCCAGGACACATTTGTAAATTATATTTTTAATCTTGATAAGTTTATTAAGTTCCTGGTGAAGTAAAAGCTACTGAAAAAAAAAAACCTATGTATGTTTTGACACTTACTGAAATCCTGTGAGTTTATTAGACAACTCAACGCAACAGAGAGACGGGTTGCAGTGCAGTCAAAACTACGACAGTATTACAGCCATTGTTGTTAAAAGAAAAGGACGAGTAAATTTACACAAAAAAAATTATTGCTTTAAACAGTGAGAGAACTGGAAGAATGATGTGCATGAGACAAAATGAAGCGTATAAAGAAACCAGGGATATTATTGTGGTCTTTAAGAGACGTTGGTAGGTAGACAGCGAGAACCTTCAAGTGCCTTTGCCCAACATTTTGACTTTTACCTCAAGAGGCCAAACAGAGGCTTCATCTCCTCTGGAAGCTAAAGCTAGCTCTCTTCTTTTACCACCTGGTCATAAACTTTCATCTAGAAAAGAGAGCCTCCTGACTTGCAGCAGGTGGTGAGGGATTATTACCAACACCAATACCAAAGCATCCCCTCAAAGACATTTACACTCACCGACTACAAAAGAAGGTATTTTTAAGGGCTGCACCCACCCTGGGTATCATCTGTTCTTCTTGTTACCGTCTGAAAGGAGATACAGACTCATCTGCTACATCAGACAGAAGAGAAAAACTACGGTCTGCCCTCCAGCTGTCAGAGAGGTAACAAACACCCAAAAGACGTGACCAAGAGTGAAATAACGTCTATAATTAAAAGCACAGTGCAGAATAAGAAATAAAAGGTGTCCTTTTATTTGTGTTAAATCCAAAGTCACTGAAAGATTCTGTTTGTTTGCCTTGGTTGTGGTTTTTTGTTGTGACTTGCCACAAAAGCCATCAGGCTGCGCTTCCTCCCCAACTTAGCTTCCTGTATCACAATGCTTTTCACCAGCAAAAGAGTGAGGCATGCTGTTAAAACCACTGAAACACTCTCCTGTATCTCTGAGGTATGAAAACTGGCCTGCTAACAGGTTAGAACAAAGAAAAGTTTCAGACGGTGAAGGCCACCCACGTGTTGAACCTGCTGTGGGTGTTTAATAGATCACATATAAAGGTTAAAAAAAAAAAAAAAATCCCCACTGTGAATTAAGATGTTTAACAAAGAAAAAGTAAAAATTTCTCTTCTTCTTGATTGACTGTTGGCACCAATAACAGAGTATTAGGAAAACAAGAAAATTGTGAGAATAAAGTCACATTATGATGAAAATAAAGTAATAAGAATCAAGTTGTAATTTCACAAGAATAAAGACAAAATTATGATAGTGTTCTGGCTTTATTTTCATAATATTATGGTTTTATTCCCACATTATTTTGGCTTTATTCTGATCATTTTATGACTTTATGTTAAATGAGAAAGGACGTCCAAATAACAGCAGTGGTTAAGATTGTTGGCAGCAGTGATGGTTGTAGAGTACAAGAGCTGCAGAGAGGAAGGATCTGCGATAATGCAACTTTGTGCTTTAAGGACATAGCAGTCTGATCATTTAAAATGTGCATTCTTCCAAAAAAAAAAAAACCCAAAAAACAAAATATAACCAAATAGTATTCCTTTTGCATTAATGTGGAAAAAAAAAACAAACTAATTTCTTGTGCATAATATGCACCTGCTGAACAGATCTCACTTCTGTTTAGTTAAAAACATTTATTTTTAAATGGTAACTAGTTGCATCATCTCCTGTTGCTTTATTTGCACCACTGGAAGTATATTTTACAGATCTAAGACATTTCCCTGAAGAACAGAAGATAGAAACACGGTTCTCCGATGTAAGAACTGCAGCATGCAGAACAGGCATAGTGTGGTCTCTGTGTCTCTGCAGCTTCATTTTGATGTAAATGTGGGGCAACCTTGCAGGTTCGAACTGGGGGAGGGGGCGAATGAAATGCAACTGGAGGAATCTTTTGTGTGGCCTCCTGTAAATCCCAAATGTTCTCAAGAACTGAAAACAAAAACAGCGTGAGTGCTTGGGCCGGCCAATTTCGGTCGCCTCAAGTGACGTACCAACTGTTCCAACAAAGAAAACCCCACTGAAGGCATTCAGCGAACTGTTTTCCAGAATATTCGTCCCTCCCTGTCCTGGCCAGGCATTTACAGTGTCAAAACCATGAAGGGAGTTGCCCACCGGGAGTCCTGCAGCTGTACAAGGTCGCCGTACATGGTGGCATGTGGCTGGGATTAGGAAATTTCACTGTGGATTAAAATCTTTCCAACGCCTCCATGGCCACCAGCTAAAAGGGAAAGAGTCCAAAGCTCCAGCGCAGATCCAAGGAGAAAGCCGGGCCCAAAGTTTCACTGAGCAGGTATGTCCAAACTTTACTGAAACTCACAGCGAACTGCTGCTGGACCAATAATGCAAGACAAGGTTTGTTGACCTGCTAATTGGTCAATTATCTTTTAATAATGACAGGAGTTTAGTAGAATAAGCAGGTGTACTTAACATTTATGGTATGCGCATGCTTCAGAAATTATTGAGAAGAACAATATAGGGTTTTAGTAACAGGAAATAAAACAATATGTAACGAGAAATGTCTCCAGTTTGACAATTACAACAAAACCATGGTGATATTACAGGTCATAGAAAATTATAAAGTAACTTTTCAGATGACAGATATATATTTTTATAGCATGCCAGGTTCGCGCATGATCTTGAGCCTTTAACTGGACCATTTGGTTTGAAATAGTACCAACCCACTGCTCTGTTCAATAACTGAACTTATATGTAACACAATGACCCTGATACACTCTTACAATGATGAAAAAAATGTGCATGTTCATTACTGAGGTCAGAGGTCTGGCTTTACTACTTTATCCAAAAGTATGAAACAATTCAGATATATTCATTTCAATTTGCGATCAATTTCTAAATTTTGAATTTAAATATAGCTTTTTCCTTGATCAAAAAAATTAGAAATATATGGCCGATAGCTGACATTACACTTCCCCAACATCAAGAAGATGGAAATAAACATATTTTTTTAATACTAGTCCAGCATTACTTATGGGACCCTAACATTTATTAACAAGCATTTCTGTAAATGTAATTGTCCAATGGTCTTTGGGGATCTCAGAAATGGGGAAAAATGGTGGCAAAACTGTTTCCCACTTACAAGCTGGAAAAACTGTGAAAATGATCAATAACTTTTCTCATTGACCAGGCTAACTGCTACCAGCAACAGAAGCCAATAATTTGTATATGATTTAGAGGTTAAAACCGGTGAAAAACTTCAGACTTTCCAAATTTTAATTCCAATTTCTGAAGGTTTTCCAGTTGATTTTCTGACTTGGAATGTGAAAATGCCAAACTCTAGAGATATAGTAATTTATATTCAAATTTTAGTACATAAATGATTATTTGAAAACACTGAAACACATCAAACAATGTTTTTCTATTTAGGTTTGGCAACCTAATATGCAAAATTGTGATTGCAAAGTTTAAATAAGAGTTCTATTTGCTACTTTTCAGAAAAATGTTTGCTTTGTTCAAGCTACACTGAAGAAGCAAGTTCATTTGAGTTCCTTTAAATCAAGACTAAACCTGTTCAGTTTCTTTGGAACCATAATAAATAGAACATTGATCAACATATTTGATGTGTATTGATGATTTTAACAATGGCACTTTACAAAAAGTAACTTCTGCTAATGTTTTACCCACTTGTTGACACTAGGATGAATTTATGATGTTTTTGTCTAAATGATGTAAAGCACTTTGAACTGCCTTGTTGCTATAAATATAAACTTGATAGATTGTCTAATTGATGTGGAGTGAATACAAATAATTATTCTTTCTACGTCTGATATTACAAGATTTGTTTTGATATTACATAGATATCATTTGATTGCTAATCCATCATTTGTTTCTGCAGCTCCAGGATGTTCCAGCTGCTTCCGGGTCACACCCAGCCGTCTGGACACCAAACCCGAAAAAGCCGTTTGGTCACCAAAGACGGACACTGCAACATCGAGTTTGGAAACATTGAGTACAGTAACCACTTTGCCTTCGTGGTGGACTTCTGGACCACCTTTGTGGAAATCCGCTGGCGCTTCGTCCTTGTCCTGTTTGTGGCTGCCTTCACTGGCAGCTGGTTCATGTTCAGCCTCTTGTGGTACTGGATCGCAAAGAGCAACGGGGACCTGACGGCACAGAACCAAACAGAGCAGCACGTCCGTTGCATAGACAATGTTAACGGCCTCACAACGGCGTTCCTGTACTCACTAGAAACACAAACCACTATTGGTTATGGTGGCAGGGCGCTGACTGGGCACTGTGCTGGCACGGTGGCTCTGATTATCATCCAGTCTCTAGTTGGCGTCTTCATCAACTGCTTTATGTGTGGCATCATCCTGGCCAAGATCTCCTTACCCAAAAAAAGGGCAAAGACTGTCACCTTCAGTAACACAGCGGTCATCTGTCTGAAGAAAGGAAGTCTTTGTCTCCTCATCAGAGTGGCCAACCTTAGAAAGACCTTACTGATTGGAAGCCAGATTTATGGGAAGCTGCTGAGGACGACCACCACTCCAGATGGAGAGACCATCATCCTGGATCAGGTGGACGTTGACTTCATGGTTGATGCTGGCAAGGATAACTTATTCTTTGTTTGTCCGCTGACACTCTTCCACGTCATTAACAGATCAAGTCCATTCTACGAGCTGTCCGCTGACAGTCTCCCCCTACAGGACTTTGAGTTGGTGGTGTTTTTAGACGGGACGGCTGAGTCTACCAGCTCATCATGCCAGGTACGAACCTCGTACGTCCCACAGGAGATCCAGTGGGGCTACAGCTTCCTCCCCATCATCTCCCGCACTAAAACAGGAAAGTATCGAGTGGATTTCTCAAACTTTTCCAAAAGTGTCCGAGTTACCACGCCGCACTGTGTCCACTGCTTTGAGACGAACGTAGACCAGAGGACGCCCAACAAGGAGAACCACATCAACCAGCTGAAGCTGGGCATCGACAACCTGGGCTTCCAGGTGATCGACATTCCTGACCCGGTGGATGTCACAAAAATGTGAAACATACCTATTCTAGAGGAAAGGTCAAAGCTACCAGGGCTACTGAAGATAAAAATAAAAGGAAGAGAAAATTTCTGCCAAAAAAATGTTGGAATTAATCTAAAAAATGTTCTAAAGAAAAAATGGATGTACATGTTTGAAAAGTCTAAAAATTTAAATTTGGACATCTTTGGAGCCTGAAAAGTCTAAAATTTTTGCCTTTTCAAATTCAAACTTTTTTCTAGAAAATACTTGACAATCTCAAAATTTTCCTGTATTCTCGAGCAAGTATTTGACTTTTCAAACTCAGAAATCTCCTTGTTTTTTCTAGAATATTTTAGAGTTTTTTTGGGGCAGAAATCTACTCTTCCTTTTTCTATCTGCAATCGCCATAATATCATAAAAGTCAAGGAATAAGTATGTAGGTCAACTTTTATAAAACCCACCTTCACTTTTACTTAGTTTCAAGTATTTCAAGCACTACAGACGACAGAAAGGTTTGGCTGTGAAAGAGAATGGTGAAAACTGGCAACTGACTGGAATTAGACTGCTCATCACAATGAGACCTCACCTGGACATTTTATGGGGATAAATAGCAGAAGACATATTAAGGTTCTGAAACGGTGAAAATAAATAAAACAGTGAATGGCACAGTGGGCATTTATTGAGAAGATTAGAGTCTGATCCTGTTCTAATGAGAAAACGTGGGCTCTAAAGTCTGTTATAGAGAATGTAGCAGAGAACAAACTCGCTTCAAACACTAACCCTGTGGTGTTTCAGTCATGTTGGCACGTCCTGTATCTCAAGATGACGAGGTAACAGCTAATGTAGCTATAAATGTCATCATTTAGTTATGGCCAGTCTAGATGCACAATGTTGTAATATCTCAGGGAATATAAGATCCACAGCTGGAATAAAAAAAAATTGTAATTTGTCTCACTGCTCCTTATTGCCATAGTAATCACCCACAAAGTTAGGAACCCTGTTTGAGTGAACATTTCTCAGAGTAATTGCAGTGCAGATATAGGCTGGCAGAAGTCAAGGTAATGTCTTGTAAATAAAAGTTAACCAGTGGAAATTCATTTGGGCAGCCAGTCCATGCCATGAATAGAAATCACAGTGGTGTGTTGACATTTTGCAGTTTGAAATGAACCTCGAGAAGACACAGTCAAGCATCCTAAGACATTGTGAAGCAGTAACTGTGTACAAGATATCTCTATACTCCAACACACAGAGAGACAAGTCGCTTTTCTAGTACACTCTGAAAACACAAGTTATTTTGAAAATAAGAACCCAACTTTAATTTGAACTTTTTTACGAGATTTTCCACAAGGAGTTTGAAAGTGAGGGAGTCATCGATCAAAATGCCAAGATACTTAAACGAGTAAACCAGCTCTATTTCACTTCATTTTGTGGCTTTATGGATCTGGAAAAATACATAAATTTATTTTAATTTGTATTAAGAACAAGTTTCAAATTTATTAAAGTGCTGGATAGCAGCAAAGGCTTTCTGTAGTAGTCTATGCCCTGTGACAAATCCACTCATTAAAAACTCTTTCTACAAGCTCAAGCTTCAGGCTGGACATCTGACCATTTATCTTGGCATTATGGAAATTGAGGTAATTGTATTAGTTTCCTACCACAGACTAGGCATTTAGCCATCATTGAGAAACTCCCAACATAGTTACGGGAGGAGTTTGGGATTCCAGAAGCTTAATTGTGGCCTGTTGTATCATTTAAACCCCAGCTTTGATGTTTGTTTGGGATTATTGTAAAAGTTCAGAAATTACGTTGCACCAGCGATAGTGACCACTAAAATTTGCACAAACATTGATAGTCACATTGGTAGCCAATTTGGACTATAACTCTTTGAAGAATGTGAATTAATATGAGCTACAACAACATTTCATTTTCCTTTTGGATCAATAAAGTATTTTTCAAATTGAATTTGGGTTTAGGTGCCTTGCTCAGCAACATAGCAAGAGGAAGATGGAATCAACCCGACAACTTTCAGATTACAAGTTGCCCCTTGTAATCTGACCAGTTGGAACATCGTCTGTTGACGAGATGAAGTTCAAGAATGTGAAGGTTTTCCTCCTATTTGTAATTCCACCCACTTTGTACTATTCCGGCAAAACAGCAATTTACAATGTTGCTTATTGGCATCACTGCTATGCTTGACAGACAGTTTTTAAGTTTAAAAGCCTTACATTGACTCCTCTGAACAATTGTCTTCTCTGACCAAAACATGTTTATTTCCAGAAAGCATTCAGCTTCTTAGCACATGTCGACACACCTGGAGTATACATCAGCTTCTTCCAGGTCCTGCCTTGATCCAACTGTCTGTTATCTTCTGCTGAAATTTAGACACAGAATGTATCAAAATATGACAATTGAATGGTTTTTTTTTTTTTTTTTGGCATGAGCTATCTTGGAGGAAAACAAATAATAAATTAATGTTCCACAAATTTTTAATGAAAACTAAAGTTATTCTGATTTTAAAAAAATATTAATTTAAACTGAGTTTTGTGGTGTTTTTGTTTCACTATTTAAAAGAAAAACATTTTATCCAGTAAGGTATTTTTTTTTAATGAAATAAATTTTTTGCAGTTTCTTCACAAGATATTATGTATGAGATTATGAATCTTTAGAAATAGGATATTATTCATTAGTTGTGTTAAATTAATCCTTTTATGCATTTGCTTTTTAAATACTTTTCTTCTCTTGGCCAAATTGATATATTTTTTTAAAAAGTCAGCTGCGCCAGCTGCCCAGACCACTAGAGAGCATCAGTCCACTTCTTTACTGATGATGTGTTTTACACAATTACTTCAACAATGATTGTTTTTTTTTCTTCTTTTAAATCTGTCCCAGCTCTGCATGCACTCTCTCTTTCTTAAGCTTATATGCTCAGAGAAAAAGCTCCAGCCATTAAATCCTTGAAGCTCACACAGTCGCACAGTGGCGTATCTAGCCCAGTTTCAGGGGGCGCTTTAGCCCCCTTGAATAGGATTGCCACCCATCCAGTAAACTATGGAGTCCCATATTGAACTGATACATAACTATCCGATAGACACGCCTGTCATAAACACATGAACACTAAGTTTGACGATAATGGCCAAAATAAAACACAGGAAATATTAAGCTCAGATACAATGTCATGGTGGGAGCTAATGAAGTTGCTCATGGAAGTAACTTTAATCAGATTAAAGTTACTTATCCAAATCACTCTTCATGACTATGGACCGACGCTGAACGTCACAGTTGCCTAGAGACGGACACTACGCAGCCGTGGTGAGCTGCTATCAACCCGCATCTTTTTAAAATGTCCTCTACCTGATTCCATGACCTTGGAAGAAAAAACTCTTCTATTATTATTTAATAATAAAAAATGTAATTTTGGATGTGGTTTAATTTGTAGATTTTTGGCGAGAACTCTGATTTTTGGCTGTCATCTCCTAAATCGGACGTTATTTATTTACTTTATTTAAATTTTAACAAATCTAAATCATTTTGTAAAAGACATTTTTAAAGAAAAGTAACTAATCTTTGAGCATGCTATAAAAATATTTTTCATTAAGTATTTTATTATCTTGCATATTTATCCGTAGAGGGGTCACTGTTAAACACGAGCAGTGATCCCTCATGTTTAACAGTCCTCTTTTTAGACTGGGAGGAAGCCGGAGTACCCAGAGAGAACCCACCATGTACAGGGAGATGATGAATTCTCCATACAGAAAGACCACGGGTCGGGAATCGAACCCAGGACTTTCTTGCTGCAAGGCAACAGTGCTACCAACTGTGCATACCTGTTTAAGTAAGATCAAATTTATTGAATATGATTGAAAATAATTGCTAAGACAATTATTTAATTTATGGTATAAAGCAAAAACAAAACTCTAAACATTCTAAACATTTTTATAAATGTGTAAATGCTGGAGTTTCTGGCTCACCAGGACTGCGCGAGCTGGAAGCTTTGGCACTAGTGGAGGGATCTTGTCACCAGAATCAGATGCAGCACATGGAGGCTTCTTGGGGTTGAGACTGATGGAGGCACAGAGAGGCGACTCGAGGCGGAGATCGACGGAGGTACAGAGAGGCGGAGGCACAGGGGCGGAGGCACAGGGGGGTGTCATGGAGCCAAGATCGACAGAGGCATGTCACGCTCATTTGGTGAAATACCTTTTCAAGGTATTACTAGCACCAGAAAAAAGTTTTGTGAAAAAACTGCCCCTCTTCTTCTGGTGTTTTTCTATTTGCCTTAAAAGACACAAAACGATTGTGTGTTCAACAACCTCATGCACCATGAACGCCAGAGCCCATCCAGCAGAACATCCGAGGGTTTTCATTAGGTCCCTGAAAACCTTTTTTGTCAGGCTAGGGAGCCAGTTCACCTGGATTTCCGCCCTCGGCCCTCGATGTCAGCGCAGATGTTGTGAAAAATACACTCCTGTGTCTCCTTCAGGGAATCAAAACAACAGCGTGTCTTTGACTCCCTGATGCCGAGACACGGCAACGAGTTAACAAAAAGTCGGACTGAGTCCTTTCTCTGTTCCTCGAAGGACGTCCTCAGTTCTTGGATGTTTCTTCTCACCATCAGCAATTCTGATAACAGCTGGTACCAAAGAACTGAGCCCTAAACCCGGCTTAAGGATCGACATGGGGTCTTCATCATCCATAGGAGACGTGACTACAGATATTACATGCTTCAAGAAGAGCATGTCAAATACTTCAGCACACTCTCTCCGGATGATCTCATCGACTCCCGTCACCCGGGAAAAGGCCTGAGAGACCTGGATCCCAAATATGGCTTTTAAATCGCCATATTCGTAGTTGAGGTTCTCAAAAACGTCCTTAACAAAATCGGAGAAAACCTCCGTCAGATAACGCAAAAGGTATTTTGTCCTCTGTGATCCTCTCATCCAGGTCCAAAAATTAAAGATCCACCCAGTCTTCCTCCTGATTTTGAAAAATGTATTTGGCGATGGCAGGGATGATCATCGACTAAAAACTGCACATCTCTTCTCAGTAAATCCATTGCTGTTGTGTTGAACTGAACTCTTCTTTAGTAACAAGTAATATAATGAGTTACTATTTCAAATGCAGTAATCAGATTAAAGTTACTTATCCAAATCACTCTTCATGACTATTTTATTTTGTAAGTCTGATTATTATAAGTGACTTTAG